CTTTTCGCATTTCGTCCAAAGAACGACTGAGCCACTCCCTGCCCTGTGAAACAGCCCCAAGGCGAAGTTCTTCCAATTTCGCAGCCGATGCCTCTTCCACCTGCAGCATCCGACACACTGCCACCACAAAACCGCCATCATTCTACAATTTTTTCCCGCTGCTCATGCATATCAATGAAATAATACCACATAGATCCACTACATCACAAACGAACGTTGGCATGTGCAATTCTCAAGATCTCACGGACAGCCCCTACAGAGACCTCAAGAGATGCAACAAATGTTGACGATATTTGTTTGTCGATCCTTGGCATGTCACAAACATGATGCCATGTCTGACACACATGCAAATTCGGTCACAACATTGCACCATGTGACAAACACGCAACTTTCGTCACAATCCTATTCTGCCCCACCGGACCTGCATGCATGGTGCCAAGACATCCAGCAATCGAGCGCGCACCTCTCCAACCGCAAGCCACTTGTTGTCCGGTCCACGGCCAACATTTCGAGCATGCGCCATTTTGCGAAGCTCCATGACTGAAATGTTTGCCAGGGCATCCTGGAGCCATTCACGACCCCTGGTCACAGCACTGCTACGCAGCTCCTGCAACCGAACTTCCACGCCATCGGACGACGAGGATGACGCGGTCGCATGCTCCATTCGCACAGACATTCCCTTCAGCAAATGAAACAGCGACCACAAAATTGTACGGTACAATGATTCCCGTAGTATTTTTTGTCCACTGCTCATGCATTTCAATGAAAACATTACATATATTTTTTTCGTGCTATACATCACATAGATCCACTGCATCGTAAACAAACACTGACATTGTCACAATGCAATTCTCGAGATCTCACGGACAGCCCCTACAGAAACCTCGGGAAGTCCAAGAAATGTTCAAGATAACTGTTTGCCAACCGTCACTTGTTTCCTCCGTGCACAATGCATCTTGTCTTTCCGTTCACGTCTGAGCCCAGAAAAGAGGTAAAGAAGTAAAGAGGTGCACTATGCTTGTTCCGTGTTGCATCATCATGGACTTCGAAACTGAAAACAATTCATGAGTTTGACACTTGGCTACGCACTCGCACTTCGAAACTCGAAGCACAACTGCTAAGTTTGACACTGGACATGGGCACGATTGTCGCCGAGACCTGCAAACTGAACAGTGAAGCTTGCAATGAACACGTCAAAGCAACACATTTCAAAGAAATCTGGTACCGTGAATTCCCGACTAAAACCACATGTTGTTCATTTGAATAGACGATTTCCCATACAGTTTGCCAACAAAAACAAGCAAAAGCCGGTACCATGATGCTATAAACTACATCCGTCATCTTCATGAGTTCAAGGTAAGCGAGCATCACGCACATTCAAATCCCCTCAGCAGCATAGAAGACTCTGCAGAATGCCAAGTCCTTCAAAAGACAAACTGTGACAAAAAACATTAACAACAGACATGGCAACGAAAGACGCACATGCAATTTGTAAGTAAGGATCGAACCACGTTCAGAAATCTCAAAAAATCTCGAGAAATGCCAGAACCGTTGGGGTGTCTTGTCAAGCATGCCTACACTGTTTGCTCATGCTGCATGGTATTTTGTTTCCCCATGCGTGACTCTTGTCTTGTCCATTTGCTCACATCTAAGACAAGGAATGATCAATTCACATCTATAGAGCAAAGAGGTCAACATGGTCTGAACGTGAAACAGTGAATTAGCATGGACCAACGCAAAACATACTCTGTGAAGCTCGAGACTGGGATCGCGACTCCTGAGCTTGCGATAAGAAGACACCATCCTCTGGAGAACGACCTGCAAGCTCAAAACTCAGCTGCTGCTTCCCGAACAACGTCTATCAAAGAATGGCAAACATGCAAACAATACACATGCTATATATAAATACATCAACCGCACTGCGAAACCAGCATCAGATCATTTTCATTGTCAAAAACCATGCGGTCCGATCATCACTTGTTTCACGAACATTCAGCGTACATATGGGAATAAGAATGTTCACTCTGTGCACAAAACAATCATCATGGACATGTCCACAAAAGAACTGAGAATGCCACTCATGAGTTTGACATGGCAAAGAACCACTGTCGCAGAGTCCTGCAAACTGAAGGCTGAACGTGTCAACAGTGAAGCTTACAATGAACACATCAAATCATCAAACCACATGTTATTCATTTGCATATAAGGTCCCGACTTAAAAATGGCGGCATGTCAGGATCGGCCCGAATAGTATTTTTTGTCCACTGCTCATGCATATCCATGAAAACATTACATATATTTTTTCGTGCTGTACTTACATAGATCCACTGCATCGTAAACAAACACTGACATTGTCACAATGCAATTCTCGAGATCTCAGGGACAGCCCCCACAGAAACCTCGAGAAGTCCAAGAAATGTTCAAGATACCTGTTTGCCAATCGTCACTTGTTTCACGAACATTCAGCGTACATATAAGAATATGGATGTTCACTCTGTACACAATGCATCTTGTCTCTACGTTCACATCTGAGCCAAGGAAAGAGGTAAAGAGGTAAACTATGCTTGTCGGTGCAGAGTTGCACAATCCACTGCAAAGGATTTGTTCGCTGCGTTCCAAACTGAGAATGCCATCACACACAGACGCTCCTACACGCAGATGCTTATTACACACGCACACACGCTTTCACACAAACGCTTTTACACACAGACGCTTTTACACACAGACGCTTTTACACGCAGATGCTTTTTACACACGCACACACGCTTTCACACACAAACGCTTTTACACACAGACGCTTTTACACACAGACGCTTTTACACACAGACGCTTTTACACACAGACCCTTTTACACACAGACGCTTTTACACACAGACGCTTTTACACACAGACACTTTTACACACAACATTTTCACACACAGAGGCTTTTACACAGGCGCTTTTACACACAGACGCTTTTACACACAGACGCTTTTACACACAGACACTTTTACACACAGACGCTTTTACACACAGACGCTTTTACACACAGACCCTTTTACACACAGACGCTTTTACACACAGACTCCTTTACACACAGACGCTTTTACACACAGAAGCTTTTACACACAGACGCCTTTACACACAGACGCTTTTACACACAGACGCTTTTACACTCAGAAGCTTTTACACACAGGCGCTTTTACACACAGAAGCTTTTACACACAGAACTTTTTACACACAACACTTTCACACACAGAGGCTTTTACACACAGAAGCTTTTACACACAGGTGCTTTTACACACAGACGCTTTTACACACAGACGCTTTTACACACAGAAGCTTTTACACACAGGCGCTTTTACACACAGACGCTTTTACACACAAACGCTTTTGCACTTTTACACACAGACGCTTTTACACACAGACGCTTTTACACACAGAAGCTTTTACACACAGACGCTTTTACACACAGACGCTTTTACACACAAACGCTTTTTACACATAGGTTCTTTTACACACAGACGCTTTTACACACAGACGCTTTTACACACAGACGCTTTTACACACAGACGCTTTTACACACAGACGCTTTTACACACAAACACTTTCTTTTACACACAGAGGCTTTTACACACAGAAGCTTTTACACACAGACGCTTTTACACACAGAGCTTTTACACACAGACGCTTTTACACACAAACACTTTTACACACACTTTTTGCTTTTACACACACAGCGGTTTACACACAGAAGCTTTTGACAACACGTAAGTCAAAATCGCAATTTTCCTCAGTTTTTAACGTCCAACGTCCATTTCGTGCGTAAGGGTTGCGAATTAAAGTCGCAATTTTTCCCCAGTTTTTGACGTCCAACGTCCATTTCGTGCGTAAGGGTTGCGATTGACAAACTAAAGTCGCAATTTTTCCTCAGTTTTTGACGTCCAAGGTCCATTTCGTGTGTAAGGGTTGCGATTGACAACTCAAAGTCGCAATTTTTCCTCAGTTTTTGACGTCCAACGTCCATTTCGTGCGAAAGGGTTGCGCGCGACGCTTCAAAGTCGCAATTTTTCCTCAGTTTTTAACGTCCAACGTCCATTTCGTGCGAAAGGGTTGCGATGGACAAAGTAAAATCGCAATTTTACCTCAGTTTTTGGCGTCCAACGTCCATTTCGTGCGAAAGGGTTGCGTTTCGTGGCGCTCCGGCGGCACCGCCCCCGCCTAAAGAGAGAAATAGAAGAAGAGCGAGAGGAGATCTGCAGATGTGAAGGTGTGAAGATGTAGATCGGCAGATGTGAGGGTGTGAAGATGTAGATCTGCAGATGTGAGGGTGTGAAGATCTAGATCTGCAGGTGTGAGGGTGAAGATCTAGATCTGCAGGTGTGAGGGTGTGAAGATCTAGATCTGCAGATGTGAGGGTGTGAAGATCTAGATCTGCAGATATGAGGGTGTGAAGATCTAGATCTGCAGATGTGAAGGTGTGAAGATCTAGATCGGCAGATGTGAGGGTGTGAAGATGTAGATCTGCAGATGTGAGGGTGTGAAGATCTAGATCTGCAGATGTGAAGGTGTGAAGATCTAGATCGGCAGATGTGAGGGTGTGAAGATGTAGATCTGCAGATGTGAGGGTGTGAAGATCTAGATCTGCAGGTGTGAGGGTGTGAAGATCTAGATCTGCAGATGTGAGAGTGTGAAGATCTAGATCTGCAGATGTGAAGGTGTGAAGATCTAGATCTGCAGGTGTGAAGGTGTGAAGATCTAGATCTGCAGGTGTGAGGGTGTGAAGATCTAGATCAGCAGATGTGAAGGAGTGAAGATCTAGTATAACGGCTGCTTTTTTACGAAGAACCCTTCGCAGGCGCTCTCGGGAAAAAGCACGAAACAAATCGAAATGCGAATCACTTCTCAACTTAGCCACAAGAAATACGCTATCGTATGGTCCGTTCCAGGTTGGGGAAAGGGAGGTTGCTTCGGATCATTCTCCACGAAGAGAGAGCCGTAGATGTCCTGCCCGGTGGCATCTAGGGCGGCCGTGGATTGCCATTATCCCAACAGCTTCGAAGCGCCTCTCTGCGACAGACCCAGCCATCGCCCAGATCGCTCTCCTGGCGAAGATAACTGGGTGGCTGGATGTGGCTGGTGGTTTCAACATGTTTCAACATGTTTCAACATGTTTCAATATGTTTCAACCTTTCAAAAGATTTGTTGGCATCCCAGGGACTGGAACATGATTGTTGAAACCACCAACCAGACTTTTTCTCAGGAGCTGTTGGCCAATGCAAAAAAGCTCCTCAAAATCATCGCTTTCGTCCTGAGGTCTGGAGAATGAAATGGCCAATCTGCTACCCTGACTTCCCGACCCTCAAAAAGGATCTCGCTGGGATACTTGAGGCAAGCAACTTGCTGTGTTTGAAGACGTCGTTGTGAAACAACCAACCTGATGAACCCACGAAATTGCACCTCTCCGATTTCTACCATGACAAAGCACTGAGGAGCAAACAGTCGTCCACCATCAACTAAAACGCGGCGCAGCTCCTGACAATGAGCACCCAATGCCACTAGATGCCACTGCTATATCTTGTCAACTTTCCGTGAGGCGCAACAGGTTGGTGCGTCCTGAAAGTACTGCTGCCGCGCACCGATACTTCCAATGCAATCGGAAAGCCCTGAGCGCTCCGTTTACGACAGACATGGACAAACATTTTGAACAGCACTGTAGTTGCACACATCCGGTCAAATTGTGTCTCGGCGCCTTTGTCAACCACAGCTCCGAACGAGCCGTCGCCAAAGTCGGACAGGTCCCTGCGCCAATATGGTTGGCCAAAGCAAGGACATGTCCTGACATCATGAGATGGTCTTCATGACTTTAGTCAAAGCTCCTTGCATCCATGGTCAGGAAAGTGAGGTCTGGGAAGCGAAGTCTCATTCGATCCTGGTGAGAGAAGAATTCAAGTGTTTTAAATTATATATAATTTATATAATGCAAAGTTAAAGATATTGAAGTTGGTAATTGGCCCTTTGCACCCTTTGCATGGTGAACAGCGGCTAGTTTTACCCAAGATTCAGTGACTTCGGAGGAGAAGTCTATGCTGATCACCTGGACAACGCTAAACCTACGCGTTCGCAACACTCCAGTTGCTCAATGGATCAAAGATGATCAAAGAATCCTGCCTCCCATTTCTGCACAAGTGCCTGGAAGAAAACCGGAAAACGCGAGAAAAAGCAGAAAATACAACCTTGCACTTGGCAGATTCTTTGCAAAGAGAAGAGTGCACATTCAATAGTCTCCTTCTCAGATGCAAGCTCTGCGCTGAGTGCAGAGTCTCCACTTCCAACAACCAGCAGCTTCCTCGCCAACAGGCAGTGCCAACTCCAGTGCTTTACATGTGCAAACACGATCTCCTTGTGGGCTGTGACAGTCTCGAAGGCGTCAGCTCTGTAAGAGCATCCACAAAGTATGGGCGCAGCCTGTCATAACCTCGCAAACAGAGCAGCTTTGGCTACTCTTTGGCCCTTGGCTGCTTCTCACTCCACTTGTCTTGTATTTGCTTCGGACAATTTGACGACGATCAAGCGAAGATGCGTTCCAGACTCACCAGACTCAGCGCAGAAATGAGAAGGGGACCCAGGCCATACCACTCGTAGATGTCTCTCTCAGTCTGGACCTTGTAGACTTGATCCCAGAAATTGGGCTGGTCAACCTGGAAAAAGGATGAAAAAGGCAGGCAAGTGTTATTCGATAAAAGCTTGTTCATGTTCGTGTGACTAGCAATGCCATACATGCAAAACAATACATGTACTGTGCATACGTGTAAGAACTAGCTTGGTGTCTCTGTGTGTGTGTGTCAGTGCTTAGCATGGTCGCATGTAATGTCCACGACCAACAAACAAACAGGACATCGTTTGTGCTGTTTGTGCTGCAAGGCTGGACAGCTTTGCTGAGCCATTCGGAGACTCTACAGTGCGTTTGGAATCTCAGTGAAAGGTGATAGCAACCAATGAGAAAGAAGAATAGGATACAATAGGATACAATAGGTATGCTTTGCTCAAGATAGCACCATCTGCATCCATCAATTGCAGGCCACAAATTCGATCAATATTTCAACATTGTTCAACCAAGTAGCTGATGCATATCTGTCATCGTCACCAAGTACCACGAAGCACATGCGTGTAATCTGCAACCAGCACAGTGCACATGGCATTGGGTCCAAAGGCTGAATGTGTTTGAAGTCTATGCAGCGCTACTGCTTCCAGTAAATTGTCCTTCAAAAGATCTGCGAAATCGAGAACGACCCCGATTTCCAATGTATATGCAATACAAAGACTGCAAAGATACTGTGTGTGTATCTCTAAATAATGTATAAATATATATATATAATATGTATACTGTGTATATGTGATTATGTATAATAGATGCATGTACACCAAACTGCTAATTTGGTAATTGATACAGGTAGTTTAAATTGCTGTACGCAACCTCAAGAATCTCAAGAGGACGGGCCGAAAGTGGAGCCTTTAGTGCAGGTTCAGAATGGTTGTGTGGCTATCTGTATATTTCCATTCCGCCCTTTGGACTGTTCATCCAATGTTATTGAATGATAGTCCTTCGTGTGTCTTTGCGTGTTCGATGCTGAACCTACTTCGTTGAAGAATCTGCGGGAGAAGCAGCTTTGATCCAAAGTTGAGAAGGCCAGTGAAGGCAAATCCAGAGAGCAATGAAACATCACGCAAGACTCCTCCAAGACTCAAAACCAAGGCTGGTGCGGTCAGGAATCCAAACAAGGCAACTTTGACCTCACCATTCCGGCAAGGCTAAATACACCATCACTAGACAGAACGTTGCTTGAACAATTCCGCATTCAAACATCCCCAAGCTCAAACCTTGGCGAAGGGATCTTCAGTTTCAGCCTCAAATCATCACAATTTGGGTGTCCAAACCAACAGAGACCAAACCTGAATCGGCACTTGCCAAACCATCAGAGTCCATTCTGTGCCGTTGATGTTCTGCTACTTTCCATGATGTCCTTTGTAACTTTCCCTTGACTTTGCTGAAGCTGAGGTATTCACGCGCAAGCGCTCATTGCTGAACTTTCGCTCTTCAGGCATAGCTTCTGGCATGGCTTCACAGGGCCTCACCCGTTGCCTACCTGGCCCGCGGCTGCACTGGCAACTTCCAGCGCACAAAAAATGCCAGGCCTGGTGACACTGTCTTTCCACTCAGGAAACCATGACAATTCCTGAGTTTCCGCACAAATCCCATGTGTTATATATTAGGGTCCAGTTTCATGCAGTTCCTGGATTGCTAAGCCATGGACAAAGATATGGTCAGCAGAAATCCCAGGCACAGAAACCTGAGACTTTCACAAGAGTGTCGCCTTGACCGTGCCTCTAGTCCTGCCTTCTGCTGGATGATGCAAAGCGACCCATGGCCACCATGGTCCAATCTTGTCTGCCCTTTCCGATTTCCGGAACGTGACCCGTACGCTCAGTGCATTCCTTGACACATGGCTGGTGGTCGAATTACATAAAAGCTGGCAATCTATCGTAGCTGAAAAAGATTAATAATCTATCTGTGAGTTCACTGGTAAAGCCTAAAGCCATGGTAAATGTTCAGCCAGCTGCATTTGTGCTCTGCCGAATGCTTTCATGCATTTTGCTTGGCAAAAAGCTGCGCAGGCATCATTCGAACAACTATGTCAGATTCTGTGCAGCCATCGTCACAAGTGATGTCTTGTCACACAGCAAAGGATGTGAACCTGGAACAATTTTTGTCCCACAAATTTGTAGCTAGAGGTGGCCGAATCATGCCTCTACAGATTCAGTGAAACAGCTGACTTGCTGTGCTTCAGGGAAGCCTCCAGTTTCCTTCCTTCCTGCAGCATGTTGTTATTCCAGCAGGAATTCGACACGTTCCTTTTGGGGACGCACAGCAGTTCTGTGACCCGAAACGAAAAATCTGTGGCCCATCCTCCAAACAGCATCCATGTGTGTTGCTATTGAACAGGATTTTGTCGCCACAACACCTCCGGGGCTCCTTCTTAAACAGGCGGCCTTTGCAGCAGCCAGTGGTTTCTGTGTTGTAGATTCGACCCGAACAGCAATCTTGTGTTCGACTGTCAAAGACTTGGCCGTTGCAGCACCCAATCATCGTAGCGTCATGGAGTTTGGAGCCGCAGCGTTGCCGAGCACATAGCTTTCCATCCAAGTCAAATATGTGACATGTTTCCTGGTTGTAAGCAGTTGCTCTTGACTGACATTGCTCCAAAGCATTCTGCTCTGCAGCACTCTTGGAAGTCTGTTTGACTGAAAGCCAACCCACCTGGCATGAAGGGGTCATTGCCCAAGCCATGTGGCTGTCTTCGGACTTGGTCGCGCAATAGCGCTTCCAGACGCTGGCGTAGTTGCTGGGTGGCCACTCCTTGGTGCAATTCCATGGGATCTTGTCTTCTTGTGGCTCCACCGGCGCCAAGCATTGCAATCCAAAGACCAAATATTCCTGACCCAAGTCGAAGACCTGTTCATCATTGCAGCAACCCTGAGTTCGGGTGTCATATGACTCCTTTCCTCCGCAACAATCTTCATGCTCCACATCATAAATATCTCCATTGCAGCATCCTTCCGAAATTCGGTCATACAAAGTGCCGGCACAACATCCTTCCTTTGATCTGTCATATGCTTCTCCGCTGCAAAGTCCGGATCCGGATGGATCTGAAACCTCTTCATCTGGACCACTTTCAGACGAGTCTCCGTCCGGGTCGGGCAAAACATCGGAGATGTCGGGATCCAGCAATCCAGGGATGGTGGAATCTGATGCATTCTGCTTTGAGGGGCCTGACACTGCCAGTGCGCGTGCTTGCAATGCATTCAAGGCGCACTCTGCAGACACACATTCATCGTCAAACGGAAGAACGGTATTTGCGTGGGTCACAGGAAGGAACCACACCAGTGCCACCACAGCCATGCTGAAGCGCGACATGGCAGCAGTCAAGAGTCAAAAGATTTTATGGAAAAGTTGGGTGTGACAATTCCGAGCTCAACAGCCCCGCTTCAAAAGAAAGCTCTGAGCTATAAGTTCAATTTTGCTTATCATGGTTTTCTAGTTGAGAGCGAAGAGCCAAAAGTGCTACGTTCCATGATTCCCAATCCTCTCCCCACACGTCCCCTCGAGTCAGGCATGGTGTCCCGTCTTTGCGCAGTGCTGTCCTGTTTTCTGCGCAGTGTCGACTAGCGCATTTTTTGCAGAGCTTGTATTTGCTTACCTTTCGATGTTTATAACTTCTGCACGGAACTGAATTGTAGAGTGGTAATGCAAGGACAAATTCAGGAGTCACATGGCAACTGCAGCCAAAGGGACGTACACAAGTGCTGTGTGTGTGTGTGCGGGGCTGGTTGGCTTGCTCAGCATTCTTGCAGAGCGACAAGACTGTTCCAGAATCTCCTGCCTGTTTTGCAATTTTGGTGTTGGGCAGAGTGTCCAGGGTAAGCTCGAGGACGGCCAATTTCAAAGCACATGAGGCCTCGACGGGCGCTCTTCTCCCCATGCTTGTGTTCAGTGCACTTTGCAGGGTCTTTCCCTGGTTGATGGTTTTGGGTTTTTGTTTTTGCTGCCATCTTGGCTGTAGGACATCCCTATGCCTGTCCACCCTTTGTCTTCATTTTCGTCTGGTCGCCTTCATCCAGACATGCGATAAGTTTTTTTCCGTCAAAAGCTGTTGGTTTTGCCCTGGCCGAGGGGTCGTGAGCTAAACTGTTTTTTGCCAGTGCACATCAAACCACCATGATGTTCTTTTTGGATTGTGAAGCCATGAGAGAACATGATGATGCAAACGAAGTGAAGATTCCTACAAGCTCCTTGACCCTGGTCACTCTTGGCATTCTAACATGAAAAGCATGAAATATAGAATTCTCGCACGGCCAAACGGAATTCTAAAAGGTGTCAGTGCCAAATCGGCTATCAATTAGCATGTAGAGTCTGGAACCACCTGTGAAGTTTTGACAGTTTGGAACCCATTATGGGATAGACTGATCCGCAGCCTTTTTTGGAGCCACAAAGGGTCACACACTGGCTACAGTACAAACACGCTCTGTTCAGGCGTGCATCTTGGCAAAACAATCGATGAATGTATTGCAAGATACCATGCGTGTTGTGTGGCCAGTATTGCAGCTAAGCCACAGATAGTCTTGGAAAATGAAATCCGATAGACACATGAAAAAAGTCTGTTTGTGGATAGTGGCGATATCCAAGGCCTCCTGGTATTAATCATTCTTTGTCTGCAATCAGGCAATGCGCCGGTCCACAATTTAATACATTACTTCAGGTTCACCATTTTGGCATTGGAATGGTTTCCAGTCCAATACCTTGGCAGCGCTCACAGCATCGGAAACGCCTGGCATGGTGAGTTAAAAAGGAGAGAAGAAATTCACAAAATGACATTCCCCATTTACAGATGTAAAATGATATAAATCCCACCATGGATAGTTGAAGAAAACATCACATCGGTGGCCTCAAAGGCATCCAAGCTGAAGACTCCGCCACCAATTAGGGCAACCAGGAAAGACCTCATCGAACGCGCAGGGAATGGCACTTAAAAAAGCGCCGTCCACTTAGTTCTGGTATAGTCCTGGTACAACTGGCAGTCAAACTGGGCTTGGCACACAAGCGAGATCCTGCAGACAGTTCTCCAGGAATTTGTGTCAACAAAAGGTCAATAGGGCAAAAATTGCTGACCAAAGCTTTGCTGTGCCTGTCTGTTTCTGTGCAACGTTGAGCATCTGTACTTGCCTGGCGACTGTTTCAGGAGAAGCTCAACAAACTGCGTCTAGACGAGTGAGTGGATGACTGAGCGAATGAGCAAACCGAATGAATGAGTACGGTAATGACTCCATTCGCAAATAAAATCTTGAAAAAAATATGGAAAAACGATTCAATAAACCATGCTTGACTGCTTGACAAATTAATGTTTTTCCATGGCTGTCTTTTTGACATCTCTTTTCAGTATCCCATTTTTTATCCCAGACAACGGACAGGCGCTGCCTTCGTTTCAAATTCAAGCCTGCCAAAGCAATCCCAGATCATCCCAGATCATCCATCATTTTTTCATCCCAGATTCACCAGACATCATCAAAACATCATCAAAACATCATCAAAACCCACCAAAAATCAGTAAATGCTTTGTGATGCTTTGTGATGCCCATGGTTAAAGGATGGCAATGGTGTTATTTCCATCGAAAAAAAAACCATGGAAAGAACCCCCGCCCTGTGAATTCGCCGCAGGTCAACTCTGGACGCTCCAACAGTGCGACCTGAAACAGCCAGGACAGTGCAGCCAGTCCCATTTACAGTGGGTAAACCAACATAGCTATTGAAAATGGCCATGAAAATAGTGAGTTGTCCCATGAAAAATGGTGATTTTCCCATAGTTATGTAAACGTTTACCAGAGGGTAATACTGTAATAATGACATGTATTAATCGCTCATGATCAGCAAATGTTGCAGTATACATATCAATATACCGTTCATCCGTGAATATTCCATGAATCTTCTGGAAAACTCATTCTAAACGAGACTCCGAAAATCTCTGAAAGGTTTTCTCACTCTGTCTGTTCCAGCCTCGTGTACACCATTTGGTGGCATGACCTCTGCAGATTTCGTGTTGAACCCATCTGCAGTCAGCAGCACAGAACTGTCCCAACCGAGCTCCCAACCTGGAAGCAAAATGGAAGGCACAGCAGAAACAGCAAGAAGACTAGGCCGTTTAAAGCCTGCAGGGTGCACCGGCTTGACACTTAAGAGTCTCAAGATCACTTGAGGATGTCTTGATTCTATACTGTCTATACTCCATGATTTTGGTGTCCTACAGTTTTGAAATGTGTTTAGAGTGAAACCGCCCAAGAAATACGAGAAAATTCGACAATGTGGTCTCATGGTCTCAAGCGGCACACGAAGCCCTCCATTCCCAAGACCTCGATGGTAAAAGGTTTTGTTCTTGCCACCATTGTTCCTTAGTCACATAAATCTGCGACTCCTCAACGCTCGCTGGTGAACTGGATCCCCAAAAAGTCTCCACTTGACATCACAGGCAATTCCTTCATGTGGTCCCTTTTGAAATCTCTATAACAGATGAAACAGTCATCTATAAATGGCTATACATTGTTGAAAAAGGGATCCCACAACCTCTCAAAGGAAACCGTTTCAATGTTGATATGCAAGGGCAACTAATACGCAGCTGCACCTTTTACTTGAGCCAAAATGCAAATAGAACTGAAATACAAAAGACAGGACCAAGTGTACAGCATGGAGGAGTGTACACACCTATGTACATCATGATATTTTACAACTTACATGGATCTACATGGGGAAGTGTCGCCAAGTTTGAGTATGAGAGGACATGGCATGGATTTTGGAGAAAACATGCGCTCTGCTTTAGATCAATGCCGGCCATCTCTGGGGGTTCGACAGTGGAAAGTCAAATACACCGCATGAATCACCTCAGCAAACTAACGAGGAAAGTCGAATGGGAAACCATTGCTTTTCCACTGATTTTCGATGTTTATATCATTTTATATCTATTGTTTACCATTGTTAATCTGGGACAGCGTTCCAAACATAAACACCCCATCCGCTGAGAACCCAACACTGAGAGTGTGATTTTCGGATAGATATTTTAGCAGGCAACCAGTTGGAGGTATATACTAGTTTCCGGCTTGAGTCGTGAAGCCTTCAAGCGTGTCACAGAACAACATGGCAGATCGGACATAGCAAACAGAGCAAGGTCCAAATTGCAAATCAAATATGACACACTTGCGAATACGCTGTCCAAGTAAAGCCATCTTTTTCGGTCAATCAGCAGCCCACGTTCTCTCTAGAACTAGAGATCCCTTTGGGATACTAGAGATTATGAACTTGAAAGACCGATGTGCTAGAATGATCTAGAATGCGGGGCCAAATGAGCGAAAATCAAGAAAGGGACATGCAAATCTGCATACTCCTCTTGAAATCGGAAAGGTCCAGAGTCCACCTGACCTGCTACGACCCAGACATACCCAGACCATCTGGTCTTTCCAGCAGCAAAGCTGGTGTCCAGTCAAGTAGCTCAGGGGCCCTGTCCCTTTCAGCAAAGACTTTGGATTTGGATGGTCGAAGCCTCCATGATCAGAGATTTTGGCAGCGATTCCGGAGCCTCAACTGATCTATTCTGATTGGATCCCATGGAGGATCGAAACCACCATACCAAAAAGAACTGCTCTTCCTGGCTGGTCAACTTACATGTATTGTGCGTTCCGGGCAAAGCCACAAAGCAACTCGGCTTGTAATCCCCGTCCCCTACTATAATACCAAATGCCCAAAAAGGGACTCCCAAAAGGGGACTCCGATATATAAGGGACTCCAAAATGAATTACTAGAGGGTTTCGTTTGGTTATCCAATATTAGACGGATGGGATTGAACATGATTTGATGTTTGTACAAACCTGGGCCTTGCCACGCACGCAGCGTTGATTCAAACGTTGACCTGGCCTAAGGCAAGGTCCTAGCCCTGCAGATTTATCATACTGCACGCAGCGCAGAGTTCTCCGTGTGAGGAAGGGGCTTTCCCAAAGCAATGGATGAAGAACGGGCATTCGTGCTGAAAGCACCGCGGAAGCCACAGCATTTCAAATCATTTCAAACATTTCACATCATTTCACAACTCAATTTGCACTAAAAAAGGAAATGAAGATTTTCAGATGCTGTCAAAGTTTCTCAGATTTTGGTCTTTGGGTCCTTTCACCGAAAAATGCCATGGCAAGCTGAGCCCCTACATTGGTTACATGACTGTGCAAGCCCTTGAGGCTCTCCGTGCTTCTCGCACCTCAGGATTCTCGAAGGTCATCGGAAGTGTCTCAGACTTCGATTTGGGACTTTTGTGCGAGTTCGGTGACCTCAGGTCTCGCAGAGGTGTTCCACCATCAAGGGGTCACAAAGGGTCAATGGAATCTTCCATTGATTGGTCATGTTTATATAAAGGGGAAAACAATTCTCTTGTGTACACGTACGTTTTCAAATACTGGTATGTAACATTATGTAACTGTCTGTATCATGTTCAGTTCTTTGGCTGTGTCCAAAGATCGTCTATGCCATGGTGAGTATCGTGCACGTTGTTGTGAGCACTCGACTGGATACCCTGACACAAGAAGCAAAGGCACAGTCAAAGTTACAACGTTGACCAAACGTCATTTGGATCCAACGAGGGAGATAATGCAAGACACTTGTCAAGATTCATCGGCAAGGAGTCCTCGTCTTCGTCTCCTTCTTCAATGTTGCCAAAATCCCTTGGATGTCAATGCGTGATGAATGCGTGATCGATGCATGATCAGGCATCCCACGAAAATGAAGAGTTTGCAGGCGCGCCCCCATTCCATCCAAGTTGCGATGCTTGGAGAATTCCAGCAAGATCCTGAACAGGAAAAGCCATTGGCCAGGCAACCAGGTTGGCACCATTTCAGTTGACAACTGACATCAACTGATTGCAGCTGCCATTTGGTGTCCTCTAAATGTGTATTGCGGATCTTCTGGAAAAACATGTGGTTCACACATTCGATGATGCTGAACCTCTTTTCTGGGTCCTGCAGCGCTAGCAAAACAAAAAAAAAAACAGGACTGGCGATGCACTTACCTTCCGTGGCGGTAGTTGGGGCCACAATCACTACTCAGAAGACCTCATGAGACGGAAAGACCTTTGTGCCATTCAGTTGAAATAGTCCATAAATTGATGAAGATTTGGTTTTGTATTGTCATGTATCAATACTCTGCAAATCGGAGAAAAAAAAACCTCCTGACTCATGTCCAATAACCTGTGGGTATTATTCTGCGTTTGGAACTGAAACTCCTTTGTTTGTTGTTCAAGATCTCCATACTTGCTGGTTGTTTCTTCCAGTTTGCCCATATCCCCGTTGTCCATCCAAGATTCTGCTGTGAAAAGATTACCAGTGCATGGAAACTGAAAATTCTCAAGCTCAACAGTATGATCATCTCCATGGGATTTCACGTTGCCAGCTTTTCATTGGGGTCGCTTTTAGGGAAAATCATGGGGAGCAAAAACAACCACGGTGTTCAGCATTGTGCCATCGGTTACCCAGCAAAGATTCCCTTCTGGGAATCTGCAGAATCCCAGAGTTCATCTCCCCGTAAATTGCCCGAACAAGGAGGTAAATCATGACCATTCTGGGCAATTTATGGACAACAATTCGTCATGATTGGTCAATAATGGTAAATATGGTCAATATATGGACCATTATTGACCAATCATGACGAACCCATATTCCGCTCTTTGTCCTTCTCCAACATGCCTTCCAGCAGACTACACATGTCCTCAGCATGTTGGGATCGTGGCAACGGTGGCTGGTATGTCCATCTTTTCTGTAGTGGTATAGAATGGCGATTTCAACCAAATTCTTAATATGGATGGTTTCAGATCCCAGAAATGCGCCATTTGCTAGGCAGTTGTGACCCATGTTTGATCCCGATCTAACTGGAGATAGGTTAGAAGATAAACCAACCAAAAAAGCTACAATGACTGGGGTGTATAAAGATCTTGCAATCAAATAATTGGTTGGTCACGGTGGTTTCATCCCGTTCCAAAAGATGTTGGTCAACTGCGGTGAGCCATTCAAAGGGAAGGAATGTCAAGGGATTTTGAACCACTGTAGAAAGCACGGCTCAAGTTGCCTCAGTCCAAGTGCAATCTAAGATCCTCATCTATTTCCCGAAGAGCATCGCGAATATCTCCTCTGTTCAAGACGCTTCGGTCTGAATCCTCTTGAGTCTGGCAGAGTCATCATTGCTTTCGTTGGAAATGGTCCTGTGATAACCACCTCTTTGGTGTTCGCCAGCCACTTCAGGAATTTGTCTTCGCTGCCTGCAGCCAAACCAACGGAGCATGGATGTTGCTTCCACTGTTCCTGAAAAGGAGGAAGATCAAATCACACATACCTCTCTTGTAATCCCAATCACGTGATGCTAGAAAATCTTAGAAACCCGCCTATAGAGACTTAGGACATTTTTTTTTGTGGACCTTGACAGTAATGTCAATATCGATGGATTCAATGGATCTCGGGCTCTTGTACTGGAATAAGCCAAGTTTTCATAAGTTTTCTACCTTCCTAAGCGTTACGAAGCCTCCGTTGACCACCCTCCGGCGCCTGTTTCTGCCAGCCACTCATCGTACCTTGGAGGTTCACCCACTGAGCGAGACTCAGTAGCATCCAATGCTGCCAAGCCGCCATGGCTTTAGGATTGGGACACCAAAAATGGCCTGCCATGGGATCCATCGGAACTTGAAAACAACATGAAACTACTTGAAACAACTGAAACAAATCGGACCCCTTCTCAACCCAGCTTTGACAGCAGTGGATGATCTGTGGATGAACTACACCTTTTTTTCTTGTACAGCCCAGCCAGTGTTCATCCGAACATCTTTGAGTACATGGCTTTCTCCTGCTTCTTCTCCTTCTTCTCAGCATCAGCGGCCTTCCGCTTCAAAGCCTCTGCATCTTTGTTGGAAGGGTCTAACTCCAATGTCCTCGCCACATCCTCTTGGCAAGCCTTGAAGTTGTGGAGATCAAATTCTGCCTGGGCCCGTCGAAAAGTTGCTTTGATGTTCTTGGGATCATATTGCAATGCCTTGGTGCAATCAAACTTGGCAGCATCTGGGTCTTTGTTCTTCAGCCGGGCCATGGCACAGTTGTTCAACAAGGCAAGGGCTAATTGCTTGTCAGCCTCACTGAGCTCAACTGGTTCAGTCTTGTCTGCAGCATCACCATGTCCTGAGCATGGCATGCCACCATGGCTGTGACCATGACCATCATCGGAGTCCGGATCAAAGGTGATGTATTCCACACCATCCTCATAGCGATTCACAGCCGTCGCAAAATCGCCTTGCTTGAAGGCCTCGGTTCCTGCCTCTTTCATTTTGGTCGCATGGTCACGCCTCTCCTCAGGCGTCATTTCGGCCGGGGTCTTGACCTTCTCCTTCCAATCGAAGAGCTCCACCTCAAAATTCAGCGTGGCATCGCCAGGGATCTTGGGAGGGCTGCCGTTCTGCCCGTAGGCGTAGTCGGAACGACAACGGAGGATGCACTTCTCACCACGCTTCATGGTGAGAATGCCCTGATCCCAACCTTTGATGACCTGGCCAACTCCAACCTCAAACTTGAAGGTTCCAGGACGGTCTCGGGAGGAATCAAATTTGCTTCCATCCGAATGCAAGGTTCCCACGTAGTGCACATCAACTGAGCTGCCAGGGCTGGGCGTGTCCTCGCCCTTTCCTTCCACCAAGATCTTTTTCAGCAAGCCACCATCCTGCTCCTTGGAGACATCAACAAAACCCTCCTCAGCCATCTCAGCCATGGCACAAAATTGCTGGGCAAATGTGTGTTTTTCAGCCTGATCAATTATCCACGCATTTCCTATTTGCAGTTGCTTGCATGAATCATTTCTGCACATCTTTTCATGTCTCTGCAGTGCAGAGTAGGCAAACAGCCTTGGTCCAATATCACGGTGCAAAGCAGCCAGAAAAACTCTGGGAAATGAATTCGCCATTCAAGATCATGCATGAAGCAGCAGCCGTATATTCTTTTAAGATGAACGCTCTTTGACACAGTCATGGAAGCATCTCAGCAAATTTCCTGCCACCTGCCTCCATGGCACACATCCCAACACTCCAGATGTCCATCAGCCGAGAGAGCTGAGAGCAGGGTAGAAGTGATCGACACAAGATCGACACGTCTGACTCACTTGACTCAGTTGCCACGGACGTTGCCAAGTCCATCCTCTGGCTCCGCCCTGCCTTGACTGCCTCTTCAGGCTGATCATCGCTTCGCCGCTGGGGCCGTCCAAACCTATCTCTGGCGGGTGCCTGCATCGCTAGGAAGGTACTGGCAAGCTCCGGTGACCTGAAAATCGAATGGCCAAGGCCAAGGGACACCCCAGAAGTGGAGAATCAACATGAATCGACCATCACTGTGACTGTGATTCAAACATATATCTACCTATAACATCTTATAAATGCATGTATATGACACGTACATACCCAGAAAAGATATAGAATGAAAGGCAACAATCTTGTGGCTGAGCTTGAGACAGGTACTGCATTGTTGCCACAACTTCCTCCGCACTATATAATGTACTTTTGAGATCTTTTTAGCTATTCGGGAAGTTTGGTCCCGTTTCTACTTGGTTGACAGATTGGAGATGTATTCAATGGTTGTGATGGGTGGTGATATCACATGGGATCAAAATGGATCAAACGCTTCACAACTTGAGTGCGAAGGATCAACTGCCACACGATGAGCAGCACAAATGATGAATGCTGAGCAAGCTTCGCTCAGCGCCACCGCAGTTCCAGTGCACAGCGCACCGTCCAAATCTATTAGCTTCCACTGCTCCTTGCAAATCAAAACACTCCACAACAACAAGCAATCCAATGCTACAACATCATGCCGCTGCTCTGGTCATGACCCTGCTCCTTTGTGTGCTCAATCTCAAAGCAAACAATGTTGGCTGGCTTAATGTCCAAGTGCACATACCTAAGGCAGCTGCACACATCAGCGCGTGAACACCCACAGTGGATCAAGGGTGTCAGCATTGTCAGTATTTTGTCGAAGCTACCCCATTGTATGTAGCCCAAAGACCTCGGCACAAAAAAATATGAAGGATCAAAATGCATCCAAATGCCAAGAAAAGAATCAGAAAGGCTACCTGCAGAAATCAGCCAAGTTTCAATCGAAATCAGGGCCCACCTGATTTCGACATCATGACTCATGACTATGACATGCTATGACTATGATGATTTGAGTTCCAAAACTGTTTGCTGTGTCTGCTGAAGCTCAGCGCATCTATAAGGAGTCATTGAATGAATCATAAATTCATCTCGATCATCTTTAGAAATCAGTGAATGTCCAGAGAGTGTTCTACGACTGCAAAAGCTCACACTTCATCCTTTACTTAAAACATCTGAACATAAATATGTTCTTTTCCTGCAAGGCACTGCAGCGAACGGTGTTCGTCCACAGTAAGCTGCCGCCCCTTCTCCCCATATCGGATCAGTCGATCCTGCCAGCAAATTGGTGCAAACAGACCTCCCCGACTGGTCCCTCATGGTTGGTCTCCTATATCCATGGTTGGTCTCACCACTATCCCCATATGGCAATTTTTCGGTGTCGAATTCTGGCCTCCAAAGATTCCTTGCCAAGCTCGAAAACAATGAACAACGACCTAAAGCCGCAAAGTTGCTTAGCGTTCAATGGAAGAATTGGAGGCCCATCAACCGATGCCTGTCCGTATTCTTGCGGGATCATAAGGATATATGATATTATGATATATTTCCAAGGCTCACATCTGGTTGTGTTTGAGGTCTCCAGTCCAAGCACACCCTTATGAAGCCCTCAACCCAAAACAATGTGCCATACATACATACAGGGCCAAACTCATTGAACCAATGATTCATCAGATGATGACATTTGGTGGCGTTCACCCCTCATAAATCTTGGCCTGTGAGGATCATTTTCCCAAGTAAGGTGACATTCTAGTGCTACTGACAACTCAAGATTGACTAAACCCCAATTCAATGATGCTTACACGCCCCATGAATTGACAACACCTGGCTTTTTGAACGAAACGGACATGTTCCGAGAAACTCAGACTCGATGTCCAGACCAGGCTTGCCGCTGGAATCCTTTGAATAGCTAATCACCGAGACCTTGATTCGCATCTGCACTGGGCGAAGGTGGCTGGGTCACGCTGGTCTTTTTGCTGTTCAAATATAAAGCCATAGCATAACCAATGATTCAACAAATTGGCATGGTTATGCAGTTATGCATGGTTGATATTCTAAATAATTCAAAATAAACCATTACTTACAGTATTCATTTTGGATTGGTGCTAAGTTTGGCCAATGCCCAAATGATTCAACAACCGGTATCCGATCTCAGGGTGCGTTCGTTGGGGGCCTTTTCATGGCTGTGCCGTATCAGGCACCAAGAGCGACATTGCACAGGAAGAATGCTTTCCGCATTGAACAGAAACCATGATTCTGAATCATGCTCAATGCAGAGTCACCTTCAATGAGAACCAGCAAGGACGCTCAACTTAAGCATGAGTCCCGGACAAAACAGGAGGAAAAGTCTATCTTTCTCATCCTCGGAACGCGGTACTGTAACTCATGCCGCTCGATATGTCTCTTGAAAGATCACAACAGCAGCTATGCTTCGCCAAGATACAACTCCCCCCGTGATGAACGCCTTCGCCTTAGAAGCGCTTTCTCCACAGAGACCCGGCTTCCATTTGAGGGGGAACCTTGAGACCCGGCTTCCACGCGCAGCCGAGACACACTGCTGTTGGAAGTTCCACCATTCGTGGATCAAAGGATCGGGTAGCAAAATCGCCCCATTCCGTGGAGCGCTCTGCCCAGTCCAAGTCCTGACACAGAGTGGCGCTGAGCCCGACGAATGACAAAAGGGCGATTCGGTCCACCAAACATCAACATTTTAAGGTGCAGCAATGAAAGCACAGTTCAAAAATTCACCAAACATTCGTGCAATTTCGTGCAATTTCGTGCAATTCTAGGTGGTCATTCTCTATGGCTATGATTTCAATGCACCCCCGTACAGGGATAGCAAGGTGCGCACACATCCCACCAGGGCCAAGACTGCCAACATAAAAAGCTGCCGCATAGGACCGATGAACAAGTGCTATGGGAAGTTGACGCTGGGTAAGGGGATACTTGGTCACGTGCACAGGTGATGACACTACTTAAGATACTTAAGTTGGGGTCGTCCAAAACACCCCCTTCCCTATGCTTGCGCAAAGAAGGAGGACACCAACACTTTCTAGTGAAGTCATGTCAACCGATGGTGCAAGTCATCAGCCGGGCAGTTCTGAAGAGCAATGATTTGAGTGTCACAGAACCAGGTCGCAAATCCTCTGGTCCGGGAAACAGATGGATTCATTCAGCGGTGTGGATGTCTTCAGGTTCAACGAATTTGAATGAGTTTGACGCCTTGACACATGTACAAAGTAGTACAGTAGCCACTGCAATCGTTCAAGCTTGCACAAGCAATACACCCCCATGCAAGGTCGGCAATCAGGCAAACCATGCATGCGACGCTGGTTTCGTGATAGAGTCCAACACCAAAAGAATTGATCATCCACCCAATGGGTGACATTGACAACAAGGCGTTGCGCACCAAATCTTTGTGAGCAACTGGACACCAGCACCGTGTCTGGACACTTGATCTTGGCAGTCTGACTCTATCTTAGGATGGTTTCCTACCTTTTGCACTTTACAAAGGCAAGAATGGTCTTGATCACAACACTGTGCATCAATACATGACATGACATAACATGACATGACATGACATGACATTAGATCGCAAATGTATGCACTATGCACATTTACATATTTACTGTGCGAGTGTGCTTTTCTTGAATGGTAGGTGGAGCTCCCTAGGTAAGACATCTAGCGGATCGAACTCGGTTCGAATTACTTCCACTTGCACAATGGGCGGCATGGATCGACCAACCAACACAATGCAAAGATATGCAAAGATAGATAATATTTTCTACAGTACATGTCCACAAAAAGAAAAAAGATCGATCTCCAAAAGAAATCCAAAGATATTTCAAGATATTCAAACGGACTTTGATCAATTCCCGCTGCACATTCACCATTTCACCAACGTTCACCAAACGCTACTGACCTTGTCGGATTGCGTCCCTTGCGGCTGCGCTTCGGCCTCTTCGGCGTCACTGACTCCCTTAGACCAAGGCTGAAATGTCGGGCCATAACGGCCGTAACCCGTGGCGTGGCGCAGCTTTCATGCAGCCTCTAAGATGGGCTAAGGTGGGCTAAGACGGGCCAAGACACTTCAGACTTACGCCCTTCAGGCCCGTCTTGACATCCTTCCTCCTCTTCGGGCATCTTAGTCCCATTCTGGATGGAAAGCAGCACGTTTATGCCTCAGGCCCAAAGAGTTCCATGCCATGACAGGTGTAGTAAAACATCCCAAAAAAACATTCAACGTTTATGAACCGTTCGAAGATTTCAAGTCCGAGTTGGTGGCTCTTTTTGAAGCTCGCCAGGGCCGCATCATCCTTACAACCCATCGCTTTCTGGTTCAATGCCACTTGAGGCCAGGGGGGGTACGAAAGCTAGCAGGGCTGTTGTAGGGTTGCAATATCTATTGGGTCCAGTAAGCGAGAACCCCCCAATGCAGCAATCGTCTCTCGCCAGGTTTTTTAAGCAAAGGAAAGGCAAGATTAAAAAAAAAAAAAAAACGCCCCCCAGATGGAAGCCCAAATCTGCATTATGCGTACACAAGATGTTCAACGCAGTGCAACGTATGCATGCATGCATGCATGCATGCATGCATGCATGGATGCATGGATGCATGGATGCATGGATGCATGGATGCATGGATGCATGGATGCATGGATGCATGGATGCATGGATGGATGGATGTGTGGATGTGGGGATGTGGGGATGTGGGGATGTATGGATGTATGGATGTATGGATGTATGGATGTATGGATGTATGGATGTATGGATGTATGGATGTATGGATGTATGGATGTATGGATGTATGTATGTATGTATGTATGTATGTATGTAATGCAAAGTAACGTAACTTAATGTAATGGTATGTAATGGTATGTATAATGGTATGTATAATGGTATGTATAATGGTATGTATAATGGTATGTATAATGGTATGTAAAATGGTATGTATAATGGCATGTATAATGGGATGTATAATGGTATGTATAATGGTATGTAATGGTATGTAATGGTATGTAATGGTATGTATAATGGTATGTATAATGGTATGTATAATGGTATGTATAATGGTATGTATAATGGTATGTATAATGGTATGTATAATGGTATGTATAATGGTATGTAATGGTATGTACTGGTATGTAATGGTGTGGAATGGTGTGGAATGGTATGTGTAATGGTATGTATAATGGTATGTTTAATGGTATGTTTAATGGTATGTAGAATGGTATGTATAATGGTATGTGTAATGGTGTGTATAATGGGAGTGGATGTGCAACACGGCTCGCGAAATCGAAGCAGCCACTCAGCCACTCAGCCACTCTGCCAGAGAGGCTGGACCAGCCACTCAGCCACTCAGCCACTCTGGCAGAGCGGCTGACGCAGCCACTCACCCACTCAGCCACTCTGAGTGACTGAGTGGCTGAGTGGCTGAGTGGCTGGTCCAGCCACTCTGGCAGAGTGGCAGATTGGCTGGAGCAGCCACTCAGCCACTCAGTCATTCAGAGTGGCTGAGTGGCTGAGTGGCTGCTCCAGCCACTCTGCCGCAGCCACTCAGCCACTCAGCCATTCTGGCAGAGCGGCTGACGCAGCCACTCAGCCACTCAGCCACTCTGAGTGACTGAGTGGCTGAGTGGCTGGAGAGCCATTGGAGTGTAAGCAATATTACCCAGACCTAATTTTTCTTAGGTCTGAGTATCTCAAGTGAGGTCTTATGCTAATTTAGGGCTCCTTCCTTTATTCATCCAGGCACTGGGGAATATATGGAATCTTAGGCAAACAGGCAAACATCTGTGTTAAAGGGTTGTGAGAAAGAAGTCATTAGTCATTTGTGTTAAAGGGGTTCGCTCTGTGGGTCTCTGCGGATCATCATGGCGAAAGGAATGAGACATTTGGTTATAGTTCCAATGTTTTCATATATGTATGTTATTAAAGAAATTATATACATATATAGCTAGACACAAACACACCTAAGGTCATATCATCCACCTCCATCATTTCGTCATTTACCACAGTTCATTTTCACAACAGTTCATATCATTTCATCACAGTATCAACACAAAATAAAACCACATAATTTCATACATCATCATCCCACATCATTTCATCATCATCATCCATCATCACATAAATTCATATCATAAAATGTCATCATCATATTTTATCATAATATATTATTATTAAATAATATCATAAATATAAATCATCCACGTCTAACATTCCTATGTTCGTATATGACAAATTATGGGGTTAAAGTCTTTTAAAGTTTTTTGGTGTAATGGTTTTCCAGAGTTATTTCAATTTTGCAATTCTGGTTTCATCATCTTTTAAGTATTCCTCCATATGTGTTTGTTTTTTCTCTTCTTCCTTTTTGAGTTTTTCCTTGTTGGAATGTCTGTCGGTTTTAAGACAACCTGCATTGTTTCACATTCCGTTGGCAAATGTCGCAGAATACTTCCTTTTGATTATATACTTTGTTACTCTCCTTTTGTTTGTCCAAGCATTCAATACACATTCTATTCATTCCATTGAACTCGTCACCATTTTTGTTTTTCTTACACTTTGTACACTTTCTACTCTCCATACTATTATAAGGTATTATCCTTTCAATTTTAAGTGTATTTCCTTATATCATAAAATTTCATATTATCTGATATGAAAATTTATGGGGTTCAAATATAAATTCCTTGTTGTATTCTTTCATACACTTTGTCAAACTTATTCTCGTCAATAATTGTATTTCCAATAAACGGTTCATTGTCTTTGATATACAACAATACTTTCTTAAACAATCTATAAAGGTTTCATGATTAAAGTTATCATCCATACAGTCAGCATCATTAATATTCATTTCTAACATGCAGAATGCAACAGTAGAATATGATTTGTTACAACATGTTTCAATCCTTGTCCATAATCTTGATAATGTCTCATGTCTTTTTCATTTAATATTAAATTCATGTTATCATCTGGAAATTCATTCACTAAAGTATTATCAACGTATATTTGAATTTGTTCATCAATATCCTCATCGTCACAAGGGTAAATATCAATTTCAATTGAATCAAAATGACTCATTATATTTGAGCAACTTTTGCAGGCTACATATTCACAAATTTTATTACCAATACCATCGGTAAAAATATTTTTGGTAATTCATTTTATTGTTGCATATTCACTACATTTACAGCTTAAGATTTTTTGTTTGGTGTATTCTTCTTGATTGATTTCACGTTCACTACTTGTATCACTGAATGACATTTCGCTATATATATATATATAGATAATATTCCTTTAAGTAGATTTCCTATAAATGGTAATTTATATGTTCAGCAATTCATGCCTCAATAGTGGTCTATTGTATCCTTCTAATGTATAATATGTTTGATTCCAATTTTCATCAATGGACTCTACTGTATACTCACCTTTCAAAAAGTGTGAGGTTCTCTCCTTCTCCGTTGTTGCTTTCTTCCTTTTGATTTTTACTTTGTCCCCCACAGATAGTTCAGGATAAAACCTCTGTTTCTTTGCTTTCATTGCAATGTTTGATCTTGACTTGAATTCATTGTCTTTATCTCTGGCTTTATACGGTGTTTGACCAGTAGCGGAAAGCACATCTTTTTTATTGTAAGTTAACATCATTTCATCTATGTAGCCTATCCATTGTATATTCGTTTTTTATTTTTGTTCATCGTTCTCAACTCTTTTGCATAATTTGTCTTTAACAGTTTTTATAAACCGCTCGGCAAAAGCAGGGTGGCCTCTTGTCCTATACAATTCAATGCCTTCGCTTTCTACACATGCTTGGAATTCACCATTTGCTATAGTTTTGTCGTCGTCGGTGTATATGATTTCAGGTTTCTTGCCCATCTTCTCTATCGTTTTCTTTGTTCCTTGAATAACACTGCCTGTCTCTTTCCTTCTTACTGGGACTACGATAGCATACTTACTCAAACAATCAATACAGACTAATCCAGCTCTGTATCTTTGTTTTACCTTTAATTTTTTGAGAAATAAAGAATATATCAACTTGGTATCTATGATTGTTATGTGGAGCAACAAAGCTGTTATAGCCTCTCGGGTTCATTTTTATCTCTACACTCTTTTTGAAAAAATATTCAACATCTTTCATAGTAATAGATTTGTTTTTCTCTCTTGCATCCTTCAAAGTAGTGTTTTTGGAACCAAACCCTGCTTTATAAAAGTATATGTTTCCTATGATTTCTTGCTTACTCATATCAATATTTTATTAAGTTTATTATATTGAAAAAAAAACTAATGTGAAGAAGAATTGCAGTGGCAACAATAAGCCTCGCAGTTGTCAATAGAATGGCACAGTCCATTGTCACCTCTCTGCGCCGTTAAAGTTACTTGACAATTTGCCACCTCTGGTATCAAGATTAAATTTAACTCCACAGTTTGCACAACAACCCTTGAACATCTTCAAACATGTTCATCAATGTATTCATCAACTATTTCTCTTCCTCCTTTTCTGTCTTGTCCTTTGTAACCTTCAACCTTGTTTTTAAAATAGTTAACCACCAAATTCTTAAACATATTTTCGTCGGCTTTATCATTTTTGAAAAATATACATTATTGAAATCTGTTGCTCTGGTTACAGCACACCATAGCCATTCTTTGCTCACCAAATAGTCGTTGTAATAGTTGTTTCCAATCCTGAACTTGTAGAGTTCATCACCACTCTCTTTCTTTTTGAGTGATTTTAGGTTATGGTTCAAAGTATATATGTGGCTGTTCTTAATCAATCCGTTGAAGTTCTGTAGCTATGGCAGTTGAAGTTTACAGGGTTATGTTTGTAAATCAAGTTGCTGTCAATGTCATATACTCTTGCTTGCATATTGAAATGTTTAAAACTTTATCCGTCCATTTCATTGATTGATGACTCTGCCGCAGCCACTCAGCCGCTCTGCCAGAGTGGCTGATGCAGCCACTCAGCCACTCTGCCAGAGTGGCTGGAGCAGCCACTCAGCCACTCAGCCACTCTGCCAGAGTCGCTGACGCAGCCACTCAGCCACTCTGCCAGAGTGGCTGGAGCAGCCACTCAGCCACTCTGCCAGAATGGCTGACGCAGCCACTCAGCTACTCTGCAAGAGTGGCTGGAGCAGCCACTCAGACACTCAGCCACTCTGCCAGAGTGGCTGGAGCAGCCACTCAGCCACTCAGCCACTCAGCCACTCAGCCATTCTGCCACAGTCGCTGCCAGAGTGGCTGGAGCAGCCACTCAGCCACTCAGCCACTCTGCCACAGTCGCTGGAGCAGCCACTCAGCCACTCAGTCACTCAGAGTGGCTGAGTGGCTGAGTGGCTGATGTGAAAATTTCCGCCATTGCGCGTTCAATCTATAATGGTATGTATAATGGTATGTATAATGGTGTGTAATGGTATGTAATGGTATGTATAGATCCCCCATCGAATTTTAGGGGAGACGTTGTGACCCCTGGTCTGTAAGGCATAAAAAAGATTCACAAGCTTGGGGCTATAGAATGAGGTTGCTGAGCTCCATTTTTCTCGAAAATAGCCTTAGCTACAAAATGCCCCTTCGTTTCAACAACCTTGACATAGGGGGAGGTTTTCCCTTGTTACAAAATGCCCCTTCGATTTCAACAACTGTATCATACAAGGACATACCCTTTGCTGCAAAATGCCAATCTCATTTTCAAGGACTGCATACGCAAAGGAACATCGTTGCTACAAAATGCAACGTTGTTTTCAACATCATCCACCAAGATTCATCAAGCATCATCATTCATCACAGATCAATATAGATCAATACAGATCAATACAGATCAATACAGATCAATACAGATCATGCATATTCATGCATCATCATGCAGAATTGTTCTGTTTGAATCTGCTTGGTCCTTTTCATTGTATTGCGGCAGCTCTGCAACGGATTGCTTGAACCACATCTAAGCTACAAAAGGCCCGTTTGATTTTTATAAGCCAGTATGAAGCTCATCATGTCATGCTACAAAATGCCACTGCGGTTTTCATGATGGGCTAACATGACTAAAATGACTCCTTTATAAAATGATATTCACAAGTTTAAGCTACAAAATCTTGGACCTGGATTTCATCTCAAGGTTAGCCTGACTAAAATGGAAGCCTCTGTATAGTGCTTGTGGCCACCAACTCTGTAGCTTGAATTTGCTGGGGGATATGTATAGTGGTATGTATAATGGTATGTATAATGGTATTTATAATGGTATGTATAATGGTATTTATAATGGTATGTATAATGGCATGTATAATCGTATGTAAAATGGTATGTAAAATGGTATGTAATTGTAGGTATGTACGTACGTACGTACGTACGTACGTACGTACGTATGTATGTATGTATGTATGATTATGTATGTATGTATGTATGTATGCATGTATGTTGGTATGGTATGGTATGGTATGGTATGGTATGATATTGTATTGTATGGTATGGTATGGTATTTATGGTATGTAATGGTATGGTATGGTATGTATGGTATGTAATGGTATGTAAGGTTTGTAGGTTTGTAGGTATGCAGGTAAGTATGGTATGTAGCTATGTAGCTATGTAGCTATGTAGCTATGTAGCTGTGTAGCTATGTAGATATGTAGCTATGTAGCTATGTATGTATGTATGCAGTGTATGTAGTGTATGTAATGTATGTAATGTATGTATGCAATGTATGTAATGTAATGCAATGTAATGTCATGTCATGTAATGTAATGTATGTATGTATGTAAGTACGTACGTACGTATCTATGTATGATGATGATGATGATAATGATGATGGGGATGTTGCCTGCGATGGCAATAAGGAAGAGGATGAGGATGAGGATGAGGATGATGATGATGATGATGATGAGGATGAGGATGAGGATGGTGATGGTGATGGTGATGGTGATGATGGTGATGGTGATGATGATGATGATGATGATGATGATGATGATGATGATGATGGGGCTGATGATGATGATGATGATGATGAGGAGGAGGAGGAGGAGGGTGAGGATGATGATGATGATGATGATGATGATGATGATGATGATGATGATGATGATGATGACGAGGCTGATGATGAGGCTGATGATGAGGCTGATGATGAGGCTGATGATGAGGCTGATGATGAGGCTGATGATGAGGCTGATGATGAGGCTGATGATGAGGCTGGTGATGAGGCTGATGATGATGATGATGATGATGATGATGATGATGAGGATGAGGATGAGGATGAGGATGAGGATGATGATGAGGCTGATGACGAGGCTGATGATGAGGCTGATGATGAGGCTGATGATGAGGCTGATGATGAGGCTGATGATGAGGCTGATGAGGAGGAGGAGGAAGATAATCATGATCATTTGGAAGCTGGTAAGTTTCCGATGGTGATTTTAGAGAGTTGATGGTTGATATACTGAACATGACGTCCTGAAGATGAACCTGGTGCCTGCCTATTCCTTGCTAAAGCACGAGCAACTTCAGCTAGCACAAGCTAGCTTTCGTAATTACTAGTAATTACAGTCACCATGCATTCATTCACCAAATCTGAGCTTGGAACTGTCTCTTTGTAGTATTTCACTGCCACGTTCTTCAATGCCTGATGGTCGCGCTGTCCAACTAGAAAGAAAAGCATGATGTTCAGGAAACGGTGACTTTCATTTGCAGACTCTAACAAGCAAACAGTTGCTAGCATGACGCTATACATTTTACAAAGCTGTTTGACGGAGCAAATGTCTTTGCCCTTGCCTCGACATCAAGCCCTTTGTATACAACAGCGTAGCTACCTGCTAAGCTGCAGATTCATCTTGCAATGGCATGTTGAAAGAATCGGATTGTTGACTCCCTGTTCACCCTCTCCATGCCTGTCTCCACCCCCAGAATGCAAGCCCCAAATGATGTCCGCATTGCTTAATCTATGAAGCCCAATTTCACATCACATTCAGTCGCAGTGCCATCCAGACCCTCATCTTGCCTTCACCAAGAACTTGGTCTCTTGAGAGCTTGAATTTGTTTTGTAGAAGCTCCTGATCAACACAGTCACCACTGCATTCATCTTCAAAAGCAGCACGAGCTGATTTGCATGTTCCAAAGATTACAACTTTGCTCGCACCTGAGAACTCTTGCTCATCTATGTTGCCTCCAGTTCGCTGCTGAAGCCCGTGATTTAGACCACAGCAGCAAATCAAACAAAAAAAGGATACCCTGTGGTCTAGATATATTATTGTAGTGGTTTCTCATCATATTCAAATTCGCCCTGTCATATTCGCCTTTGACATTTCAAATTTGGGGTATATCTCGGTATATGCATCATTTCTGGACAAACCCATTTTGCTTTGGCCACTGGTGCTATTCCATTATGAGAAATGGACGTCTCACCCAGCGATTCTAGGAAAGCTACTGACGACAGAACGACACAAATGGATTTGAAGAGTATCCCAGCCTTTTAGGCACTCTCATTTCATTTCATTGCATATTTTGGAGTTTGAGCAAAGTGAAACGCTTCAAGCACAAACCACGCTGCATTTTTTAGTTTGTGGCCAAGTGTCTGAGAACGGAATGAGCATGGCACAGTAAAGCACATGTCTTCATCGTCCTGCGCGCACCTTTTGACAGTCTGTTCTCTTTGACGCGACTGACTTCCAGGGGATGAAAAAGGACCACAGGAGTCGTCCGACAACAACTGTTGGCAAAGTGTGCCTTGTGAAGTTTGCTTCACAAGAAACCAAAGCACAACGCGGAACAGAATGCGTTATTCAGAAAAACCAAACAATCCACGCAAAGTGAAAGTTCCCTACCAACTCTTACACGCTCTTTTCAGGCTAGATGGGCTTTCCCATCAATAAAGAGATAAAGGTGAAACAAGAAGAACGCTACGCGTCAGTATCAGATATGCTCCACTCTACCTGCAACCATCACTTCAATGGTCCCCAATGATCCACAAGTTTTGTTGACGTTTGTTGAACTGTTGGTCTCCAAAGGCGTGACACATGACCTGCCTGAACAAATTTTGGAAGGCGTTTGGAATACCTGCGCAGTTGTCGGGAAAAGGCGAGCCACGCCGAGCCATATCCAGACTTGTCCCCAGAAATGGCAAGTCTATCAGCATCCACAGCGCACGAATAATCTCGGGACTGACGGAGTCGGCGGGTTGCTGAAATTGCAAACGGAAGACCTGAAGGTCAGTGAACGCATCCTAGCAAATATATTGTCCCTTTCTCCTAACAGCCCCATAGACCCTGGCTAAGTATATACTGGATCTGCTCATTTTTGGGCTTCCACATATTACTCGGGAACTTTCCATTAGAGTATTATTGAGGGGAAGAGATTATAAAATTGGTTTGTCTGAAAACGGAGTATACCCCCAATTGCCATTTTGATACGGAAAATATGGGAAAATCAGGATTAACATCGACAAGCATTGGATTAAGGGGTAGCCTAGTTTCAGACAAGCCCTCGATGACACTGGAGAGCCAACCAGATCCTGAGTGACACACGAGGGGCCCCGATCGATCGCTTCTTCTTCCGGCGGATGACTGGGAACCATCACCTATCAGCAAGACCACTGTCAAGTGTCTAAGGTACTCGTCGAAATTGCGTAGCCAACATTCTAAAATGGATGATTAATACAGCTAGCTAATACTTAATACATGATAATATATGATAATACTAAAAACAAATACGGATTCGTGATGTCATACATGTCTCAGCTTTTGACCAGTCAGAGTTTGTGCAGCTTCAAAATAACGTGCCTTCAACTCAGAGGATGTTGCGATCGGCTCTGCAGCCTGCAAGACTGACCAAACCGCTGAGGTGGATTGGTTTTGTTGGTTGGTCATAGGGATTCTGAGAGAGTGGCTTACAGTGATCCAAATCAAAGCAGTGGATATGGCTCAACCATGTGGTATCAATGGACCCACGTCAGTCGGACCCTTTTTCCCTTTTCTCAGCCACTTCTGCAATGCACAACATCTCCCACCTTCACTCCACACAAGCCACATCCCGTGTTGCCACAGGCGACGCAGGACACTTGCTCAACTTGCGGTACCTCAAATAAAACCAAAACTCGAAACAGGGCAGTCCCGTAGTCCCACAAAGCAAGAAGTATGCTTGACAGACTTGACAGTCCAGTTTGAATTCAAAGATATTCAAAGTGCAAGTCAAGTCACAGTTTCTTTGCCGCACAGCCCACATCCAGTATTCCCGCAGGCCATGCAGGGCGGGCTCTCCTGTGCTTCCTGGTCCTCAAGCAATCTGAAAACATGTGATGCGCTTCGTTGTGTTCCTGTTATAGTTTCCTGTGTGGTATGTGAATGGTCTGGAATGGTACGTCTGCTATGTCTGCATTGTATGTGTATGTGGATATACTATGTGTGAATGCATGTGTGCATCCGTATATGTTTGCATGAGAGTGTCTGTGTGGGTGTATCTATGTTCCACCTGTCTGCCCATCACCTATCTACCTACCTAGCTGCAAACAAGCCTATCAATATGTCAGCTGTAGCTGCTTAGCTGCCAGTCTATCCATCCGTCCACTCGTGTGCATCAATGGGTGCATGCAACCATGTTGCGTTTGTGTGTGTGTGTTCGCGTCTCTGGGCGTATGTAAATGCATCTTTGAATACATACATCCATACACTATCAGTCATGATCATATTGTCTCTAGAGTCAATGCTTGAAATATTTGGAATTGATGCAAAAGATAATATGTAAAGTAAAAATTACCACTTTATATAAGGCAATGGTAAAGCTCTGCAAGATATATGTTTTCATTAGATAAAATATAATCATAGAATATCATAGAAGGTTTTTCTCAAACCATTAACGCAATGTGGCAAGGGGACACCACCGCATGAAGCTGGCGCCTGGCTGCCACACAAGCCACAGCCAGTGTTGTTGCAGGCAAGGCAGTCAGACGCCTCGAAAAATCACAGGGACAGTGGAAAGTGTGTCGCACTACCTTTCAGAGTCAGTATTCAAGCTCAACCAGATCTCATTTAAAGTTATGTTCTCCAATTTAAGTTCTTCATTGTTTTGTTCATGATCCATAATTTGGGTTGGACTTCTACCTCTCGCATATGACTCCTCCAAACACCTAAATCTGCAAGATATATTTATATATATGAGCTGCGAACCATATTTGTTACATAACGCAATTGACGTGGTGTTCCTACCTCGTTCTCCAGTCCCGTAACGTTTTTGCCTACCTCGTTCTCGGGGTGTTCCTACCTCGTTTTACAAGCTAAATATGATGTTTTTGACAAAGCGGGGTACGCCCGAATACTACTTTCCATATACGCAAATAAGAGCCGTCGCTCATATATTTTTTATCATATTTATAAATGTCGGGAGTACAGTTGCGAAAGCTTTGGAAAGGCAAAAAACTGCACTTGGCATTGCAGAGCGCATGTCAGACTGAACCCAAACCAAGGTATCAACACTCAAAACCACGGGTGGTCTGAGCATAGCGTTGCAGCCACTTGTCATGTCAAACAACGTAAAGGGATACTGGGATATCGCCAATCAAGGGGGATTGTATAGAAACATCCAGTCCGCGAGATCTGCGAGATCTGGGGAAGTGATACTCTGTGATAGCCAGCCTTTGCAGCAGTCCTCCTGCAGCATCGCTGGGAGCAGCCCACCTCAGCCAGCTCAGGCAACTTCAGTGATGCGACAGGGCAATGCACTTTGAAGCTTTGGACCACATCAAGAATGTCACATGCGACATGACGAGGCACCGCAAGAATGATGATGATCGCAACAATGACAAGGCCCATGATGGCCGCCACGAAACTTCCTTGTGACCTCAGCACGCCACTTGCAGGTATGACCAGGACAGCAAGAACAACTCCACCAATAATGGTCACCGCAGGTACCGAAATCCTTGTAATTGTCAGCAAAACATTCACATCAGGGAGAATATTGGAGAGTTCGATAGACCTGCTCCTACACCTGTCAAATTCCATCTATATACATCAAATTTCATATGAAGAACTTAAAGGACCCTGGTCTTGATCAGTACCCAACAGACCGAACTGGCCTAGGCGCCTTAAGCGCCGAAAAAACCTCACTGCCAAGGTGCGCTGCATCGCGCTGTGCGCGGACTACAGGGAGAATCACCAGAATGTGCTGCAGAGTTAGCCATGCCGTCATCCATCGGCCTCAGTAACGATGTTGAGCCAAAGATATCAACAGGGTTCAAGATCTCAATGACATGTGTCATGTTGGCTATGGGTCAAAATTGCATGTGATTTCCTGTGTTTCTGTTCAGATTCTTCAGGATGGGATGCTTTGCGACCAAAATAGCCACCGGCTTGCCGGTGCCGGTGCGCTCCGGCAAAGGGGCCTCAAATTTTGACCCAAGGGTACCTTGCTCTGCTGGGAATCGCACGAGAGCATCTGGCTAGCATGCCAGAGGTGCACCAAGACCATGTGTGTTCAGGACTCAAGAACCCAGGAAAGTTCGGCCGGAGGTGCTGTTTTGCTGTGACTCCTGTGTATAGTGCATATATACATATATATATATACACATGTATATAATATATATATATTGTTTATATGCACATACATTATTTGCAGTATTGATGTTCAGAATATATGTTAATACATGTATGTATATATATATACATCATATATAGGGGTTGCGATGTGCAAGCAGATGCAATGGGATTTTCACAGAAGTTGACTGTACAGTTCTTTTCAGCGGGACATGTGCTGTATCGGCATGTGATGAGTTCATGCTGCGGATTGTGGTTTTTTTTCGGTGTAGAGACACATGCGCAAAGACCCAAAGTGGGCACAAACCAACTTGTGAGTGGATGTTTGCCCCTGCAAAGAACCCTTTTCAACCTACGCTGCCAGGTGATGCCGGAACTGCAGGTCCACCTGGCCAACCCCGATTCAACGGTGGATAATGGTGTCTAGAAGGCCGTTAATGGAACCTCACTGTTATATAAGCTAGTCACAGTCTTGATACATAATTTACGACAGCCAACAGTCTCAGTCACAAAAGGCCAAAGAGAGGCAAATCTCGAAGCATGTTCAATAGACGGTTCGAAAAGTTTCTGTCTTCCTGTCCATGGGACTTCATTGAATCCAACCTCAGAGATTCATTGCTGCATGGCCACGAGGTTCTTCATCTTGCCGCGAGATTCCTTGAGATCACCGCAAGATGGCACCGTGGGTGGAGGTCTACAACCGTATCCTCCAAATAGATTAAAGATGATTAAAGTAAAGCGTTTCGAGAAGTAAAGCTATTGGATCCTGGGTAGGTAGTTGCTGTTGTTCCCAATCTTGTTGGCCTGTTGGCCTTGTACTCTGGGGATGGTTGGTTTCAAGACCAGAAGGAGCTATGAGTATGGGATATAGTAGCGATAGGCTATGCAAAATCACTATGTGTATCTAATGGTATTTCTATATATACACACATACATATACGTGGGAGAGATAGATATGGATATATTTGATCTGAAATATTACATATTTGATATAGATATGGATATAGGATGATATAGGTATAAGATATAAGATACAAGATAGAAGACCAGGATAAAGCATATAAGATATAAAATATAAAATATAGCTATAGATACATATAGTGATATTGACAGAAAGTGTTGCAAATAACTTACGATAACGTGCTTTAGATACAGATACACACAGGTTGCACTTTTGGTCAGTTCACAAAAGATCATGGTATGGAAGAATCCAGGCTGACAATGGCCCAGGTTTGTCTCGCTGAGAAAGCTGTCCCTCAGGAAAAGGGGACTGCATAAATTGGGCAAACTTGTACGTTGTAAAAGGATCCCAGGGAACACTCCCTCTCGCTTTTCATGTCCATTTGAATCTGTGTCCATGAACTGCCTGCCTGAAGGTAGTCCGGCAAGCTACCTCTGCAAAGTCACATTACAAAGCTCTTCAGGGTTTATGCAAGCATGAGACATGTGGAGCTTCTGATGTTGGGACGTGAATAATTTGTCTCAATACAGGTCTGATTTGGCAAACAGCATATATTCATCATTCGCTTCATGTGCAAGCAAACTATTCTAGATTCATGGTCTGACTGCTCCAGCCACTCAAGTCTGACTGTACACTCTGACACAGGTGCAATCGCGTCCGCACAGCCGTGATTCCATGACATTGGATTCATTGGACCAATTGGATAGCTCAAAGAGGCTCAAAACATGGAATGGACGAATGGATTGGTAGTGACTGGTAGATCACCGCAGTCGTGTCCGGAGATGCCGTCACATCGATGCGGTCCATGTGGCTATCAAATAAAGGCTCGTAGCTGTGGATTGGACTTTGAGATCTTTGAGTGAGACGTGACCTGGAGGGAATTGAGCCCACCATTGAGAATCTTTGTGAAATTTGTGACTTGTGCAGCTTGTGCAGCTTCATCCAATCGATACTGCAGCAGAAACCACAGCGTGATCTGTTCTGCCACATTTCCCTCGGGGAGATCTCCGTGGCCACCATCATAGAAGCAACGCATGATGCGCCGTCCACTGGAGCATCCTTTGTAGTCGAAACAGGCGAAGTTTTGTTTCCCACCGTCCCAGTAGCTCTTGGCTTCAGAGGCCACGGTGTCACATTCATGAACTGCGGCCCATCCTTGCTGAACCTTGTTCAATGGTTCATAGATCCAACCTGGCATGAATCCACCAGAAACTCCACCCTGCGGTGGCATGATCTCATCTTGCCTACCATGCAGTTGGAGCATGGCAGTCTGCCTGCAGTTCTTGGTGTCGCGCACCAACTCGAATTCAGCACCCAGGCCATAGCCCAGCAACGGCAGACCATACCAAGGTGCTACAGCCGCGAAGGTGCCCGGTAGCGACTGGACCAAGTAATGTGCCAACATACCCCCGTTGCTCTCGCCCGTGACATACACGCGAGAGTGGTCGATACAAAGAACCGAACTGATGGCTTGGATGATGGAGTACACGAAAAGTCGTTCATCATAGCATCCCGACCAGTTGCAACTGCCACACTTGCCCTGCTCCCAGCAGGATGCATAGCAATCTGCAGTAACTTCATCATTCACACAAGTCTGTTCATCCCCCGCCGTGCCGACATTCCAACCGGTGCCCATGTCACCACCTCCCGGGACGGCATCGTCCAATCCTGGTGAGCCATTCACGATCACTATTCCATTCGGGATGGGAAAGTACCGGTAAACATGTTTGAAACCTGCAGAAACCCCAATTTGGCCAGAAGATATCTGCAACATGTTGCAACATCCCACAACAACGACATTTTGCTGGTTCATTAACCCACTATTTGTCCCGTCCTTGTGGATACACCGTAATGAAGTTCAGGGCCTTCCCAAAGGCGCCAAACTCATGGGAGGCCGCGTAGATGTCGGCCTGGTCGCCCTGGGAATGGAGACCAAACAACAGTGGCGCGGGCCACCCCGAACCGACGCCCTTGGGCACCTGGATGTAGAAAGATCGATTCACGGGGACAAAATCCATCAAGGTCAGTGGAATCCAACCTTCAAAATCCTTCAAAGGTTCTGCTCCCCAATGTTTCACACCTTTTCCATTGAAGCAACCCCGTGATGATGTCGCTTCACCATTTAAGCCATGCAAGCCACGTCCCTGGAGCTCTTTGACCCATGGGATCTCGTCCACTGCCAAATGTGCCAAAGCTGCACTGACAAAGCTCCACTTCCAGAAAAAAATCGAGGTTCGGCCCATCGTTGACGGAAGGTGTCAAGAGATAAGACCCAAAAAAAATGAAAAGGGACAAAGTTTGAGGGCACTGAAGTCTTTCTTCAGAATAGTCTGTCATGACAACGAATTGCGTGCGAAAGCTTATCTAGATGTGTTGGTTCGCTTGCGAGCATTGTTCATGTCTCCGTTAATGGGTATGCCGGAGCCCGCTACAGTTCATATGCTGGAGCCCACTACAGTTCAACTCGCTGCGGAACATGTCACAGCAAAGAGGCAGTGTGTGGACCACAGAAGAAACAGTCCAAAGCCCAACAACTTGGGCATGGGGGCAGTGGGAGCACTGGGCCTCATCCGGACATGGTGCAAAAATCCTGACGCGAGGCGCCATCCTTGCTGAATATGGTGTCTCAACGATCAAAACTATTGAAAACTATTGAAAAGATTAGATTAGACATTGATTAGACAATAAAATGAAAAAATGAATAAAATTGAAAACTGATCAAACTGCATCTCGACCGGACTCTGCGTAAGTCTCCAAAATTGAGGCTAATCTGAGCAAACGAAGAGTTGCGGCGCAAGTTGCGGTGCAAAGCTCGCCCATCATTTTTTCAAAATCGCTATTTCTTTCATGGGATTTTTGATGGGTTTTTGATGGGTTTTTGTTCCTGGGAATTCAGACGTGACAATCTGAACATATACGTAATTATATGTACAGTAAGTACAGTATACGTATGTATATTATGTATATATCATGGATGTAGATGCCCTTTCCACTGCTTTCCAGCAACACATTATATACATCTTGGATTTGGGCAACCTTTGCGTAGCAAAGTTTTCCAAAACAGATGTTCTGCACTTGTTGCCCCAAGGTCATCGGAGTCATCTGGGCACCCACCGAGTCATTTTTCAAAGCGTGGAACTTGCTGCACAGTCGCAGCACAGAGATTCGGACTTGCCTCCGCTGGGATGATACAGAATTTATGGCCCAGCTACAGCAGCTAACCCCAATGAAGCCCTTCTCAAACCTCAAACCTCGCTTTTGGGTCTTCAGCTGACTGATGAAGCAACTGGGACCTTAGACATTGCATGACATTGCACTAAGTTCCACCTGAGGATTGCAGGAAAAAAAGAACTGTGTTTTATAGTGCCAGTGAAGACCCATGCCGTACCAGTGATTTTCATGTTCTACTGTACACATTGTGCATGCATGAATTGCATGATGCGCATGCAACAGACGAATTTATTTTACACTAGAACCACTACAATGACAAGATTAAAATCGAAAGGAAGATGACTGTGTGCTGCGAGTCCACTCTTCAAGGAGTGACAAGGGATTTTGAAGATCCGCCTCACGTTGAGATGTTGCAGTTGGTTTGAAGCGCTTTTGGCTCCGTGGTTCTTGACCAAAAAGCGGACGGGATGGACGGGGAAACCTTTTGTCATCTTCAGGCCCTTCAGGCCTTTGAGGCCCCTGAAGCCCTTGAGGCCCTTGAGTCTTGCCTGTGCTCCTCGTTGGACTCCGATCCTCCAACATTGTCTGCATGCTCTGCATCTCGAAGTTCTGCTCTGTTGGAAACACGTCCCCTTGCAATTCAGGATGTAGGACTTCAGGTGTGACACTCATCACATTCGGCACAATGGGAGTCTTGTCCAGATTCTGAAAGACTGGGTGAGTGAGCAAGATTGAGGCGGCCAACCTGTCCAAAGGATTGCACTGCAGCATTGGTTCCAACAAGTTGACGATGTCCTCATCAAGTCTCAGCTCATCTCCTAAGGCACGCCTTCCGAAGTATGGAAACTCATCTGACCAATAGGGCAACCCTGTGACCCCCGGCCAAGTCTTGTTACATGGAGTTCCAAGCATGTCAAACTGGTGGAACAGCATACCAATTTCGGAGGATCCAGGAAAGAGCGGCTTGCCCTTTGCCATCTCTGTAAAAACACATGCAGATGACCAAATGTCAAGGAAGGTTCCTTTCGTTTCGGCACCCAAAAAGATTTCTGGACTGCGATACCAGAGTGACGCCACCTTCTGGGTCTGCTTTTCCCTCGGAAACGGTAGGCTGCGTCTACTGAGGGAGAAGTCACAAAGCTTCAATTCATCAGTCTTCAGCTGCACAAGGATATTCTGTGGCTTGATATCGCGATGAGCAATGCATCTGGCGTGGCAGTGCACCAAACCATTTAGCACTTGGAAAGAGTATCGCAGAAAGGTTTCTTTCGAGAGCTTCCCAACTTCCTGCAAATGACGGGATAAATCCCGATCCAAATACTGAAACACCATGTAGAGAAGCCCTGGCTCGATGAAAACTTCCAAGAGCTGCACAATGGCAGGATGTGTCCCGAGCTGTTGCAAAAGGGAGATTTCACGCAAAGCCTGGGTACTTGCTCCAAACATCCCGCACTGCTCTTTCCGCTCATCACCTGCCCAAAGCATCACAAAGTGCGCTACACTACAAGTCACTACAAGTCACTACAAGTCACTACAAGTCACTACAAGGCTGCAGGCAAATCATGGGCTTAAGACAAAAGGAAGCTGGACCGAACCTCCGCCATCCTCATAGGAAAATCTCACTTTCTTGATGGCAACAACTCCTCCGGTCTGTTTGCACCTATCACAACGTCAAACACGTCATGTCGACCTCAAGTTCGCTTGGTTTCGCTGTTTACCACAAAAGCCAAACAGAATTTTGCCTGCATCGGAAGACTATGCCGCAAGATCCTTCTCCGATCTTATCCAGCTTCTGGTACTTGTCTCGTGGAGTTGCCTGGGCAATTTGTCAGGAGTGGCTGAACTTGTATGGATAAAAATAAGATGAGAATAGATAAGAGGCAGCGGCTGATGGATAATCAAAGATGATCAAAACACAAAGCACTATGTCCTGATCATCAAAGAAAATGCAAACTGGGAATCCCACCATGACTTGGCGTTTAGAACTCAGGATTCCGAGCCAGTCACGCTAGTGGGCGGAGGCCAAGTTCATGCACAAAGGCAAATCTAGTCACCAAAGACCATGCCGACGAGTTGAACAAGAAGATCCACTGAGAATGCTAGTCATCAACCGATAGCATGACAAGGATTCGCAGCCAAGTCTTTTGTCCACCTATCGCTTCTGCGTTATTACAAGGACAACAGTCACACAAAGCGTGCCAACAAATTTGAGTATGGCAGCAAGATGTGCCCGAATTGGTGAAACATACATGGGGCGATTTCTTCGGCTCAAGTTGCACGTTTTGCAAGAGCCGGTAGAGTGGGTGTCAGTGGCTCTCAACGCCACGAGGGGAGAGTCTTGTATTGCGATCTCTGAAAATTTCAGGTTTTGTCGTGCACTAAGTGCATAACTTCCTGCCAAGTTTGGTTTCAAAGCGCCCCTTTCTGACACCGAGACTTGATTCGGCAGCCACTTCACCCAGACAAATCGGACCAAAGTTTGAAGAATCGTCTTTTCAACAAGAATTGACTCCGAGAATGCCAAGAGTGACAGCGAATGCCACAAATTCTCTATTTTTCGGCCAAACTACTTGCTGCAGTGAAACCACAGCGAGACTGTGTATGCACACCCTGTGCAGTTTTCAACGCAGTGCAAACGCAATTTCATGTGGAAGCACACAAAAAACTGGCAAAAGGATGCAAAGGAGTTGGAAGCATTTGACAACTCAGGTGCATTGAGATTCCAAGTCAAAATCGTGTGCACTTGCTCAGGAGTACCAGGCTTCAGGTCTCACTGTCCAAACTATGCTCCTTTGACTGCTTCCTCAAGTTCGGCCTCGAAAGGATTGGTTCTGTATCTTGATCAACAATTATCCACACGAAGACTCACTACAGGTGCATCTGCCCTCCCGGCCTTTTCCGCTTTCAATTTCTCTACTTCAGTCCTTCGGCTGTGGCAATGCTCAGAATTCAGCCGAGCCAGGCTGCACATGTCCAAGTTCCCGCCGTTCCCGCCGTTCCCGCCGTTCCCGCCGTTCCCGCCGCCCAAGCCGTCCTAAGCTTTGCCAATTCGGCTTCATCGACGGGTTTTCCAAATTCTCCACGATCAAATTTGTCTTGTTCCAGGAGCCACTGGCGACAGGGCAGCACTGGGAAACTGCTGTGAAGTTACCAGATTCGTGGTTCAGGACATGTCCCTTGGTGCGCAAGATTTTGCTTCGAATGGATCGACAGTGGACAATCAAACCTTCCAGCTGCCTTCATCATGAACTCTGCTGGATCATCTGGCGTCTTGATGAGCACAGCTGTCACCAGCGCCTCACAATTCCATCCCCACAAGTGTATTACACTGTGCACTCCCAAAGGATTTGTCAAAATGCTACAGCTTTGCCGAACCTCCATGATAGGATTCATCTTTTCCTGCAATGCAAATTGCAAATATTTTCAAGGACTTGACTAAAGCCATTTTGTGGCTACATCAGGACCTGGGTACTTTAGGACCGGAGATATTTTACACATCTTTTGTACGCATCGGCTTTGTCAGTTGCCGTTTGACCTTTGAGCTGCGAGAGCACAGCACAGAAACCTGCGTTTAGCAGGCTGCACTGTCTTTAGCCACAAGAGGCAAACAGACCTGCCGCAAGGCACTCTTCAGATTTATGGTGCCAGACTTTGGCTCACTTTGGCTTACTTTCCAAAGTCAGCTCGGCAGGCGAATTCAAAGTTTGAGATGTGTAGCTAAAACTCTTTACAACTGCACTATTCAGTATCTTCTGATACCGATACTCTTGTTTGCAGGCGAATTCGTATTGCTTCTGCAAATTGGAGCCATCAATTTTGCTTTCGAGAATTCAACACGTTGCAAGGAAAGAAGATGGACATTGATTGACGAAAAACAAGCTCTACAATTGTGGGTGTTGGAAACCGATAACGATGAGTCACAGCAGGCCCTACATAGTTCTCACTCGACTTGAGGCCATGCCCCAGGATCAGTTGGGCGCACAGCGCCTCAGGGACTCAAAGGATTCGGATCCGCGAACTTCCTGCGCAAACCCTTGGAGACCCTAAGGATCAAACCGGAGAATTCGAATGGAACATGCTGCGGAGCATGCTGCGGCCTGTGAAGCTCAACTCTTACAGTAGCAACTCTCAGGGATGATTGGATGAGTTTGCCGAGAGCCCAGCATTGGATTGCGACTTCCCTGTGCGTCTGACCACTCCTGCGGACATCAATCATGTATTCAAAGAGCGAGTGCTGCAACAAATTTAACAATGCACATCAACCAAGGGAATCCGTCCATCCGTCCATCCGTCCATCCGTCCATCCGTCCATCCGTCCATCCATATCAATATCTATATCTACTCATATATTATCTATATTATATCTACATCTATATCTACGTATATTAATACAGTACATAGAAAGTGAGAGAGAGAGAGAGATTGGAAAATCATTCGAGCATTGAACGACTTCACAAAGGCCTTGTTTCGCACCGGTCGCATCGCATTGCGCCACGGAGACGCAGAGCCAGGAGACTTGCTTGGGCTGTTGCCCTGAGCACCCGTGGGTAACCCGTCGGTAAACAATGTAATTAAACATGTGGAAAATCCATGAAAATCCCTACAACATCTACAAATGGAGGTTTTGGAGGTTTATAGCTGGGAGTCATAGTCACCACTTCTGAACATGTCTGAAATGCGGCTATCGAATATGGCTGCTGAAGGTGCCTGACTCCAGGGCTGCGCTCTTTCAGCAGCAGAGGGGATTGGCAAGAGAAGTCGTCCCTGCAAAATGAGCCAATGAATTTCATGCCTCCATCTCAGGTCCGTGTCACAGGCATCAAGATTTGAGGCAAAAAAATGTGGAATAATCCTATGTACTAATATGGCAGTGTGTCAAAACCTTGTACCCCTTGTGAACATCAAAATAGCTGGTAAATGGATGTTCATCCCCCTAAAAATGGTATTTATAGGTATTGATCCATACCCATATGATCTAATGTGTAATAAAGGATTGTGAGCCGTACCCACACGTTGCTGCCAGTGATCCAAACACTGTCTTCTCCTTTGTCTCCAGCCTGTGTCTTCCGCTGCGGAGATGAGCGCTGTGAAGGAGCCTTGCAAACTTCGGTTGAAAGCACATAGCAAATATCATGATATGTCACCTGTCAACTATGATCAACCCTTTTGCGTTGGGGAACGTTGGAGCTGATCCCAATGCTTACGTGATGTTTGCATGGGACATTCCAATAGCCCTAGCTGACCCTGAACATCGGAATTCTTTCCCTGCCAACTGCTGCCAGCGTGCTCTTGATGTTGGGCGCGAGAACAAATGAGTTGGGGAGGTTGACTGTACCACTACGCCCTGCACACAACGCTGATCTGCGGTGATTCGTTGCTGTGAGGTGATACGTAGTGTAGACTAAAGCCTCGTTCTAAATCATTCTAAGTTGAATTGAACATGCCTCTAGCGAATACCCCAAATCCCTCCAACACCCCAAATGCAAGGATTCCCGTTGTAAACAAACATCAGAATCTGTATCTATGTACTCTATCTGACTCTATCTGATTCGTGCGTTTTGGTTGTAAGATAGCACAAGAAAAGCCTCACAGCATCACATCTTGTCCGCACCTCTTCCAGTGTTTCAACCACGCTAGCACTCCGCCCGGGCCTGTTGGCATACGCAAACGAAAGGGAACCCTGCACCGAAGCAACAGAAGGGTATAGCTCAAAACTATGGACCCCAATTCGGGGATGGGTAAATGCAAAAGGACCAGTTTTGTGCGTCCACATCCCCATTTTTGAGCCATACCGGCCATACCCTATGGATATCTTCATGATGGAAGTCCTTTCGGACGGCCTGGAAGGAGTGTTGGGATTGCTCAGCGCATTTTTTACTGCAGCAAAGGCAGCAGCAGCCACGTTCACGATGCTGGGGCTGCCGGGATCAACCTGTGGCATCTTCGCTTCAAGAGGAAACACCCTGATTCATTGGGTCATTGGACGGTCAAATCCAGGGGGAAGCCTCTGATCAACGGGGGCGCACTATATGAACCAGCGTTAAAAGTCCCAAATCGCCTCTCTCCAGCTAGATGGCGCAGTAGGAATCCCATCCTGCATGTGACCAGTATGTTTCTTGCAGGTTTCTGTTGCCACTTCATTGCCTTCATTGCCTTGCCAACTTGTTGCAACCTGCTATTCACATCTATTCACATCATGGCAATCAGGCCTTTGCCCTTACAAATTAGAAACAGGTGACTTGATAGCCACACCATGAACAGCCAACAAAAGCAACTTGGGAGAAGCAGATGCACTCCTACAATCAATATCATTACTACATATGATCCATCATCTGTATAGCGACTTCACAGTCATCCAAGGGCAAACCCATGACAGAGGGAAAGAGGGATTGGACATTGTTCATTGTACAATTCGTGTCTTTCTCGTTGCTCTTGTTTTTTGTTCGATCTATCTACCAATCAATAAAATTCAAACAGGCCCTGCAAAGGCCTCTTGAATCTCTTCATGCTCACTGTAAAGCTGAGCAACCTGCACGAGGCCAGCATGAAGGGCTTGCAAGACTCTCATTCACAAAATCCGTTCGGTCTTTCTTCGATAATGCAAGAAAGAAATACAGGAACCATCAGGAACCACTGTTCTGATCTGTTCTGCAGCGCAGGGGCCTGCGCTCGCGATGATGGACTCACCTTAAGGACTTTGGACCGTCAAATCATGTCAAAAACTGCACCGAGATCACCCCCCATGGATCGCTGAGGAAGTTGCCAAGTTGTGTGGCAGTTTTTTTGGAGATCGGTTTCTCATGCCCGCCACCTCTTGTGACAGATGAACTGCGCAGCCACAGCTGGTCACGTTGCAGCACGTTGCAGCGTGCCTGTGTTTGCAATGCCTCATTTTGCTTCCGGAGCTCCAGATTCTCTGCCAAGAGCTCATCATGCGCTGTTATCAAAGTAGGAAGATCTATCCTGCCGGATCTGCCAAGTCAAAGCTTCTTTCTCCAAGGAAAGGGATCAGGAATCCGTCTCAAACCTTGACTTGCCTGCATCCAGAGTGAGCACGCAGCAAGAAGCTCTCAAGCCTAGGTCTTCAAACAAACCAGAGATTGTCTCAATTGTCTCATTCTGAACTCATTCTCTTTTCTTTATTCTTCTTTGAGGTTTCAAACGAATCAACAAACCACGCTGGCCACGTTTGAATTTTCCACGAGACAAGGCACGGTCCAGAAGCTTCTCGATCTGCAGGAGGTTGTTCCCTTCCCAGGAGAGCCTCCAAGCGAAGACTACCTCAGCAGAACTGGTTTTTGTCCATCCTCCTTGTACCAAGTGATGAAAGTGATGAAAATCTCGCAATTAGCTGATTTTGGCGAAGGCATGCGAAGGTCGGGACTTCCATGCATGGTCCTTCCCTCCTGGCAATGATGCTTATGCAGAAATGTGTCCAGGCATCATGAGGTGAAGTTTCCTCAAAATATAGTCAAAGATTCTGCTCCCCTATACCTGGATAGATGCTGTATGATACTGTGTATGATGATGTTTCTCTATTTGTCATGTCGGCTTGTGCCAGTGCTCAATGCGTAGCAAGAGGGTCTCCTCGCCCCTCTCAACATCTTCGTCTTGATCATCTTCCTCCCCATCATCCTACAACCAAGACATTGCAGATATGCCCATGAAAAACCATTGTGCCATGCCAGATGCTGCAACTTCACCTCCCCACCGGACCGAAGACCGAACCGTTCAAACGCAAAAACAACGCTCCTCCACTCCTTGCAGCCGCACACGGCGAGGCCTTCAGGGGAGCCGGACCAAAAGGTGATACTTTCAGACAATTTGGATTAGTTGGATTTTAGTTGGTAGAGCTAAACACCCACGATGAGTGGTGGGATATGACGGGTGGATCTGGTACGTATTCCACTTTTTGGCTCATGGGCCCATGCAGATGTTCCTGTGATGGATTATATAAAGTTTGTGGACTATTCTGGACTATTCTTCAAAAACGTCTTTGATTTGTTGGCAGTCGAAAGTCTGACCAGCCAATGCAACATTCAGCATGCTGCAGCAAGTATGCGGCAAGCAATCATTAAACAGATTCAAAAATGTCAAAACAGGATGCACCAACTGCACCAACTGCACCAACTGCACCAAACCGGACCAAACCTCTGTGACAAAGTTGTTTCAGGCCAATAGTGGCACTCCCGTGGAGAAAGGTGAGGACCTTGACCTTCAGTAATCTCCTCGTAGCGACTCTGGTCACCATGGCAAATACCATCAAATACCAGGCTGAGGTCTGCATGGAACTGGAGAACTCAGCATGAAATACTACAAAGCCATACAAAGCCAACTTAAATGCCAACAGCATAAGTTTCTCCTGCCAAACAGGTATCAGCCTCAGCTTTCAGCATCTAAGCCTTCTAAGCAGCATCTATGTTTGCCAGTCACTTCTCTCTGCTTCACGGACCTTTACAGACCTTTAGAGTGTCTAGGAATCCGACGCATCGAAGAATTCCTCTGGCAGAAACTCCTGGGTCTTCTCCATCTCCATGTGCAAGGCCTGGTCACCAAAAAAAATCACATGGGGTCTCCATGTGCAGTGACTACAGGCAGAAAAAAATGTAAATGAGATGGTAGACCGCCGCCATTACAACTATCTAGCTTTATATATATATATATTATATACGTATTATAAATACTCAAAAGCATTCTCTTGATTCTGGCCTTGTTCAACGAGATTGGCCCAAGGGGAAACTGCCGCTCTCCAGTCACCGACTTGCAGCGCCTTCTTGGGCAAACCACGAACTCGTCGGGGTCGGCGATCTTTTCGTCCGAGGCAAGCGAACAGATTTTCAAGACCTCGAATGCGACATCTCACAATGCCCTTGGTGACCCATTGATCCATTGAACATCATTGAAACGCATACCAAGTAGTGACCAGAAAGACCAGGACGCAGCCACACTGTAAAGTGTACGAAACTGTACCAATCACAGGTTGATCAAACATTCTCTGTCGTCGGACTCTTTTCTGTCGACGTTCTCGCCCAAGTAGCAAAGCAATCCCTCAGTTTAGGGATTTAGGTCCACATCTCTTTGGCGTACCCTATGCTCTGGCCTTTTGCGACTCTTGCAACTTTGGCAAGCTAAACATTCAACGTCGAAACGAATCTGTTCATCCGTTTTCATCCTTGCGCTTCACAACCAAGATCGACTTAAAATCTGACCACTGGCTGCAAAACTTGTCGTAGCTTTTCTGCATTGATACTGCAAGTGGAAACCTTAGAATACTGGTCGCTGAACTCTTCAACAATCATCTAACAAAGAAGAGCAAAACGAATCCAAACAATACCTCTTTATGACTCTTCAAAGTTCTTCCTCTTGCTGTTTTCATTGGTGCTGACGACTCTCCGAGCAACTTTTCCTGCTGGACGCCCTCGGTCACAACAGAAGCCTCAACAACTCGAACGCGCTTTGCCATTGACGTTGCTCCAGAATGACCTCTAAAGCAACGTACACGAACATATACGAACATATGGCGATACCATGCAACACCTAAGTCTGAATGGAGTGTCTCAGCTTGCAGTGAGCTGCGGACCTGCCAAATGACCTCAGATTTTGCAGCACTCACAGAACAAACACAAGCAATTCAACCAATTCCACATGAACACTGCGGAAAGGCAAGAATGAAGTTAGAATAAACCATGCTTTCCAGGGAAGCGACTGGCTTCTCTTCCTTCTTGACCGCAGCGGCTAATTCTCGGACAACAGCGTAGCTGCTTGCATCCGCAACCTCTGCAAAAACCTGGAAAATTGGCAGAGTCAGAGTGCCATGGTCAAAAAAAGGAATGAATGCGGTATGGTAATTATATGCGACTGCATATAATCCCAATATGGGTGAATTATGGTAAATTGTCCGACTCTTGACCTTGGCACATATATATGTGTATATATATATATGTATATATATATATATATATGTATATATATATATATGTGTATATATATATATGGGCCGATGTATGTTCTGGGCTGAGAAGCGCAAAAGCCCAGAGACATAGTGTCCAAGTAGGTATTGTCCTCAACAAGTCCACGCAAACGACGAGCTCACACTGCTGCTCAATGCGTAGAATGAGTCTCTTTTGCTTTGGTCCTCCAAGTTGATGAAAATGTCGGAGTTGCCATTGACGCCAATACCATGAGCAATTGCTACAGTTCCGGACCGGTTTGAAAAGAAGGTTCCAATATTAGTTTCCTCACAAGACTCTGCAGAGAACGCCGCAGGTAAACACAACATCGATGCTATGCTCTGTGAAGGAAGCTGCCACAGCTGCTTGCGCCATCTTGCGCCAGGCTTCATTCTCCGAAATGTCTGGGTATGGATTCTCTACCTGCGTCGCATCGGGATTCCTCAGCTACCTGATGTCCCCTCTTGGTATCTTTTGGTTGCCAGGATTTGCCAGGCCTCTGTTTCATTTGGAAGCCACAGGCCCCACCTGCGTGGCAAGAAGCAACGTCTGCAAACAGTTCACATGCAACTGCAGGTGTGCTTCCTCCGATGTTCTTCAAACGCATTAAAGAGCCAAACTTATATAATCAATCAAAAATTGAAAGCACTATGGATTTTCCAATGGATTTACCGTTTCGCTACCCTGCAGCTTGGGCACTGCAATACAAAGTCAGAACGGTAGAAATAACATCCATCGTACAATCCTGCATCGACCACTCGACCTCGAATAGCTTCCAGGTTGTCTAGGCATGTCTAGGCCGTCTAGGCATGCTTCACAGGTTCACTGATCTGGTCACTGAGGTTCCAACAAACATGTTCCACCGTCAAAGGGGCTGAATCTGGGCGCAAACGAAGCATGATGTTTCCTGCATCAGTCCTTGGCTTAGGCTGACTTTACCATAACCTGAAACCCCCACAGCCTCAGGTTGCTTCCAGATACACTTAATTTGGATCTCGGGTTCAATTTGACACGTACCTCAAACGCAGTAAAGCCGCTCAAGCAAAAGACGCCTCTTGGGTATCTCTTTCTGCTCGACATTCCGGTCCAGGTCCTCATGAAAGTCATAGACTATCCCATTCACCACATTTGGGAGCTATTAAGTGCTATAAATCATCCCAGTTATAGGGGCTGATTTCTATGCCCAATGCCCAATTAAACATCTAAAAACGATTGGGAATGGTTTGTTATTGGGTTTACCACGTCATACCTTTACGAGAAAGCGGGAGGCTGAGGCCAACGCTTCCGAATTGGAGCCTGGAATGCTTCGTTGTTTCACTCTTGGCCTTCGGAAGTGGCTTCCAGAGATCGCAGCCAGCACCTTGGACTTGGAAACGCACCAAATCCCAAGATTGATAGTGAAGTCCAGCAATTCAAAAAGCATAGTTCCACATCACCACATCACCACATCTCCCATATCTTCTGATCGACTTTGTAAACAGCGCTAAAGCCCCTGTTGACCTAACGGACCTAACGATTATTGACACACCGGCAATCCATCTCCCCTATGCTATTCTCCTGACTATCGGCACCATGGTTCCTATACGCCGAGACACAATGGATGGTGTCAAGGCAGCCTTGCGAATCTCCTTTCCTGCGCTGCTATGACCACAACGATACGTTGGGTCCGTAGATTCTGGCGCAACTGACAAATGGCTACCCAAATAATCCAACATCACGTAGACTTGCAGTTTACATCAAACAAAACCCATCTTGTGATATGGACTTGAGGGTTTGCTCAATTGAGCATCCTGATTTCCAGCGGCTTGGTGCAAAGGTAGCCACTGGCACCTCGAGAACTCTATACTTTACTCCATCATACAAACACAACGATCTTCTCTACTAATCTCCGAATCATCTGCAGTTAAGGAGCTTGTGTGTAGATCTGCCAAGGTCTGCCATAGCTCACTTCCATGCGATTTGCTGCGTAGAATGTCCAAGACTATCTGAGACTGTTGGTCTTAAGTGTACAAGATCAGGGGGCTGAAGAGCTGAGAAGCTGAACCTGCCAAGGCTATTTCAATGCACATCATTCGTGGGACAAACTGCCTAAAGAGAGGTCCCTGGAGCCAAAACAAAGGCAACTGGCACATTCCCAACTTCCCAACTGCCTCGGATTCGTCGGCAACGCTTGTGTGTGTGCATGTACCTATATATGTACCATGAAGCTGCAATCGTATCTTTTCTGGGATCTGGGCAGCTGCTTTCCCGCTCTTGCAACCTCTATTTGACTTGAAGCATGCACGTTGGGATAACATGTCCAAAGCGTTGGGGTGGTGGATTCACCAAAAAAACAGTGTCTGAGCAGGGCACTCGCTTTGTCTGTCAGCACCGTACAACGACACACTCAGGACCTTCTGCCAGCGGATGATGCGAGAGAGGCCTTGGCACCAGAAGTCTGCTGTGGGAAGTTTAAATCGGTTCCATGCATCTGTGCAACCTTTACTAGACTTTCTTATCAGTTTTTCTGTTTGATCCTACTATAATTTTGATCTTGATCTGTGGGGTGGCTGGGGCATCGGCAGCTGTTTCTCCCCATGGCTTTCTGCTCGCGAAACTCCCTGTCCAACTGCTCCAGGCGAACAGCTCGCTTTCGCCGCGCCGACCTGCACCTGCAGCCCGTTGGTTGCATCTTTTATATAGTTCTGTTTGCATTGAGGTAAAACCCTTGGAGTTTCGTGCGAAAACTTGGAAGTCTAGAAAATGTTCAGGACTTTGACACAGCTCAGCACAAGACCGGACCAGAGCTTCCTTCACGGCCGCAGCCATGTCGCCAGGATGAATCCGGTGATCGGTATCCATGTAGCGATGAAGCCTGGCACTAAATCTCAGCCTCGAGATCAATTCTTTTGGCTCTGTTCAGGTTGAAAAAACCTTAACCCTATCCCCTCAATATCAAATACCTTATATATATATAAGCATCAGGCGCTCTCTTTTCACTGCCTCATATGGATTCCGTCGGCAGCATGGCCAGTCATTTGGCTGTTGCTGCTGAAGCCAGTTCCATAAATCCCTTGCGCCCCAAGCTCCTCGTCGTCTTGGGCTATGAAAGCGGTGTGCCACAAACCATGTGGCAAGCCAGTACTGCAGAAATTCTTTCGCGACTTGCAAGCCTCCTTTGAAGCCACCAGCAAGAAGAGCAATGCGGTCACGAATCCTCTTCTGCGCACAAGGTATAAAGATCTCTGATGCCAAGAGCAAAAAGGACGCCCCACCAGGTCTCAAAGATCCAAGGTCTAGCAGTCGCAAGCCGCCAGTTCTTGTTGTAGGGAGCCCAAACTCCTTCACCAGAGCTATGAATCTTATTCTCAGTGTTGCAGCAGAAACCAGCCAGAGCTTCTTATCCGCAGGAAAATCAGCATAGGTTGCTTCAAACAGCTGCAGTACATCTGGAGATTCAATGCATGCGGCTTGGTGCTTTGCCAAGCGCCCACTTTTCCTTGGAAAACGAATTCGCAGCAGCGCGAATGCAGTGCCTAGGGCAGAGTCGCCAGGCATCACAAAGCTTACCTGTGTTGCAATGATCGTCTTTCCAATCACATACAAAGAAAGCGCTGGAAAAAGCTGAAAAGGCCCTTCAGCTAAACAGGCAAAAGCCAGATACCACGCTACTGGGGATTGCATTCCACTGGTCGGTCTCGTTGTAGCAACAGCATCAGTCGTCTCAGCATGCTTCTCGCAAGCTTTAACTGCCAAAGACATCTGCTGCCCATACTGTACCAACCACTTGCGGATTTCTTCAGGATCAGGCGGTTTTGTAGAAAACAAGGGCGGCGAAAACACGACCTCATAGAAAAAATGCCATGAACCAAAAATTGTCAGCAGCTTCTCCCAAGCATTGAGCGTTGTATTTCTGGCGACACCTGCCGGTATGAAGCCACTTGGATCTCGATATTCGGCACAAAGCAGGTCGGCCGCTGACGAAGGCTCCATGGCTGAGGCACTGGCCTGACCCGCCCAAATCCAACGCCCGGGGGCCGCAAAGCTAAGGGACAGGACACAAACCAGACCCCTGCGTTGACCACTAATCCAGACACGTTGGAGACCCGCAAGACAGAGAAATCCAAGGGAAATTCCAAAAATCCAGGAGGCAAGGGCAAGGGAAGTCCAGACTGTTAAGGGTAAGATCCAGGAAATCCAAGGGAGGACGTAGAAGGCAGTCAAAGGCGTAAGTCCAAAGGAATGGTAAAAGAATGGAAGCCCAAAACTCCATGGGGCATACAGCTCACTGATCTGAGAGATGACAATTGAGGCATCGTTGACTCTCTGAGACAAAACTGCTGCCAAACCATTTGGAAACTTTCCCCTCCAACCAGATCCATCAAGACAGCTCTTCCGTCCTCTGAAGTGCAGGTTCCGGAGCTCATCAAGGGAGAACTGATCAGAAAATCCCCCGGAGGTGGCTCTTCTAACCAACTCGGACCATGTTGGGTCATCAGCACCATTGAGCCGCGGAGGCGCAAAATCCCAGCCCTTGTGCACATCAGCGGCAACCTGCAAGGCCGCAGCAACCTTGCAGACTCGTTGAAGGCCACACGTCGTGCATCTGCCTTTGGGGAGTGCACCTTTGGCCACCCTGGGGTCGAGCAGGGCAGTGACCCTGCAGGACTCAAATCTTCTAGCTGCTAACTCCACAACTCTCAAGGCTCCACGAGCCTCAACCACATGGAAGTGAATCCTGTTGCGTCCAGCCAAATCCACAACGCAAGAAAACTGCCTTGGAGCAAAAACGTCATTTGCAACAAAGTTTCCATGGTCATCAAGGATCTCCTCATCAAAAGGGAGTCTTTGAAGTCTCAGGGCGGCCGCAAAATGAACTGCAAAATGCCCAGCCAGGTCATGAGTGTAGGCTGCCGAAGGCCGGGTATGCTTTCCCCCAATCTTTAGACGCTTGAGCACGCCAAAGCAACACACCTCCAGAAGCTTCGAATCAAACGTGTAGGTAGAAAGCCTGATTTCCTCTCTGGGGGGTGAGTAGTATTGGCAGGAGGCTATGACAGCTTTTGCAGACCCTAGGTCAAGGAGTCGTTGCCACTGAAATAGCCACGCAATCATTGCGGGCCTCGGCTGTTCATTTCCGCAAGGTCTCCGGTACCTCCTTCCATGCCGAAGCCGAGCAAGAGACCTCAGTGCCAGGCAATTTCCTTGCTTCGTTCTTGGCCTCGTAGGATCAAATCCAAGAGGAATCCAATAGAAGCGCCAAGCTGGGCAAGCTACAACCGAGAAAGTGGTACACAGGGGCTCGCTCAAAGATAATACAAAGAGTCCAGTCTCGATCATGTGAAAAGGCCGCTCCAAACTACGAGAGCTCTCTGTGTTGAAATGCGCCGAAGAGCCAAACTCCAAAAGGGGCGCAACTACCAAGCCACACTTCTGCGCCTCAGCTGAGACTCTGCCAGACCCTCCAAAGAACTCTACAAAGTCATAATGCAGAAGTAAAGGCTTTTCGAGGCTGTCACCTTGCACCCCGGCCGCAAGCCTCAAGTCATCAACATGCTCCTCACCATCAACAGAAGGGAGTTGGCCAGGGGAGCATACAAGCTTTGAGTACATGTCCGTCCTGTCGCTCCCCAAAAATAAAGCTTCCAAAACCTTCTGAGAAACACTCGTGCAAACAACTGCGCCAAGCCCCAAAGAAACATCACTCGCAAAAACGTAGGGGCAGTAAATGACTGCAATGCCTGTGCAAGTGATGGGGGCGAAAATGGCCAACAGCACCCGCTTTTCATGAAACTTTGCCGGCTGGGATACTCTGAAATTCTTCTCAGCCGTCTCCGCATCAGCAGCTAAGGCAAGCATTCCATCAATGATTGACCTAGGGCATCCCCTAAGCTTCAAAGTAGATGCCCAGCCCCCTTCAAGTCTTGAAATAAGCCGAGACGTCGTTGATGACAGGCGAACAGCGCGTAACCTAAGGACAGACGAGCCCAGACGCTTCACCAAAAGAGCACCAACTGTTGTGAGTCCGCGACCAACTGCAAGCTCTGAGGAAACTACCTCGGCGCCAGCTGCTTTGAACCTGATCTTGGCCTCATTGTCTTTCCCAGCTAATCCCAGCAAACTATGCTTCTGGTAGACGTCACAAGCCACCGCGAGAGCACTCGCAACAAACATAGACGCAGGGACTGCACCAACCTTCTCCTTCCCATTGGCGAGGTAGTCAATAATGACGAGCCCTTCAAAGTGAGCTCCGGCTGGAAACGTCCAATGACCAAGTAGCCGACTGTCTGGAAGAAGAAAGCCGTGGGATTTGAGCAGGGATTCATGAGCTTCAAGAGCAAAATCAACTCCAAGGCGATCGCCCTGGGCCAATGAGCCAAGTGCCGTAAACCCAACATCACCATAGCTGTCAAGACAGGCCCTACCACCAACGCTCTCATCAACTTTCTCTGGAAGCCTCTTCCCAGTCCTTGAACATTGTACACAATGCAAGATGTCAGAAAAAGCAGAAAGTCCAAGAAGTTCATGAGGTCTGAGGGCCAAAGTGCGCACGTTGGGTTGAGCCCACTCTGATGTAACCTCCGCTTGCTGGTAGTGGTCTCGCCCATCAGTAATACTGGCGAAAAGTTGCTCGGTATAGGGCCACAAACGCATAATGACCAGCAGGAAACCTGGGGGCAGATTCATGGAGGGTCCATCACAAGGGCGCTCCTTCGCATTTGGTATCCTCTGATCCCAAAACTGCCGATCCTGGCTCTCAAACTTGTAAGCGTTGAAGACCCTAGAAAACTGCTCAGCAATAATCGGGCAACAAGAGCATCTCAGCAGGCGGATAGCATCCCAAATTTTGGGTCCCAAATAAGGCAGAGCTTCAAGTTCTCATCATGTTTCCCAAAGGCAAAGTTTGGAAGATCTTTGTTGCTAATATCCTGACCGTGAAGGAGGCAACGCGGCTCAAGGAAGAGGAGCCAAAGAGGGCCATCAAGAAACTTTGCCATGGGCCATCTACCGTCACCAACCAACCTCAATCTGTCAGCATCAATGTTCTTGTGTTGGGCAAGTCCAATATGCTTCTGCGTTGACAAAGGGTCAGGGTCAAACACAAACTTCGTTTGCTTGATGGTCACGTAGTCACCGGAAAGCTCAGGGTGACCAACCAGAAACTCCTCAAGCTGAAAAAATGCTGCACCTAATTCAGGACCGGAGCGGCCAGGGACAATGGTGTAGTCCTGGTCCGAATCTCCACACACGACCAAAAGAGACCGCAGACACTGAGCGCACCTAAGTTGCCACTTGTCGGGCCTCCTCCCAGGTTCATCAAGCATTGGGTACCTTCCATGAGGCAGGCAATTCAGGCAGTAGGTGAAGATGTAGAGCACCCGCCGTCCAGCCAAGGATTGCAACCTCTTCCTTGATAAACTGGGGCCACCGCCGCCAAAGCACCTTGGGTGTGGTCCAGGCAATGGGAAAGTCGCGGAAGGCGAAGAAGAGCTTCGCCGAGAGGCAGTGAAACTTCGAACAAGATGCCAGGGAAGTGTTGTGCGGCATCTGGTAATCCATCTGGGCAAGCAAATGGCCCATGAGGAAAAATCAGAGCGTTGATCAAGAGGGCTTGACTCCTGTCCCCCATCTGTGCTATGATCAACAAAGCTCTCATGCATGTGCTGCTCTGTGTCTAAGCGCTTGGCTCGGCCTCCTCGCTCGGTGCCTGGCCTTTTCCTCTGCCTTTTCGCTTTGGCTGGGTCTTGGCCTTCGGCTTTGCCGCATCTGACGAGGTGTCTGAAGCCAGCCTTGGAGCCCCTGTCAACTCGGCTCTTTTCGATGTGATGACCTCCATCTCCTTCAGGAAAGCCAGCGATGAAGTGACCCATCGCTGATCCGCTAAAGGAGCAAACGACCTCGCTCGGCTTGTAGCCGACAAGACCCTGTTCTGAAAGATGGCACTGGGAGGGTCCTCTTGTAAGCATAAGCGGGTCGCCAGGTCCATTCTGCCATTGTCCAGGCAAGACTGCTCTATGGAGACTGCCAAAAGTGCAATGGTGTCCTTGACAGCTGGGATGTTCTCCTCCATGAGGTAGTCGAAGGCAGTCATCACCTGGAACTGCAACTGGCCAAGCTCCCTCTGGCGACCATAGCCACCGAATCTCTCTAGGTAACGTAGCCCAGAGATACCGCGGGAAAGAAGAGCAGATGGAGCCAGGTCTGCTGAGGAAGTTGGTGCCATCCGTCTTGCCATCTGCTGCAGGACTGATTGGAAAAAGGTTCCCCGATGAAGCGCCAGTTCTGTCTGAAGCTTGGCACGGCCTGCTGCCCCTCTTGTGCCTGTTGTAGGGCCACTCAACTCTGCCATAGGGTCTCCATGTTGCGCTGCAATCTGAGCCGCAAGGGAGGTAAGGACTCGAGACTGTTCCAAAACCGCTTGGGCTAGCGAGGAGTCTTCGCTCCGGGACAGCCCGGCGGCTAGGCTCGGCTTCTCCGCTTCCGGGGCCTCCACATCCACAGACTTTGAAGGCGGTGATACTGATGCCAACAAACCAAGGCTCTGATGCGTAGCTGTTCTTGGAGGGGCCCCCACTGCCTTCGCCAGTGCACCCAGAGGTGGAGGAGGCTGCAAATCCAAAGCCTTCCCCAGAGGTTGAGATGCTACTGAGGATGCTGATTGGTATGGCAAAATTCTTGATTCCACCAGGTCCTGCCTTTGAGACAAATCCGCAAGCTGTTGAGAAAGCTTTGGCATGAACTCCACCAACTGTTGTATCTCCACAGCCAGAGCAGCCGTAGTTGGTCTTTTGGGTCTTGCACCACTTTCGGTAGGCATAGCCCTCCTTCCTGGCTGTCTTTTCGGACGTGCCGCAGGTGTCAGGTCTTCTTCCTCTGGCGTGTAAAATGCTGCCAAGTCTGGGACACCCTCCAACCAAGATCGGACGGCAGGCATCAGGGCATCTAACGAGGGGACATTGAAGGGAGCGTCCTCGTCGTAGGAGAATGCTATCTCCTCTGAGACGTGATGACGTCTCATGTGAGTCAAAACTTCTGGAAGGCAGTCCACCACTAGCACCTCTACATTGTCTCCAGTGATTGACACCACTCCATCTTCTACCAAAACTGCGGGGACAACTGTTCTGAAAGAAGGCCCAAAAACTGCGCCTTCTTCGCCGAGGTTCCCTGCTGAAACAATCCACTCCGGCAAAAACGCGCCGGGCAAAGCTAAAAGGACACCACCCTCTCGTTTCATAAGCACATGCACTGAGCATTCTGCTTCGCCATCGTCGACTTCCCCCAGTTGCCAAGAGAGGACATAGGAGGCGTGAGTCTCTGTTGCCACCTCGAGAGCATGCATGTCCAGCATGCCATCCATGGTATCCATCGCTAAGGCTGGAACTCGAAGTCAGAGATGCCTGCCCCAGCAAGGTAAACAAGTGCTTCCTGCTCTGAAGGGAAGGAATGAGAAACCGAGGTTGAGGTTTCCAACTCTCCCACCAGCTGCCAGTAAGATCGTGCAGACCTGAAAACTGTTGCCTTTCCCAAACCAGATGCCCTGAGCACAACGTAGAATCTCGGTCGCAGGTCAATCTGTGATGTCCTGTTGGGAGTAGAAATCCGCCCAACCAATACAGCACCAGCCCACTGACCAGCAGTCCACGCCCGCTTGACACGCTCCGATCCGGAGATCGCAGAGCCACTGAGCCTCTTGCCACTACTCTCGAGGTAGCTAGGGCAGCGCTCAAAGGAAGCAGCAATTTGATCCCTTGACTCAAAACGGCGAGGCAATCTCGTAGACTGCTCAGCCTCAGATACCAAATCAAATGATCCCTCAGAGAGAGCACGGCGAGGAGGAGAAGCAGCAGGACGGACAGTGATGTCCCTGATAAAACTGGTCGCAGAAGCTGGTGGCCCACGCACTGTGATGTGCAAATCGCGCAGCTTGCAAAGGAGCTCAATCTCTCCTTCGCCGTCTGGCCGTTGATTCATGCAAGTATCCAGCAAGGGCTGAATACCTGGAAGTGCTCAGAGATGAAGCGGCAGGAGACTCAGATGGGGGAAAAGAGGATGAATGAGTGAGCCCAGTCCAGAAGTCCAAAGGGCAGAGAGGATGGCAGTGATTCCCAGAGCAAATCCAGAGGAGACAAGGAGGAAACAAAGCCAGAGATGGTTGAATGCAGAGAGTCGGACAGCCCTACCCAGGCCGGGCAGCCTCCAAACCAACCTGGACAATGGACCAAAACCCTTGAGACATAGAGCTTGAGCGGCAGGTTCAATGACACTTCTGTGCTTGAAGTCATATATATATATATTATATATATATATCACCATATATAAAATACCCCTTCAAACTGTTTCAAAACCTGGTTTCGTATTGGATCTGGTCACTTTTTAGGGGGGGCCATCTGCGATCGAATCTGGGGACATGACGTGTCGCACATGGCAACAAATAGGTAGTCCTTCTCCTGGCAGCTCGTGATCTCTATCTGTCCACTGTATGGCTTTGCCTTTGACAAAAACGATGATCAACGGTGACGAAGCACGGTGGTGTTTTATTTTCAATGAAACATTCCTTTTCACAAGTGTTCCATGGTGATGAATCGTATGATGCTGCAGAGAGCAATATTAATATATAACTATATAACTAGATCCTACTCAGTATTTCTGTCGTTACTACCTGATATCATGCTATGGACTTGCTCGCAGCTTTGTCCTGCTTGCTGAGATTGCCGGTGTCCAACCAGAAACCCTCCTCATCTTCATCAAAGAAGGCCTTCGAATTGGTGGAAATTCCGTGCACAATGATGGAATTCCCTTTTACATAAGCTTCCGATGCCATGCCAGCAAGAAACCTTGACAGTAGAGGAAGTGTATGGGAAGCTTGTGTTCATGGGGGCAGCATCACTTTGGGTACTTGAATAACAGATTTGAGCTACGGCAAGCAAAAAGGCACTGTTCGCCTTTCGCTTGTGCTTCTCAAGACCCAGCAAGCACTTCTGAATTGACGACCTCGAAATTACTGTGACATTCATCAGCAACACGCAGGACCTCCCCTTCCAGTCTAGGGCCCCAACATCCGTTCTGGCCAGATTTCAACTTTCAGCAAAAGGTGCTTGAGAACTGTATTCCTGCCAAACACGGAGAAGGCATCGCTCTCGCTGCATAAAAAGCACAAAAAGAGCACGTCCAGCACCAGGCCTGAACAGACCCCAAATCGCAAATCCAATGAAGGACAAGTGCGTCAGCATGGGACCAGCCCTCAGCCAAATCATTCACCAAAATCATTGACTCAGAGACAGTCTACTTTTTCCGGGTTTTGCTTTATGATACAGTCAACTCATCCTTGAGTATCCTTGAGTTGCATTCCGCGCGCCGTCATTCACTTTTCTTCCCAAGTCCTCCAAAACTGAAACACTTCTACCTAGCCCACTACAGTCTGAACTGGCTCTTGTGCACTTGAAGCAGCAAAGCCAGAATATCACAGAATATCGAATATCTTTACAATTCTTTACAGAAGTGACCTTTCATGCAAAAGTTACAAGTCAAAGAATGGAGAAAGGAAAGATGAAAATGGAGGGAAGCACCGGTAGAAACCACTGCAGTATCCGCAAAGTACCGTCCAATCCTGCATTGGCGTAGTCAGCTCTGTTCAGCGAGACAGACTTCTGAAAAACAAGAACATCTGCTGGATGTCTCTCCATATTGTGCACGTGATGAGAATGGCATACACCAGGAAGAAAACTGTGACGGCCACTCGAATCCACGTCTTGTCTGATTGTGCATATTGAGCCACGAGGTAAATGTTGGTCACAATTACGACTAGAGCCAACATCCAACAAATAAATCGGAAGATGCGTGTCAATCGAAATTTTCCCATGAGCTGCGCATCTGAGTTGAAGTGAAGGACAGGCAAAAGTGCAAATGGGAGCTGCACAGATTGCAATACATTGATCCATTGGTCCACCTTGTTGTTTAGGTTTGGAGAGCTGCTGGTGTAGACGGCTATTGCCACTGCAGGTCCTAAGGAAATTAAGCGCGTGATAAGTGTCCGAAGCCACAGTGGGATTCGCCATTCCAGAAAGCCTTCCATGACAAATTGCCCGGCCATGGTGCCAGTCATGGTGGAGGCTTGTCCAGCTGCCAGCAGGCCCAAAGCAAAGAGCGTTCGCCCGATCTCCCCGCCAAATAGCCGCTTCAGTGTATCTCCAGCATCCGCCAAACCAATATCACTGCAGACCCCTGGTGACCCTGTTCCGGTAATGCAACTGATGGACTGGCTATCACTATCACCACCACTTGGTGGTAGGCAGGCTAAGGGCCCATCTTCCAGTTTAGCACAAGTGAGGCTAAAGAAGCCAGAAGCGAATGTCGACACCAAAGCCGTGTTGATCAGAAAAGAAATGGCCAGGGCCACAGCTGAGTCTACCGCGCTGTACTTGTTGGCCTGCCTTACATGCTCGTGGTCAGACCTGTTGCATGCACCTTAGAGATACAAAAACTATTAACAACCAATAAACTCACAGGGCAACAGGAGGTGACACGGTGACACCAGCTGCAACAAAGAGCTTCACCGCACAAAGTCCTGAGCATCTGACGCTCTTTGCAAATGCCACTGTGCAAGTACAGGTTGTGCGGCATGATTACCGCCCCAACTGTGCCCACTAACTGGAGAACTGCATAGTCGTGACATTCAAAGAGAAAGCCGTGGAAGAAGGGTCCAGATGATGGTGGCATGAATAAAAAGTTCATGCAATAGCAAATCATCAGCCTTGGCAGTGGACAACTAGTGGCCCTGGACTCAGATATATACACAGATCGAAGCGCGCAAATCTCAGTGTCTTGGAATCCACTGGAATCTGAGAGCCAGACACCATGATCAAGATGAAAATGAAGGCTTCGAGAAATCTTTTTCCAAGGTAGTGGATCATCAGAAAGGTGAACGTATCAGCTCCAGTTGCCACGGATCCCACCTCAGTGCACCGCTGTGCCCTCCCCCAGTCACCAGACCAGGGAGGCTTCGCTGCTGCAAAGCAACCCATAGAGGCCATCCAAATAGGACCCTGAGTACACAGAAATACACGTTTCAACACGCAGAATCAGTATATAGAGTGGTACTCACGCGATCTCAGTGGCACAACACGACTCGGTACTACTAGGGACATTGCCAGCAAACTCACAGTGCCACCAAAGAGCCGAAGTGCGATTCCAGTTCCAACCACTTCCTGAATGTCAGCACCAATAATAGCGAGCTCCTTGGATTTACATCCAATTCAAGATAAACAAAATCATCGGCGAATACATTCCAAGCAGATTCTTGAAGAATCTCATACATTAATTTTGCCGACATTACTACATTACCAGAGACTATAGTGACTGTAAGGGGACCTACTCGGGTAATTTGTGATGCGACTCTCCAACACGTTTAGATCATTTTTAAGCCCTGTCCAGTGAATCAGTGTGGAGCAAACAGCATGCCCAATATGCCCAGCATCTGTCATAATCCAAAGCAACAGGGAGAGTGGTCTGGGATACTCAACTCGGCATGTCTCTGCCAAATCACGTCCTGCCGTTGGCGCTCTTCGATGTGTTTTTCACAAACATGTACTGCCCTGTGCGGTCCTGTGACCATGGCCAGCCGTGCAGATAGAATCTGGAGAATTAAACCTGCAATGGTACCTTGTTCCACACTGATGGATCTGCACAAACTGTTGAAAGAAGTAGCGGCTCAGTCCGACTTTTTCTAAGCACCGCAATCAAATCTGAACTCTGCGCCCAAGCTGCAAAGGAGCAGCACCTCGGAGACATACAATGCTTCATTACCGTCTGCTTACCTGGTTGACTGGTCAGTTGTCATCTAGAACCCCAGTCAGCCCGGGCGCCCGACCCACAGTAGACTGTAGCCAGTGAAGGCACCGCTCTGCAGATCACTTTCCAAATTTCCAGGGTCCAAATATGCTAAACTCATCAGCCATCCCGGACCAGCGTAGGCTGCAAAGCTTTTCCTAACTGCAGTATCATGTGTCATCAAGATGAAGGACTCAGCAAAGGTCGTGGAGACTGCAAAATAACAAGAGGTTGAAATAAAAATGAACCAAATGGGAAGATGGTGATAACTCGGACTCCTGAGAAATAGCTGACAATGACCCTCATAGAAAAGAGAAAAAACAGGAGGAGGAAAAACGGAAACAGCAAACAACGCCGCAGCAGAGGCTGTCAGCCTCGCTTTGACAGCAATGCTCTAGTAGATGTTCATCTTTCGGTATCTTTCAGGTCTAAGGCGACTTCGTCTGAAGATCGTTATAAATTCACAAACAGAACCATGTTGATCTCACAATGATCTCACCATTTCTACACCCAATAGACAGTATACATCAGTATAATTGCTACGCAATCCAGGAGATCCGCTGTGGACTTTCAATCATTTGTGCCGTGCATCCACGAGAAGCAGACGCCTGCCTCATCTTTGGGCATCATTTCAGCATCTTCGTCTTCGTTGGCAATGCACGCAGCATCCAACTCCGAGGACGACGCTGAACCGTCCGAGGCTTCCTCCAATGACTGGATCATGAATCGGACAGTTGAGGATCCAGCTTGAGGGCTTGAGGCTTGATATCGCAGTGATTTGTAGATCATGAATAATCAATAGTGATCATCAATGATTCCAAGAATGGAAGGATATGGAAGGATTATATAAACTACAGGCTCACGGCATCCGATGGCATTCAATAGCATTCAATGGCCATGCTCGGCCACAATCAAACTGAACAGGGCCTGTCAATTTGACATGAATTAAAATCACACATCAGTCCAACTGACCTAGGATTGACAAGGTCGCGACACCAGGAGAATGTCCATGATCCAGTGATTCACGATTTCCTTCACACGGCGGTCGGATTTTGCAAACGTGACTTTCTCAGACTTTCTCTACATACCCTCTATTTTGATGCGACGGCAACTGTGCTCCTCAAAGAACTCTCCAGAAAGTTCCTGGCTCGCGTAACTTATGTCAAAACTCATGGCCGGAGGAAAGATCGCACACCTCCACAAATGAAAAGAAGCTGTTGGATCCTTGCTTTTAGGGGCTTGGTATAGAGACGACAGGAATTGAGCCTCCAAGTCACTTGTCATTTCGAATCTCACAGTGGTCCCAATCCAGTTGGAAGAACTGCTCTGAACTACTCTCACACCTGTCCTGACGAATGTCAAAGATCAAGCGAGCTGAGACAGTCACTGTGAGTGCCTGGGCCCAACATGACGCACTTGAGGAACTGCAAAATATGTCTGCAAAGGTGGCAAAGCGACAAGAGTCAAGAGTTGGGAGACCAAAGCTTCTTAGAAATCTGAAAATGCTGTCTTTGTTTTAAAGTCCGTGTTCTGTGGCACCGCCACAAGCACTGACAGAACTTTTTGAACTCCTGCAATGCTACAATGTTGGGTCTCTGTCTATAATATGTGTTTCGGTTTGTCTGATACATGGAAAACTGGCATGTCCGTGGCGTCTCTGTACCTGCCGGGCCTTTCAAATGAGCCGGTTGATCCTTGTCCATTCGAAACAACACCAACTAAAGCTAAGTCCAATTGTAATTCCATGTGCTTCCTGCCATCAACTGCATTCTTGGACTCACTTGAAGCCTTTCAAGTCGGATTCAACGAACTGCCTTAAAGCTGCAATTAAAAGTCATCTCTCCATCTCACCGCTGCCCCGAGGCGATGCCAGGGCGCCGGATGCCAGAGCCTCGAGCGAGTCTCGAGCTTCACGGAATTGCCAAGTCTTTGTCCACTTTGAATTTCTGCATGAACTCCTTCACCTTCCCTGACTTCTTGGCCTCCTCAATGAACTCGCATAGCGTTTTAAAACCTTGTTCTCGGCCTTTCTTGGTGGCAGCAGCCTGCTCAACAGCCATGAACTTTCCAGGCAAAAGTCTGGTGCCTGGTCGCTTGGCACCATCCTTCTTCAACTTGGGGCGAAGCCCGGCCACGGCATCCAGAGCATTCTCCCTGAAATGTTCGTAGGTTGGGTCGTGGCCCTTGATCTTCTCTAGGGTGGCGTTCTTCAGGTTGCGCTCCAGCCACAGAACATATGCCGCACCGTCACAGCCAGCGATGCGCACACCTGCCTTGTCAACTTCTGCGCAGGTCCGGAGCCCAGAGGTGGTGGGAACAGCATAGGTTGCCTCGATCTGGCAGTAGGGCGGAGTGAAGTCAATGAACTCGGCTCGGGCGGGATCTGCACCAATCATGGCCACATCCCACTTGTCCTCCTTCGCATCATCTGCGAGTTTATCAGCAGATTCATACTGCACATACTCCACTGGCACACCAATTTTCTCAGCAAAAGCACGGCCCATGCTGGGTGCAAGTCCCTCAGGTTCACCGCTGGCAGACTTGCCAGTCACCAACAATTCGTTGCGCATGTTCAGCGCAACGCGGAGTTTGCCGGTGGGGGCCATTTCCTTGGCGACATCTGCTCCAGCAGTTGGCATCGCTGCCAAGATTTGCTGACAAAGCACCCGTGCTCGCTGCATGTTTGGCGGGCGGTGGAAACCGAATCAGAATTGCGGAGCCAAAACGCTGTCGGGGAAATTGCTCAAGGCAGCCCACATTGTTTTTCTTGGCACAGTGGTGACAGCAAGTGCACCGAACGTGCATGCAGTATGCGGGTTGACAGGATGGCGGAACTCAATGCAATGCAGAATCTTGGGCACAGGCCATGAGGCTCAAGGCTTCAAGTCGATCAAGACCTTGCAGGGCAAAGTCACCGCACTACGCCCGGGCTAGTTGTGCTGAGAGACGCTTAGGTGGGGACACATGTAGCTGCGATTGTCAAACGGCCCAGAATTCACGTGGAGCAAGATGAAGCCAAAGGAGGTGAAGAGCATCAGAACCTTAATAAACTGTGCACTAAATGATTTTCCAAAGTATAGAAAGCAAACTCAAACATCCTAGCAACCAACTCAACCAACAACGTGTTCAACATATTTCATCATATTTCCACATTGTTTATTTGGCTTGACTCCAGGACCTTTAGTCTTAGACTCAGGCCATGCGCACGTACATTGTGGGTGCTGTGAAGAAAAGCAAAATCATCACCTTGCGGAACATGTAGACCGACTCGAAGTAGTAGTATTTCAACCTCGAAATCGAAATGACTTTGAAATTTTGGATGAGACACGCAAACAAACACCAATGGTCGGCAATTGCCAGCACTGGCCGGCAATGGCCAGCAGTGGTCGGCAATGGCCAGCAATGGTCGGCCATGGTCAGAAATAGTACAGTAATTGTACGTAAGTTCCAGGCTCGAAACCATTGTAGAGGAAACCATAGCGCTTTCTGATCTCCTTCCGCACATGAATCAGAAGAGCTGGCAGCACAAACTTTGCGGGTCCCAGGCCCTTCAAGACTATCAAACAATCAAGGGCAGAAAGCTCACGTCTCGTCTCCGGACGGTACAGGGACTTCCGAACTCTGCACAGTGCAATGAAGAGAGACACCTCAAATGGCTTTGTCTGAAGATAGGGTACCCCATGGTACCCCATGGGTATCCCATGGTACCCCCAATCCCAATGGATCACCACTGAGGCAACCGCTGGAACTCCAAGGCCAAACACGATTAAGCCAGCTGTGCTCAAGGCAAGCCAGGGCCTGGGTAGATCAAAGATATAGTGGAGGGTAGCAGCTGGGTAATAGAATTATATATTTTATTACATATTAACTTATAATATCTTATAACTTATAACTATTCATCAAAGTTCATCAACAATGTATGTTTCCAATCTGATTGCAAACATAGAACTTCTCAGCTCCATTTTGGCTGGAACTGGGTTGCCAGCATGTGATTGTCGGACTTACACTCCACGCTGAAGTCCCGTCTGCGAGGTCAGACTAATCTGAACTTTGGGACATCGGCAACTGCCAAAAACGGAGTAAGCTAATGCGCAACTAAGGTAAAATCCAGACTCGATGTAAACTGTAAAAGTCACACTTAGTTATATAATGTAAGTTGCAAAAATGCTCAAAGGTTGCTTGCAAACATGCAGCGGCATCATTGGCGTTCACTCCTGTGACGCAAGACATCCAGCTCTTCGCATTCAAAGCCAACCACCAGAATCCTCTCAGCTGACGGGTGCTGGGGGCTTAAGAGAGAAGTTCTGTAGGGGAACAGCACGGGAACTCAACTTTTGCTGATTGGTTTCGGAAGACGAAAAATTGAAGTCGGACCAACACATGGACACCGGACACAGGCAACAAAATGTCATTGCCTAAAGGTTTGAATGAAAACCGTTTTTTTTGTGCAGCAAAATCTCTTGAACTCGCTGAGGACCAGCTGAAGTGGGCCAATTGGGCAGGAAATGCATGGGATATTCGGATCTCTTGGGACTTAGTGGAAGACGGCACATCTCATCGAGCCTTACCACCACTGGATGGAGGATGAAGCTCATCACAATCACCGAGTTGACGAAGCGGGTGGCCACGTTGTTCACGAAGACCTGCAGTATCAAGAGGAAGCTGATGCAATCGAACTACCAATCAAAGTCTCTAAGAAAAGACCATAAGAATCAATAAAACATAATACAGTAAGATACAGTAAGACAAGACCACAATAAGACCATGTCAATTCACAGTCGACATCGGTCTAGAAGCCAGCAGCTGTAAGCTTGAACAGCCTTGGTGTGTGGTGCCCGTCGTGGAGTTGGGGAGCCTGGGGAATCCTTCCAAAGAATGTCTTGCACGGCACAGTGATGTTTTTTGGTCAAAGCCGGCTTCGGGTTGCAAGACATCTGATTCGACCTGCGTGTGCTGACCTTTCCAAAGAAATCAAAGAATAATGTCAAACCGCAACTGAGAAAGTTGCGACTGGTGAAGAGTAGACAAGCATAAACAGGCTCACTACCATCTGCACCCCCCAAAAGCCACTAGCACATACGAGCACAAGTCCATAATGTGTTCGCGTGGCGAGCTGCTCTCTCTAGACCAAATCTGAATGAAGTCCTCCTCTGAGCGATTTCGATTCCACGGAGAGCCCAGGCCATATGCTGACCTCGGGACATGGCTCCTACTTCCACGATCTTCCACGGTTCTCATTGCAGCGACTGGCGTCCAGTGGTCTTGAGCTGAAGACATGGGAGTGAAATCGCCACCTGCACACACGTCTTCCACATTCTTTCCGCCACATTCTCGGGGAGTCAAAATTTAAAACTATATGCGACCCAGAAAAAACCGCAGAGTTTGTTACATCTGCATGTTCTGCACCAAATCTGTCCAAGTCATGGCCTCGCCGTTGAGGAGACACTGGAGTGAAGTCTCCTGGGCCATGGCTGCACCGTTGGGCCATGGCGATGGCTGCACCGTTGATCGCGATGCACCGTTGATCAGCTGTGCCAGAGGAATGGCCTCCGCGGCGCTGAGGTGACACAGGTGGAGATGCGTCCTGGGCAAACGTTGGTGCGAAATCATTCCAACAATTTTGCAACAGAGTTACTACGCAGAAAATGATAGGTACAAGCTCTAAGCTACAGTATAAAGTCTCTCTTTTTTTCTCTGAGTGTGATATGATACAGCCCAAAATGGCCAAAACATCTCTATAAGCACAAAAATTCTGACAGAGTCATCAAATCATAAACTATCATAAACTAATAAACGGATATAAACGGGGTCCTTGAACAGCGTAGGAGATATACCCGAAGAAGGCGACATGGTCCTAACATATTGACATGTAAAGGGTGGTAGACTCCGCTTTGTCGACCTGCAAAGCTGAGTGTGAGACAGGGCACCGGGATTCCCAGTGGGTGATCTGAGAATGTTCAGGTCCTCCCCGAGTCTGGCAACATCTGGCAACAAAATGTGACCTGCAAAATACAATAAAATAATTTAAAATACAATGCATTCGTCATTCAGATTTTGTCTCGATAGTTTTGTCCTGCGGCGTGTTTTCCTCGGCCACTCCCCGCCTTATTGAAACACGTTCCAAAAACATCCAAAAACCACTGCTCTTGTGAAGCTTCAAACAAATCATAACATTAAATCCTAACAGATCAATTCAAAATGCTTTGCAGCTTGAGGAGTCGGCTCCAGTATGCGGGCTCTCTGTCTCGCCTGCCACATAGCAGCTGAAAGCAGTGCAGTGGCGGCAGGGGCCCACATTTCTGGATCTCAGTGCAGCACCCTGTAGACGGCCTCATGTGGAAGCTTGGTCGGCAAGACTGGGAGCAAAGCCGCTTGATTGAAGGTGATTGAAGGATCCAAGAATGCAACCCATTTCTTGCGGAGCCATGGTGCCAGAACTCCAATGCAATCCTCCGGAAGTGCTGAAGGGGGAAGTGCTGAAGGGGGAAGTGCTGGAGAAGCGACTGTTGCTACTGTTCCAGCAGTTGCTGTCCTTCCGGATGGCCGCAAAGAGCGTCATGATGAAGAATGCCGCTGGCATTAGTACAAGACCTGCAAAGTCAAGAGCTACATTTGGCAGATATATTTGGCAGATTTTAGCAGATGGCAGATCTTGTCACCTGGCCTACTGCAATCTCGACCTGGCCGGCTCACGGAGTCAACTTTGCAAACCGCTTTAATCGCTGTAGCGGCTGCCACAGCAAACAACCGCCGTTGAAGCACAGATCCTACCTGGTACGGACGGATGCTGCTGCCCGAGGGAAGAATGCAATCAAGGCCTCAGCTTGACCGAATCAAGGCCTCATTTACATGCGTAACTGTCTTGACTTGACCATGCCTGTCTTTATGCAGAGTGCGACAGGTCTTAAACACATTGAACTTATTCGGCTGGACTTGGCTTTCCGTGGTGTTAGCCTCTTTATCGCTGTTTGGCACTGTCTCTGGTTTGCCATTCACAGTATATTGCCTGCACATCGGATAGCTTCCATCTTACTTGTCTACGACAACCTCTGACCGATATGACAGTTGCCAAGAAAACAAAGTGAGAAATGAGTACTGCCTTCGTCTTAGCTCCGAATTCTGCCTTCGTTTTGTGTCGTAATTCGGATGTTATTTGGGAGCTCGGAGACGGACTAATCAATGCGGAGAAAGGATACTGCAGTCGCTCTGGCCTGATGCAGATAAATCCACCGGAAACATCCGGCAACAGCTTTTAATCTGAAAAAAGATAAAAGGAAACAAACATGATAAAGAACAATATATGCATATATACATATATCATATATGTGTGCGAATACAAGATAAATACATGTGTAAAATACATTACAACTGTAAACAACTGTGTGGTTGAGAAACTGACACTGCAATGAAGGGCATCAAATATGCGCCACTTTCTCCGCAGATTGTTGCCACCATGACCTTGGTGCAGTATCTGACACATGCTGGGGGTGGACGGGGTGGACGGGGTGGACGGCAAACTCTCAGTGCTCAGGAGCAAGCTTTAAATTCAGTAGCTTCGAAAGCAGTTCCTGCCTTTCTGTCACACCAGATGGAAATCTAGCTTGGACACAGCTGCATAAGTTGCAGTGAAAAAACAAAGCCAAGGGTTACGCAGACATGGAAAGACTGAGTTGCACACAAACTGCAAGTAGTTGACTCCTCAGGCAAAGTTGTATTCTTGTTCAGCTAACTCATGCTCTTGAGAGCGAATCCAGAAGCAAACTGGACAAGGCTCCGGCCGATCTTGAGAATCACAGAATGGATCGCCCGCACTGATTGTGATGCAGACCGGGTGCCCTTCACGATGAGCCAAATGTACAGCACCTCAGAATCCATGAAAGAGTCAAAAGCAGAGTTTTCAGCTTGTCTGTTTAGCTGTTGCATTGTCTTTCTCTGGAAATTGTCTTTGTTTGCTCGCAGCTGTGGCAGCTGTGGTCCAAGCATAAAGGAAAACTGTCAAAGCAATGCTGCTCGCAGCCACCTCAGAATCTCAGAACAGCTTCGAAGGCGCTCAAATCTCCGGCGCTGAGGCGCAAACACGATGGCTTGGGCATTCCCTGCAAAACTCGCCTGAGTCTGGCATGATGTGGCATGATGTGGCATGGATTGTTGGCATGGATTGTTGGACACAGGCTCCGACGCTTCAGGCCCCAAAGCGGCAAGGAATATCCGGGTCCGCAGTGTTGGCCTTGAACAGTCAGATCGCTGCACAAATACATGGTTACAGCTGGTTAGAGCGTGGTGTAGCAAGCCTTAGACCACAAACAATCCCTCTCTCCAGCAGTTGCTTGTTAGAGCACCATATCGACCAAGAGGTTCAAAATGATGAGCCTCCGGCACAAGATGCCCTGATGAGCCTCTTTGCACTCGTTCTTTCCAAGACACAGTTCCGGAGGGGTGCACTCAACCTCATTAAACTTCGAAAGGAGTGGACATTGGACACACAACTCCGTTCGTTCTAGTATACTACACCCAGTCTACACAACAGATATTCATACAGTTCTACGTAACAGTATATTCCGGACATTGTGGACATCTGTGGTCTGCCTTTTAACACCTCCAGCCGTGGAAGCCGAGGCACAAAGGTTCCTGACTGCGAGGCCGCTGGCAGGCGGTAGAAGCCTGAGCCAAGACACTCCAAGACATTCAGAAAAACATTTCAAGAAACTCAGATTCTGTCGGATTCTGTCAGATTCTGTCAGCATCGCTGCAGCATCCTTGCAACCCACCGCTAGGCTAAGCACCGGGTTTGGCAAACAGCCTCAGGGGGACACAGTGGGACACAGTGGGACCGAAACTCGCTACGCTAGAGGCGCAGTGGCAACGACGGTGACGACTTGTCTGAGGTGCAAACTCTGAATTGCCAGGACAATCAGCACCAAAAGGGCAAAGGTCGCATTGGCTCATGCCAGCAGTATTGCCATACCTCAATAGTAGAATATACTGTGAATAAATCAATAATATAAAAGATTATAAAAGTATACGTATCTGACGTATCTAGTGCTCAGCACGAAAGAACTCTGGAGATCACTTGCTGCCTGTTGATCGGGGAATCACTGCGATCACAATGGCCTTTAGACCACTAGACTGCCGCCAGGGTACGTTCCTGGTTGACAGTCCTCACACTCGACAGAGCGAGGTGTGCGGTATCGACCAGGAGGGCACTTCCTCAGAACAATCGATCGCGAATATCGCGAATGATATTGCGAGACATAATCTGTCACAACTATCTTTGTCCCGAAGATGCAAGGGCATCAATATTTGACAAACAGCTAAACAGCAACCGGTTGAGCCTTCAACATGCAAAGATGCAAAGAGCTCGCTTCAACATTCTATATCTCAGCCTTAGGCTTGCAAGTCGTGGCATTGCCTCCATTGTCCAGCACCACAGCCTCCATGTTGAACAACACCATGCCACTAGTCACTATGCTTTGGCCATGTGTCACACAAATAACAAAAACACGGCAACGTATCGTTGCCTCCCCTGGAACGCAAGGATAGACGTCAATCTCTTTCTGGACCCAGGTTGGCAAAGGCCAGCCACTGAGAGTTTCCTGTCCACCTGAAGGATCCGACTGTGGTTGACATGTCACTGATCACTAGTCATCTTTATCATCTTTCACTAGCAAGATCAAGCAGGTGCGAAACAAACAGAGACATACCGTGATATACCTGAAAATACAAGTGAAATACATCGAAATACAGGATGATTCACCTCTGATTTCATGTCGTGCTTGGTTCGGGTTCGGTTCCAGCAGTTTGAGGTCATGGCCTTCGGAGTCCAGAGTCACAATGTCTGCGCTGATCCAGCGATCCATGGTCGCCTGGTCCTGTCACCAATCACCAACATCCCACTACTCCCACTGCACCATGGATGCGAATCCAAAACCCAACGTGGCGGGTCCTTGTCCAAAGGTTGAACCTTCCAACTGACACGAAAGATGGTCGAGCTTGGTACATTTGGTACATAGTTTCTACATGTTTTAGCAGCATCTCAGCATCTCATTTCTCCATCTGGAGTTGATTCTGTCAGAATGTCCCGAACCGCCTGCTGAGTCAAAGTGCGAGCATTGGTCCGGGTACCTCACATCCATCTTGTTTGCTCTGCACCATGGCCGATGCGAATTGTTGGCACATGTTGGCACCCCCTAAGCTGCATGAGACCAACTTGAGAGTCTGACCATTGTTGTCAAAGGAAAGGAGCCCATAGCATGTTTGCACTGACCGTGAAAGCAAGGCCTTCCACGACACTCAATGAATACCAAAGAAATCTCAAGCCTGTTCCACAGGGCATGGGTCCAAAATGGGCTACCAATGGACCCACCAGATTGATTATGTTTAGACATGTTTAGTTAAAAAAAGCCTGTATTTGGGGTCAAGATCTTGACATCTTTTGACCCATACCATCCACACCCTATGTTCTTCACCGCAGTCGGAACACGGAAACTGCGGCCTGGCGCACTTCGCTTTGCTCCAGGCTCCTCACCTGAGGTGCCATTGACCCTCCTCCTCAACAAAAAAAACCTTTTCAAGTGCCACAATGTTGGTGAAAAAATGCAAATTGTTGCGGGTGTATTGAGGGTCTTGAGTCTTGAATATGCTTCACCCACTCGACAGATTGCGAAACCGGGCCATAGACTTGGGCAAACTTGTCAAGAATAGTAATATGATTATATGCCAAACTTTCCGTGATCCCGAGACAAAGCCCTAGGAATTAAACGGATTCAACTTCAAAAGCGCCTGGAAAATGGCGGCAAATGCTTTCTTCGATTCTAAGGGTTGGGCCGCCTGAATGGCAGAGAGCAATGCGATTGCCCCTGCAGCAGCTGCAGCACTTTCTGGCAGCGCCTCCTGGGAACACACATTTCAATCTAGCAGTAGCAGCTATCAATAGTGTGAAATGTTGTGACCCTTTGAGATGGCAAGGTAAGGTTGAAATCAGAACCAAGGTCTTGAAAAACTACGTCAGTTGCTGCAAGAGTGGTTTGGAAACTCTCATTCTTATATCGGTTTCCTCATTGAATTCTTCCCTGTAGGCTGCGGCGAAGTCCCAAGCAGAACCTCATTGCGACTCACTGACTCACAAGCACCAATTTTAGCAAACACTCCACAGCTTTGCATCCTGCGAGTACTACATATCTTCTAAGCGTCCGACCGAAAATAGGGCATTTCACTGATACAGACGGCTCCCACACCAATGGGCTCATCACATAATTCCTGGACAGTGAATATTGATAGATGTTGAGGAAAAGTGATACCCTCTGGTAATCGAACCTGGCAATTGAAAATCCTATACAAATAGGGTTTGAATGGGAAAAACATCTACAAATTTGGAAATTTCCAGCAAAGCCATGTTTGATTACCAGAGGTTGACTGCTGTCTGGGTCTCATTCTTTCGCAGCAGCAACTGAGTGCGCCGACGCCAAATGAGCCCCTACTGAGCGAACGGCGTCCCTGAGACGTCTGACGTGACTTGACGCAGGGATCACAAGGGGACAAGGGCCTCGCCTGCTGGAAACAGCGGTCAAAATAAGGCCCAAAGGAACAAAGCCTGGGCAAAGGATGCGGGGTCAAAAACCACTTTGAGCACAAATGCGTGTTATAGCGTTATCGCACAATTGAAACAATCTTCATGTATCCTTGTCATTTCAGAGCAGCAGTTTGAGGCAGAGACTAAGAGAGCTAGCCTTGGTTACGCCAAATTCATGCCATGAAGCGCATGAAGAGACTGTTCTTGGGGCAGATTCCGCCGGATTCTGGCGGAGTGTTGGGAGGATTTCTTGCCAATGAATACTTGGAAGCCATCTGCAAGTGCAAGTGGCAGAGATGAGAATCTGTTCAGCGCTTCGAAGGTTGCCACAACCCACCAGTAGGTCGGGACCTCGCCGCAGCCACGGTTGTTCCGCCGCGAAATGACCCATATATTGCCATATATGCCATGTAACAATGCAATTACAATGCAATAACAATGCAATAACAATGCAATACAATTCAAAGTCAACAGGACAGAATCTCAGGACTGTAGGCTGCCGTAGACTACGTCGTAGAGCATCTAAGGGAGCAGCCCATCCCTTTTAGCTCGCGCATGTGTGGCATCATTGCCTACCACTTTTCAGCAGTGTATTCATTGGAATGTAGCGAGAGAGAGAGAGAGAGCGAGAAAAAAAAAAGTGATTTTGCAATGGTTGATTTGTCTGTCGAATACGGGCCTGGTCTGCAATCCCAGTTGCATCAAGCACAGTCATGCCAATCCCTGAGCGTCTTTGATTTCTCATCCCAACACGTGCGAACCAGTGAGATGAGAAGTATCTGTTTCATGTGTGTGTGTACGCATCTATAATTATATGTATATATATACATACACATCACATATGTATTCATTCATATGTAGAGAGACATGAAAAAAATGAAGAAAAATAATGAGAAAGAGACATTTTTACAGGTTTACAAATACGCATATATATGCACATATATGTATATGTATTATGTAAGGATATAATATATATATATATAAATGATATATATATATACAATAAGTTATATACAATATGATATACATATATATATAATATGTTATATAGAATATGATATATATAATATGATATATATATATATATATATATAAGATATAAATCATATGATATATATATATATATTATGATATATATATATAATGTGCCATATATAATATGATATATATATATATAATATGATATATATAATATATAATATGATATACACATAATATGATAGATATATTTTAATATGTATAATATGATATATATATAATATGATATACATATAATATGATATACACATAATATGATATGCATATAATATGATGTTTATATATAAAATATGATATATATATATATATATATCATATGATAGATATATATATATATATAATATGATATATATATAATATGATAGATATAAATATATAATATGATAGATATATATATATAATATGATATATATATATAATATGATATATATATAATATATATATATCAAATAATATATATATATGAAATAATATATTTATATATATATATCAAATAATATATATATATAATTCATATATATATAATTCATATATAAGCCCGCTGGAGGAGAAGTCACACCCTCAAGCAATGCCAAGTAACGGCGAGCATGCAGTGTAGCACCAGCGCAAACTTCCTCCGCAAAGGAACTTCCAGCCTTTCAAGGCTTGGCGGACGCATTTCCCGAGATTCCTCAAAGAAATATAAAATACCATAAAATACCTGTAAAATATCATGTTTTAAAAAAAATAACTACTGGAACTTCTGAACGTGTGTTTTTAGCTCAGTACACTCAGCTCCAGACATCCCAAATGGTGGCCATTGACTGTGCTGGTGTTGATTGACTTCCAGCCAACTCCTGAAAGGCATAACTCTTTGCTGTGGCGCTGATGTCATTTCGGATCTGCTCGTGTCATTGCGGATTTGCGGGGTGTGCCCAATCTGTTCATGTCTTGCTACGTCAGCCAAGTATCAATGCTGCCAGCCATGATATCCTGCACCTGCAACGCAGTGGGTTTGTGAGATCAAGGGTGAAAAGGTCACTGAAACAATCCCAATATCCCATCAGAATCAGCCTGGACGTCTGGTGTAAATGTCCAAGGACCATGTTGAGATTGTGTAGTTTCACTCGACCTTGGACTTCTGCAGTTGTTCAAAAACATGATCTCGGGTAATTTGAGCAAGTCAAATTTCAAGGACCTTCAACTTCTCTTTTTGTTTCAACCCATCTCTGTTGCCGACAAACTCATCTGAGATCAGGCACATGCCGATGCCCCCGATGCCGATGCCCCGGGTCAAAAGTGTGAGGATGCTCCTGGAGTTTGCGGCTTCTGCAGCCACCTGACAGCCCGCCAGTGGCACAAAGAACTGGGAAGAGTGGATCAGTCATTGTGATCAGGTGCACGAATCAGGTGGAAACCAGTCAAATTCACAATCTCCAGCCTCCTGCATGTCCGAAGACTGAAGGCCAATCAAGAAATCGACCTGGCAATGGAATTCCTGAGAACTGCTCGTGTCCTGTTTCGTGCTATCTGAAGAGTTGGAAGAAATTCTATGCCTCTTTGCTTTCGATCATACGGGAGTAGATGTCAGCAGCCTCAATTAGCAGCAGTAGCAATCATCATTCTCAGCTTCTCAGCTTCTCAGCTTCTCAGCTCTATCAAGGATCAGAATCTTTGTGAACTTCCTGAGGAAAACGCACGCTGACGGTCACCTCCATCATCCTGTCAAAATCGGAACATCGAACACTCTAAGCATGCAGAGTACTCCTTGCAAAATCACTTTGGGTGGAGTCTCTCGTTTTTCAAAAATAAAAATATTCTCATTTGTCCGAGCATTGTTCGCCACTCCTCAATTTGCAAACGAAGTCTAAGAGGTAATTGTGACGGACCATAAAATGGAGTGTACCTGCCGTGTTAATGAGTAACATGAACATCAGACAGCAGCTTGATTCGCAACAGAACCAAGCAAGAAAATTGACTTGCGTATGGGAAGGGCAGGCATGTATCAATCTATCAGTGTATCTTGTTGCTGCTTTTACTGATCTGTCCCCTGCAAATTTCGGGGCACTGTTGCAATTTGGTCGCCAAGAGCTGCAGGCCCTGCAGTGAAGCGCGTTCAGCCTGGCTCAAAATCCGCAAGCATCATGGGAACCACGGCTGGCAGCAGCTAAGGCCCTAGCAGCACTGGGGATGGCTGGCAGAGTACCGCCCAGACGTATGTAGATTCCAGAGGCACCCAAACTTGGCAAGAAAGTCTTAAAAAGCTCACTTTGACAATATGTCCTCTTTTATCCCATGCAAATCAAAGTGAAACCAGGGATCGAACCCATCTGGTTGAAGACAGGGGACCAAAAGCCTTCACAGCACAACAATTGACTCAATCAATAATCTGGTGTGGCTGCTGCAGAGTAATAAAATACAATAAAATCAGGTCTGCACAGGCACAGCCATGTTCTCATTGGTCCGCATCTAATCCTGGGTGCAAACAAAATGCGCCAACGTCACGACTTGGCATGGAGTACTCGATCTGTTGTCGTTGACTTGTAGTGAATTCATGAAGACTCGTTTCAAAAGAAACATGTTTCGCATCTTGATTTGAATCTTGGGCATTCGACCGCAGCTGGACTGTGCAAGTGCAACTGGTGAATTAAGAAGCCTATTATGCATTGTTCCTAAGACTGAAGGTGTCTGCAAAGAGCTCTTGTCATGTTGAGGCATGTACTTAAGTTGTGCCCCCCTCCCACCATTAAAGTGCATGTTTGGGCATTTTGAAGTGTTGCATGCAGCATACAGAGGTCCGGTTGTAAAAACCGTACATCTTGTGGGTTCTGTTCGTTGTGAAGGTTATTTGAGCCTGAGTTTGGGGAAGATCATCTTTACTCTTGATCATTTGGCTCTTGCCGAAGGCTTGCAGCTAATGGCGACGAACCAATGGTGAAATGTTGGTGAAATGGTGCATCAAAGACATCATTCAGGTTGCGTATGGAAATTGCAAAAAACTGCAGGACATTTCATGAATTTCAATGAGAATTTCATGACCAGCGGAGCCCAAAAAACAGCGTTACCTGAATGTAGTCCATGTGCTGCGTGATAGTCGGAGGCCTACAGAGGTCACAAATCTGCAGTATGTGCATAGCTTTGTCTGAAACTAGTCTCCCCAAATCGACTGGATTGACATCATTCTTCCTGTTAAAATAGCCATTTGGCGGGTATACCCCTAATTTCAGACACGCCCACATATGTTGACATGTGTTCCTATATTCTTCAAAGCTTGACACACACATGCTGGGTGCGAGCACATGATGAAGGGCCACCTCAGCTGCAACACCGGAATAAAACAGCCGGTTTTCCATTCAAATGACCCAGCTGAACTAGCTCAAGTCTGTTTGATATGCTTGATTCACTCACCCACTTATGTCCCCCAATCATGGCAGGCTGCTACTCGGAGAAGCCGATGGCAGCCCGCGGTTCCAGATACTGGATTCACTGCACGAGAAGTGCTTGGAGCCAAGGCAGCCAAGTTTTTTGGTTACAGATCATCAAAAAATAAAAGAAAAAATCCTTCAATTCCCTGTCAAGCATGTCAAGCAGTTTGGAACGGGTCGACAATTGTAGCTGAATGGACCCACAAAATAGGGTCCATCCACTCCTTGACGGCCAATAATTTTGACCCATACCCTGTTCAGTTGACACCAGCGTTCAAGGAGTGAAGGAGAGCACATGGTCCTTTTCTCAGTTGACTCACTGGTCTCGAAGCACCCTGTGCGTTCGAGACCATCGGCCGCAAGCTGCTGAGCAAACGAGTCCGAAGATGAACCCAGCTTTGCTCAGCTTCGCTGAGCTTCGCTGAGCTTCTGGCTTCTCTGAGGCTTCTCTGAGGCTTCTCTGAAGCTTCTCTGAGGCTTCTCTGAGGCTTCTCTGAGGCTTCTCTGGGCGTCGTGTGTTTGACTCAGTGTCAGTGCGTCAGTCCACGCGTTTCTGGAAGGATCGACACGGAGCCGGCTATCTGCCAGCATGCTGCAAGTAGAGACCTTCCTGCCAGGCCAATGTGTGCCATGAATGATAAGGATAAGCTGAGCTTTATTCTATCATATCAGCAGAGTCTGATGTGGAATGGCATTTAGCATCATTTAGCAATATTTAGCACATCTCAAGGGTAAATGACTCAGCCACGCACACAGATCCAACTCAGCCACGCACACAGATCTAACTCAGCCACACACACAGATCTAACTCCGTCACGCACTCAGATACAACTCATCTGCGCACACAAAACGGACTCAACCATACACACACATAGGCCTGAGCCACACACTAGCCAGTAAGACACCCTGCAGCATTGCGCCCTGCACTGCACCTTCATCGCCTGTCATCTGCCCATGTGCACCCTGAACATAGTCTTGGGCAGGGGCGGGGGGGGGGCAAAAGCGTTCATGTTCCTCTGCACACACAAAAGCACTGCACCTTGATCGCCTGTCATCTGAAGCCATAGTCTTGGGCAGGGGCGGGGGGGACAAAAGCGTTCATGTTCCTCTGCACACACAAAAGCACTGCACCTTGATCGCCTGTCATCTCAATAGTCTTGGGCAGGGGCGGGGGGGGGACAAAAGGCGTTCATGTTCCTCTGCACACACAAAAGCACTGCACCTTGATCGCCTGTCAAGCAAATAGTCTTGGGCAGGGGCGGGGGGGGGGGACAAAAGCGTTCATGTTCCTCTGCACACACAAAAGTACTGCACCTTGATCGCCTGTCATCTGAAGCAGTGCACCCTGAACATAGTCTTGGGCAGGGGCGCAGCGTCAGCTGTCGCGTATATTGCTGACGGCTCTCCTATAGCCCGTCAGCTGTCGCGTATATCTATCTATCTATCTATCTATCTATCGATCTATCTATCTATCTATCTAATCTATCTACCTACCTATCTATCTATCTATCTATCTGTCTGTCTGTCTGTCTGTCTGTCTATCTGTCTATCTGTCTATCTGTCTATCTGTCTACCTGTCTACCTGTCTATCTGTGGTGCAGTGCTATTCAGTGTAATGTAGTGTACTGTAATGTAGTGTAGTGTAGTGGAGTGTGGTGGAATGTAGTGTAGTGTAATTTAGTGAAGTGGAGTGTAATTTACTGTAGTGGAAGGTAGTGTAGTGTAGCGTTGTGTAGTGTAGTGTAGTGTAGTGGAGTGTAGCGTAATGTAGTGTAGTGGAGTGTAGTGGAGTGTAGTGGAGTGTAGTTGTGTAGTTGTAGTTGTAGTGTAGTGGAGTGAAGTGTAGCGTAGTGTAGTGTAATTTAGTGTAGTGGAGTGTAATGTAGGCAAGTGTAGTGGAAGGCAGTGTAGTGTAGTGTAATGTAGTGTAGTGTAGTGGAGTGTAGTGTAGTGTAATGTAGTGTAGTGTAGTGTAATTTAGTGTGTGGAGTGTAGTGGAGCGTAGTGCAGTGTAGTGGAGTGTAGCGGAGTGTAGTGGAGTGTAGTTGTGTAGTTGTAGTTGTAGTGTTGTGGAGCGTAGTGTAGCGTAATGTAGTGTAGTATAGTGGAGTGTAGTGTAATGTAATGTAGTGTAGTCTAGTGAAGCGAAGCGAAGCGACATCTGAACCTCTAAAAGTGGTCCGAACCCCTATATAATCTTTTTAACATTTTGACTGCGAAATGTGCTTCGCGCCACAACGGCGTGCACTTTTTCGACATCTCAACTTCCAAAAGTGGTCCGACCATGGTGTGCTTTGTACATGTTCACTTCGCGCCACAACGGCGTGCACTTTTTCGACATCGCAACTTCCAAAAGTGCTCCGAGCACCAGGTGTTTTTAACATTTTGACTTGGAAATGTGCTTCGCGCCACAACGGCGTGCACCTTTTCGACATCGTAACTTCCAAAAGTGGTCGGACAATGATGTGTTTTGTACATTTTGACTTGGAAATGTGCTTCTGGCCACAACGGCGTGCAATTTTTCATCTCTCATCTGGCCAGCTGGCTCCGAAACCGCCGCTTTAGCGAGCCTACTTTTCGACCCTCCGGAGCCCCAAATCATTGGAAAAACACAGTGTTTCGCGACTTTCCTACCTTTTCGCGCATCTGTCTGCCACTCTTCTCTCTTCTAATCTTTCTCTTCTCTCTGCCTCTTCCCTGGTCTGCTCTTCATCTGTCCATATTGTCGGAAGTTTGACTTCTAAACTTCCTTCGATAAATAGCTTCCCTCAAGATGTCTAATGTATTCTGGTGTGATGATATGCAGCACTGCGTAGTAGGCAGATTCTGGGTATCGCTTCGAGTTTCCAAGCATCGCTGCGGGCATCGCTACAAAGACATAGAAAATATGTTATCTCAACATATCTCAACGATTTGCCTACACTAATACAACTCTTGCAAGGTAGCGCACATACAGTAGCAGGAGTATGTGCACGCGTTCTACAGTTGCCAGATAAGACGTCATACTGTTGCACGCACGCGGTCGCTACCTACAAGTGCTCTGCCTATGCATTACTTCTAGTACGCGTGCACACATCAAAGTCATCTTCTCTTCGCGTAGGTAATAAAAGCTTTGGCTCATGCAGCAGTACCTACGCATGTGAAACATACGATCTACTATGATACAACAAGTCTAAGTACATTGCCAAGTGCAAGATAAACTCCAGTAACGCTAGCATGACATCTGCGCGCACATGAACGACAGCTCCCTAGCGCTGAACATGCATGCACTCAAGATCATCTGCTCATATTGTAATTGTAACACACTGCAAACATGTGCTCATCGAAGCTATGGCCAAAACATTGTCTTGTCGCGTGTATGGCTGAGATACACTTCGCGTGTATGGCTGAGTTGAGCTCGCGTGTGTGGCTGAGTTGATTTCGCGTGTACAGCCAAGTCAAATTCCGCGTGTATGGCTGAGTCCAATTTCGCGTGTACGGCTGAGTCACTAACCCATCTCAAGCCCATCTCAGCATATGTTGCACATGGACATTGAGCATCCTCGAAGTCTGTGCGGCTGGCGGGCTGCATTGGCCGACGATGCGTCTCCAATTCCCTGAGAATTGCTCCGTCGGAAACATTCCGAAACTCTCTGATGCATTTGGCAAATGTCAATGGGTTCCGTCGGGTTCCGTTCCATGTCCTACATTGGCCCTACATTAACATGTCTCAAAGCGGGATCTGACAGACTCAGAACTCCACCTGAGAGTCATCCAGCGCACCTTTTCAGGAAGTCTTGCTATATGGCTTCTCACCTCCTTTGGACAAAGCGTTACATCACACTGGTTTGGTCCGGAAAAAGATGAAAGAAAAGGTGCAGTCCTCGAGAGCCTTCTGCAGAGTTACTCCTTCGGGGCTGTCCAGAGTCCTCATGCGCTGGTGCACCTGTGCATACAACATTTGTGATTTCAAAGAAGGCAACATCTCTTGAAAATCTTGGAATATTAATGACTATTAGGAAATTATCCAGAGTGAGCTCTTGCGCTGCCTTTTCCGCTACTTCATATGCGTGCAGGGCTCCAGCCAAATTGCCAACATTTCGCCGCATGTCGCCGATGGAAGTGATCTCAGTCAGTGGTGTTCCTTGCAAAAAAAACATAATAAGAACCCAATTCTGTTCGAAAGAAAAGTATCAGTTCGAATGTCACCAGTGTCTGCCAGTGTCATCCACTTTAGTAATCTTTAGTACATATATAGTCTGTTGAGACCGGTACATGAGTTGGCCGCAACCTCTCGCCGATGCTTGGATTATGCAGGAAGGCTCTTTCTGCCTGCCATGGCGGCGAAACTGGAATCCGAAGTCCAGGTAGGCAGTGAGAGCACTAGCAGTACCCAAATCGGGCCGAAGGGCGAAAGACTAAACAGAAATAAACAGAACAATGCGTTCAAATCATTCAAACACATGTCATATATCTTAATTCGTCTTAATTCATGCTGACAGTTTCTTTAACCAGGCCCACCCTCCGCCCTAGACTTCTTCTTTTTCATCTGGGTGGAGTTTGCAGCATGTCCATCCTGCTGCGTTTCTTCATTGGTGTCTTTGTGCCGCCTGCTTGCATCAGCTGTTCCAAATCTATAGCCATCAGCTGCGCAGGTTTGACACCCTCAGACAAATGAATTAGAAACAAGGTGTGGGCGGGTGGGCCATTTAAAAACCTTAAAGTTCGGTTTGAGCCCCTCACTTAGGCACAAACCCACCGTCCACCCTAAATTAAATCACTACACCGTCATGCAGTTTGCAGGCAAACTTTCACGACAGTTTCGTTTCTTTGAACCAGGCCCACCCTCCACCCTAGACTTCTTCTTTTTCATCTGGGTGGAGTTTGCAGCATGTCCATCCTGCTGCACTTCTTCATTGGTGTCTTTGTGCCACCTGCTTGCATCAGCTGTTCCAAATCTGTAGCCATCAGCTGCGTAGGTTTGACACCCTCTTTGACATCGTCGCGCAGCTTCAGCATGGTTGAACACTTTCTGCACTTAGGGGTCGGGAAGCCTGGTTTGGTGACGAATGCCACATGCGCTGAGTGCCTAGCAAAGGCCCATCCGCATGCTGAAGTCCATCGGGCCAATGGTACGCTCCAGTCAGCGTTTTCTACTAAATGCAGCGGGCCACCCCCACCTCTCTCAGTCGATTTGACCCAGAGGGTGTTGGCTCGCCTCATAATCAAAGGGCACGGAGGTTCTTCAACTTGCGCAGGACGTTTTCGAGGCGTCTTGTCTGTGCCCTTTCCCGGTGTCTTGGGCTGTTCCATCCTCTGACACTCTGGGGGTCTCAGTCCCTTGTTGGCCGGTGTCGACTCCAGTGCTTCCTGCGTAGATAAGCACCACTGACGATTTCCACCTGCCAAGGTAAGCCAGATCTCTGATGCTCATTCCTCTACGCACGTATGCCATTGCCCCTATTCTCCGGGCTGAATGGCCCGAAACTTCCTTCTTAAACAGGTGCTTCCAGCTGTCCACCATTTCTTTCTTCGAAGGTCCATTACCCTTGCTGTTCAGGAACATCATGCTGCTTTGTGAACCTGCAGCTCGTCCAACACGCCAACGCCTCAAGCTAGAGAGAAGCGCCCAAGCACACCCCGACCAGCACGGCTGCTCGCCGCAACATTGCAGCGTCCTCGCCCCTTGCTGATCTGCTTTGGAGTGTGGTATGTAAAGCCTGACGGTTCTCTTGCTGGCATCCCACGTGACATGGTTCCAGCAAACTCTTAGGGGCCCTCTTCACCGGCCCCCAATTTCTCGTGAAGGCCTTCTTGCAGAGTGCCATGACCCGCAACAGCCAAGGCTCCATGTGAAAGCCTGCTTCCACGTGCATCAGCTTCAGCTCGTTCAGGTACTGATCACCTGAGGCAAGCTCAGCCGCCTTTAAGGCCGCGGCCACTCCTTCAGTGCCTCCTTTGGTGAGCGGGAAGACCGAGTCCGCCCCCATGACCAACTCTGCAAGCCTGAGCACTTCCTGTCTTCTGCATTGCTTGACAGCCGTTGTGCTCAAAAGTTGTTGGTCATCTTTTCCACCGCCTCTCTCAACTTGTAACTGCACTTGGCCACCTCCAAAGCTTTCTCCATTGACCCTTTTCGACTGTGACCTTTCGCTTGAACACCTGCAGCTTGTCCATGTGCCACGGCCTCTGGGGCCCTCCCTTCTTCAGGTTCCTCAGGCCTGTCCCTGGCTCTAGGCATTGGAAGCTTGGATGGCCTATAGCCGGTAGCCGTTCAATGGCCAGCTGGCCCTCTTGAACATTCCACATGCTGCTCTAGCCCCCCTCTCCCCATGTCTCACATCACAGGCCTTGCTCTGCACGCCAACGCTTTGACCAGGTCTGGACTGCCCCGGTGTGTTGGGTAGGTGCACCTTCTTTCTGGGGTCTTCGACCTGCGACCTGATGTGTCCCGTGCCATGCGGGAAGTTTGAGTTGCCCGTGACGGCCTCTCCACACATGCACTGCAGCATGGGCATCTCATCGCACTTCGAATCTCACCACGCCTGTTGCCCCTTGACTGCTTTGCGCGTGGCCTTCAAGACGTCCAAGACTCGGCAGCAACACATGCATAGCGCCGCCAGCAAGGAGGCCCATCCCTTAACTTGGTTCAAGAGCTATACTCTGTAGAGGGCCTAGAGGGTATATACGTATATACATATAGCTTCCGCATTTATTTGCAACATATATGGGCAATTTGTGTCACATATGCCCCAACAATTGTTTTTTCACATATGTGCAAATGTCCGTAAGATCTGATTTTATGTAAATAAGATCTTACGGACATATATTATATGTCCGTAAGACCTTATTTACGTAAAACAAGATCTTGAATCTTAAATATTCGATATGTAATACATAAATGTAATGTATATGTAATGCATATGCAACTGCAAATGTGTACACAAATGTCTACATGGATATATGTATATGACCATGTCCGCCTGTACTCTACAGAAACCTGGCCCACATAGCTCTTGAATCTAGATAACCCATCCCACCAACACGAAACTCAGGACCCTCAGGGCTTATGGCCATTCGTCGTCGGCTCCTGCCGGAACGGGATGGGTAGGAACGACCTCCATGCTGCTATGCACGGCTCCGGCATGCATAAAATGAGACCATGACATGCGAGCAAGCCCTTTGTTGAACTAAAAAGAAAGCCTAAACAGGTGGATTCCGGCAGCTGAGAAGCCTTCAAGCCTTCAGCTCCCTTTTTGCCAGCTGCAGACTTGTTAAAGGCTCTCAAAAGCCTGCAAAATGGTCTCAGATTGGATGCCCCACAGTTTTGGGGCAATCCCAGGGGGCGGCACCTGTGACTTACGCCGTGCCTCACCTTCGAATTTCTGTATTTTGATCCCTCGTAGGGTCCAGGGAACTTCTGCAGATTGTTCAGAGAGCCAGTCCGCCTCCACATTGAATCGTCCTGGAAGGTGGTGGACGATGAGCCGCGGCACGTCCACAAGCTCCAACCTGAGTGCCAGTTCTGCCCCCACCCAATTCGCGGTGGGTGAGGGGCTGGACAGCTTCTGCGCGATGGCCAACTCCGCCGTCGAGCCCGACTTGACCAAGAGCGGGACCCCTCGAAGGCCCGTCTTCCACATCCTCACTGCCAAGAGCACGGCCCAGGCCTCCAAAGCGCCTTGGGACGACGCCTCTCCGAACTCCAGCGCCAACCAGTCCGCGTCCTCCTTGCGCACAGGGGCTTCCATAGCTGCCCAAGGATCCAGCTCCCCCTTCGCGAAGTTGACGTAGCACAGGATCACCCCCACTCCTTGTGGCGATGCATCCGTGATGATGGCCAAGTCGGGGTCGGCAAGATCCCTGCCATTCATCCAGCTGAGCCTGCCCGTGGTAGCTCTCAAGTCTCGCAGGCTGATCATCCCATTTCCCATGACTTCAACTTGTCCAGGAGTTCCGATGCCATCTTGCGTGACACCGTCAGCTTGAAGACCTCCCGCTCCATGTGCAGCTCGAAGACCACCCCGATCCATGTCACGCGGCCACCGCGCTCGCCCTTGTGGTAGGCCAAGGTGCGATTCCGGCGCTCAGCCGTGCCAGCCAGCAGGATCAGGGGGTCGTCCATGTAGGTCTGGATGACTCCCCCGCCTCTCGCCAGCAAGCTCTGCAGGAACCTCGTGAACATTGCTGACAGCCTGGCCATCAGGAGCGGTGCGGCTTTGAAGCCGAAAAGAAGGCTGTGTACAAGATGAATTGCCCTTCTTCAAGACCCGGACAGATGCAATTGCCCAGCTCTTCTCTTGAGACTGGGAAGTGGCAGAAAGCGTCTGCCAAATCAGCTCCGATGAGCTCCCATTGGTGAAGATCCACCTCCTTCTCAGCCATCCAGCCTTCCCTGTCTGCCAGGGCCTTTAGCTCGTCCTGGTACCTGTAAAGTCCCTGCGAGCTCCCTGCAGCACGTCCTGGACTCTTGGCAGTATCAGCCTCTCTGGCACTGAACTCCGCGCATTGCCACCGGAGCGCAGCATGTCCACCAACACTCGGTTTTTGACCCTGCCGTCGTCCTTGATCTTCTGTATGAGGCCCATACGGGAAATGGTCCCTGAGCTGAAGCCGCCTTTGAGCCATTCCAAGCCGGACGGCAGCAAAGCCCTTGTTGACGCAGCGGTTGATCTCTTCCGTCGCCGCGTCCAGGAGGTCATAGAAGCTGGTCCAACTTCGTGTTCAGCGGCATTTGGAACTCGTAGTCTTCACGGATCACCACGTCCTCGAACTCCCGCGCCTTCAGCATGCGCTCCAAGGTCGCCTTCCATGCCAGCGCTACGTCCAAGTCCGGCGCACAGTCCTCATTGCCACCATATAGGTCTTGGAGATCCCCAGCGCCTTCGGGTTGTCCTGGATGAATCTGTTCCAGGCCCTGCTGATGTCCATGCCGACGCTGGTGACCATGTGGAGCTTCGACACGGCAATGTCCGGGTTGCGCATGCCACCAAGGAAGAAGTCATTCTCCTTCTCCTTGCGCTGTTTCTTGGACATCATGTCAGGCCTCGGGACCATGTCTTTCGTGATGTCCCCGACTTGCCATGCCCTTTTCGAGGTCGAAGAAGAGGGCTCTTCGGAGCTGGGTGCTGGTGTTCTGGCCTCCTTGCTTCTGATCCAATTCCTCTGCAGCTTGCTCACCTCGCCCTCTTTGGTCTGAAGCTTATATCGCCAGAACTCCAGCTGCAAGTTCTGCTTGAAGGTCTTGATCACCAGGCCTGCATAGCGCTCCGCCAAGGCTTTGGGATGCTCCGCTGCTGTCTTGCTCTTGCAAAACAGCGGCAACTTGGGCATGAGCATTTGCCTGAGAGCTCCTCCAAGCCTTGCAGGCGTCCCGACCATCTTGCAGGCTTCAACCACCGATACTTGCCCTCCATGAAGTTGCACGTGTTGAAGCGGGCATCCTGGGCTTGATACTCCTTCAGGAAGGCCATGATTTCCGGCAACAACCATGCCGGGCAGTCTTGCCCTGCCTCAGACCCTGGCGGGTTCTCCAACGTGGCAACCTCCCCAACCTTCCTTTCATGGTGGAGGTTCAGAACCTTTCCAGCCAGCATAGAAGAGCGCACTGCCAGCTATCAGCTTCCTGTTGTGGCCTGTTGTCATTGGTTGGCAGGCCGGAAGGAAACTCCCTGCTTCTCACCGGGGGCGGTCCCCCTGGCTTGTTGCGCACCATGCTGAAGCTGCCACACGGGAACCCGGCATGATACCCATCTATAGTATCCACCGTCTCCAGCAAGTCCATGTAGGGTCTGTCCACCGCCAAGTCCTGCTTCAGGGGCCCCTCCTTGTCATAGGATTCCACCTTCACGCGCAGGCCTTCCTTTGCCGCCTGCTTTTCCAACGCCACCTTCAAGACGTCATTGGGGCACTGAAAAGGTGGACAAACCTGAACTCCCTTTGAGCCTTGTACTGCGCGAAGTCCCCGGTGTTCTTCAAAAGCTCAAGCGCTTGAGGATGCCATTCTCCTTGAATGACGTTGACCTCATCTGGGTCCCAAACCACGGCCTCCTCTTCCATCTTGCCAGCTTGAGCCTGAAAGCAAGTGATTCAACGGTTGACCGGTGCCAAACGAGTTCAAATGAAACTGCATGACGTGAAATAAATCGATCAAATGAAGTCAACCTGAACCTGATCACCTACCACCAATTGAAACTTAAACTAAACAGTTTGAAAATGAAATCTAAAGTTCAAACCGTTTCCCTTCCAGTCTCTTGCAGCTAAGGTCCGCTTGTCCCACCAGTCTCCCTAAGTCCCCGGGTGAGAAGACCGCTCACCATCAGGGGGCCCCTGCTCACTTTTGTGGGCAGTTGACATTGTTGTGCCCTGGCGACAAGCAGAGCTGACACTTGTGAGCTCTTCGAACTTTGCCACGGCATTCACCGCCGACTGGCACATCTGCGCACAGACCTTTGGCCTGCGCCCAGGAGAAACAAATCTCTGCCCGTGTCTTGTCCTTCGACTTGCCCTTGTTCTGACCCTTGCCTTGCGGCTTGTCAGCATCGAACTTCTGGCTCTTCAGCTTGCGCAGCTCCTCACGATCATCTTGAAGCCGCTTCCTGCGGGCATACCTCTTGTCCCGGTTAGCTTGCCGCTTCCGGTCGTCCTTCTCTTCTTTGGGAACCTGCAGCACGTCAGAGCCCCCAACCAGGGGTGTAGTGGCTATATCCTCAGATGGTGCCAAAGGGGCACCAGCTTGCTCCGACCAGAAGGGTTCGTCCTTCGCCAAGATCTTGAAACAGGAGGACCAAGGATTCTGCTCATCCCAATCTAGCGGCAAAGGCTTCCCCACCGGTAGCATCATGCCAAGCGCGAGGGGCCAACGAACTTCGACATTTAAAATCCCTGAAGTTCGGTTTGAGCCCCTCACTTAGGCACAAACCCACCCTCCGCCCTAAATTAAATCACTACACTGTCATGCAGTTTGCAGGCAAACTTTCACAACGAGATTCCTGCTCGACCTCCGAGAGCAAGAAGGATGAGTATAGCTTAGATACCAGCAGATCTTTAAAATGAGCCATATCGCCATATCATTCAGTCTCTGGCAGTCAGAAACAAATCAAGTGGCCTCATTGAAAGCTTCAAGACCTGCAAAATTCAGCTCTTCAGATTTTCAACAATTTCAGCATCCATTCATTCTGCCTCCATCAGCATCACCCATCTCTTCTCTGGCCATGGATACTTCGTACCTGGTGACGAGCTGTGCTTTGTCAGAAACTCAGAAACTTAGAAAGTCCACCATCTTACCGAATCTTGCTGAATCTTACCATCTTTCTCGGCACAAGAGGCTGGTGTAGGTCTCGGTGTAGTTGGTCGTGGTGTTTCGGTAGATCTGCAGCGCCTGCAAAGAAAGTGTGCGGTTGCAAACTGATCCAAAAAGGATGACGCCAAGTAGAAACAATCTTTGGAAAATCCAACAACCCGTGGAACCAACATGAACCAACTGGTTCAGAGTCCGGCACCTTCTCAAAATAGTCCTTTTCGCCTGCAACTCACCAGGCCAACTTGGAGAAAAGACTAGACTGCAGCATCTGTCCACAAGGTCCGCCTCTACGATTTCCCCGCTGACCATAGGTAGCACCAAAGTTGTGGACCTGGAAATGTGACCAACAAGACATCAACAAAGGAGGACAAAGGAAACAATTTTGCAACTCTAATGGCAATTGCTAAGGCATCCAGCAAGAATGGCATATAGCTGATGTTGTCTCTGATCCAGCTGCTCGAAGATTCGTTCTGCCTGTATTCCATCACAATGCGATGAATGGATGACCGCTTGCTAGATTGTCCGCAGTCCCTTTGTTCCTTGGGGGATGCCACTCTACAAAACCTTAGCACTTGCTTAAATTGGCTAAATTGGCTTAAATGCCAAAGACCTCAACTGCGAGGATTGCCGCGTTTCTCGCTCCTCTTCGTAGGCCTTTAGAACTTTGTCTAGGTGGTCCTGAGACAAATGCGGAAATGCTGGAGTGGAGCTACCTTGCAACGTTCCCGACAAATGTCTGAAACGGCCTCTGGCCTCCTGGTTGGGCCTTTTGGACGTAGCAACGCCCACCTGCAGCATAGGTTTGGAATGTTCAAAAAGTTCATAGGTTTTTGGGGTCCAAATCTGGTCACACCTTGCCATCAAAAAAGCAAGAAGGGCACCATCGAACCAGCCAATGCACCAAGACTACCTATGCTTAGTTTAGAATCTTCCAACACAACCCTTAGAACCCTTAGTCTAGGACTCTAGGACGCTTGCCCGCAGTAGGATCTCAGCATGTCGGATGGTTTCTCCACAGTTTGTGGCCAAGCACAGCCTCAAGGAAGCCTGTTCACAAAATTCACAAATGATGTCCAAGCAGGAGTGCGCAAGCACCACAAATGTCAAAGCGCATTGACACGAATGCACAAACGCTTCTGCACCTGCCAAGAACCGATCTCCAATTCGACCTCTTTGATTCCCAGAGCAGCCTAAGTGCTGCTACCACTTTTCTGCTGCTACCGACGTCCCAGATCAAGGCTTAGAGGCTTCGACCATGCCGATGTCCCTCATCATTTCTGTTTGATCGGTCAGCTCACCCAAATGCTCCTCCAACGGAGCTGCAACGCAGTCGACTTCAAGCCTAGAAAGACTGCAATGCAAGATGCACTCGCCTCCCAAGAGAACTGCTCCAAGATTGAAGCAAGTTCCTATCACAGTGTGTCCAGCCAATACAAATGAGATGTCCCAAAACTGGGAACCCCATGAAAAATCGCCTGGTCTATTATCATCTGACCATTGGGTAAACCCCTTTTTTAACTCCAACAAACTCATACAAGTGCAAGCCGCAAAGCTTCACCATCGCCTCATACACAAGGAGCTTCTGGGTCAACGCGAATTGACTCGCAGCAAGAATCGCAGCAACATGCAGCAACCAGTCGCTTTCTGTTTGAACCATTTGGATCCATTTGGGTTTGTCTGAAAATAGGGTACCCCATAAATCTTCTATTAATCATCATTTTTTCTATTCCAATGGCCATCTGGGGGTATACCGCACTACCATGCACTACCCCATTTTCAAACACACCCATTTTGAAACACCCTCGCTTCATATTGCTTTTGTTGGACACAAGTCACGATTTGAAAAAAAAGATGTCTGCAAGTGCCATGCGACGCTCGCGACACTGTGAGAGGGATGCCTTGCGGTGGCATCCATAGCAGCTCCAATGTCGTACAACAAAATAGGGGTAAGAATCGAGTGCACCGCATTGGCCTTGATCTGGGCCTGGCTGACATTGAAAGTTTGAGGAAGGGCGGAAGGGCCACCAAAAATTTGGAAATAAAAGCTGAAGATCACTGAAGATGTTTGATCCTGACAGATTCTAGTGTGAATTGATATAGCTTCATTGATTTTTCTCTTCGATCCTGGAATCAATTCAAATCCATAGTTGTCAAAACCGTCTGGAATCACGAAAGTGAGGCCTGCCGTGCCCAGTGGTATGCAAGCAAGGCTTGGGATCCCTGGACGACACATGACACTTCCATCTTTGGAAAATGTCCAACATCTTGCGGGAAACCGGTCTGAACATGTCTGAAACGCTTTCCAAAACAGTCTTTTTCCAAAGGATTTCTCACAGGTCCTGATGTCTCCTGTAGTGCCATCTTCCCAGCTTTTGCAGTAGAACTGCACTTGGAGATGGCCTGTTAAAACGTGTAAAGTGCGTGGCTGTTCAGCAGCTCAGCAGCTCTCAGTGGCTAAGATCCCCACTCGACTAAGGTCGACTTTTGGCGCCTGAAGATTCTAAAGTTCCGGAATGATCGGAATGTGCCATGTTTTGAATGGTTTTGAATGATTTTGAATGCATCAAATCAAAACAAAGACTGCTGGGAGTGATGTAGCATGAACATCAGGCCTTCCGAGCCAAAATGCTGCCAGTAATGTCAGGAGTCCAGAGACAGCTGCCAGCGATAGCAAACCAGCTAGTCTGGACATCTTTGAACTATGGTTCCGACCTGACACAGAAGCTCACAAGAGAAAACTTGTGGTCCTAACCAATTCAAATTGAACCATATTGACCCTGCTTGCCATTCTACAACTTGGGCTGAAAGTACTTCACGCAAAGGATTGCCCCATCGTCCCTGGAATCAATAAATTGCAGTCGATTTCAGCCTCGACTTTGTACTATATGTATAGTACACATGTGTGTGTGGGTGTCTGTGCACTGTATGCATATACATCCATGATATGCAAAATGAATCAAAATGACATAGAATGTGCATACTGCATACCAGTTACTGGTACTCAAAACTGCCAAAGCATGCACTGCATACATCCGACCTTGTGAGCGTGCCACACCATTGGCAACGACCCCAGGTCACGGCAAAGCCAGGCACATCCATGGCAGGCTAGACCATTGCGATGCAAAGTTCGCCAAAGCCAAATTTTGATCTTTTAAGGTGTATTTGAGGTGTATGTTCCAACAAAGTTGTACTGATCCAGAAGGTAAAATCAAACTACCTAAGATGCACAAAGGATACAAAGAATCTTGATCATAGCTACTCTGATGAAGACTTGAAAGGCTGCCCTGCGATGGTTGCGAAATGTATCAAAACGTGCAAGTCGCAATCCTGGAAAATAGGTGCAGATGAAAAAATCAGGCAGATTCTCTCACAGCTCCTCTTTTCCCTCTCCATGGCGAACACTGTCAGCTGAACAATTTTCTGCAGAGTAGACCATGATAGCAAGCTGGCCAATGCTAGGATCATTGCATGTCAACACAGCAAATGGCTCGCATGACACGGGACTGCTTGACATTGCTTGCCTGTCTTCTACTGCTGCTAGTGAAGTTTCTCGTGTTTCACAAGAGGTTTCACTCGCAGCCGGTCCAGCGCTTTGCCGGTCCAAGCTTAAAACTCTGCTTCCACAAAAGCTGACTCCATCTGGGACGAACGCGTTACATTTCGTCGGTACTAAGTAAGTGGACTTGAACTTGTCATCCATGTCAGCATGCTGTTTCATCTTGATTTCACTGGGCTGAATTTCAATAGGGTTAACTTCACAAAACACAGATCAGAGAGCCGTGGCCAATTCCTTTTGTCAAGAGCGTTCGATTCTCTTCATCTCACGCGACCATGAAAACTCCTGAAGACATGCAACTGTGAAATTAAAGTGCAAAGGCTTTGAAAGACTTTAAAAAAGAGAAATGCTGAAAAATCCCAACACCAAAGTCTGTGTGATTTGCACTGCCAAGTCTCAGAGCAGAAGTGCCCAACGGCAGCCAACGTACTGAAGTGCCTGCGAAGACAGATCTTCGAGAACTTCAATCGAGGAAAACACTTTGGCTGCCAAGTTTGGCTCGATTTTTTGCTCGCCTGCTCTCCCCTAGGACACTTTGCTCCGTATTCCATCGCTCACCTCAGCGGATCAGCCTGGCAGTGCCTTGCTCAAGATTCACACATGCTACACGCTGCTACATGCTGCTACACTGCTCACGGGGAAAGCGCCATAAAGCCCCAGACCGCTTTGATGGCTTCGATGACTTCGATGACTTCGATGACTTCGATGACTTCTTGATCTTGGTTGCAGACATGAGCACTTTGTGCGTCACTGTGTCATGTGGCTGGTGAAGCTATCCATTTTGGATCAAATTCTGACAAGATTCGACCGCCTTCGCCTTCGCTTTGGCTTTTGCTTTAGCCTGCATTGAAGAGTACAAAAACAAAAGATACTTGAAATGAAAGTGCCTGTTGGCGTTTCACTTGTGCAACTTGTGCACCATGAAGCTGATGAACAAGTGAGTATGAGGAACGATTCAAGAAGCAACCATGGACTTAAAATGCTCGAAATGCAAATACCTCAATGTGTACACTACAAAGTGTGGCAGCGAAAACCCCTTCAGCGGTTGTTTACTGGCATACCCGTGTGGTTCGACCCTGCAACTTCTTTTAGAACTGCGTGAAGAGAATGGACACCGATCCTCTGTGGCACCATGTCACACGTTTTTTCACCACTCAGAAGCGCATACTGTGGCACCATGGCTGCTCAAAAGCTCTTCAAATCTCTAGACGGGAGCACTTTTGACATGATCCATCGAGTCCAGCCATCATCTTTCAGCGCTTTCTCTTCGATCCAAGTGCAGCGATTTGCCCTACTTTGCCCTCATGTTTGAGAGTTGGCCAGTACAGAATTGCAATGAGTCCACCAAGTTCTTGCTCTTCGTGTTTTCGGACAAGCACAGCGGTCTGGATTCTTGCGACTCATAGTGTCATAGTGGTCGATCCCGGCCTGAAGATGTTCTACCCAAGGAGCCAGAAACTCCAGTGGCACCGGTGCCAGAGCGAGAGGGACCAGGACCAGATGCATCGCTGGCATGACTTCGCTGTCCCCTGAGGACTTTTGGGCCTCGGAAGTTCAACGAGGCCATCACCTCTCGTGTGTCCACCTTTTCAAGGTGCCGCGCTTCGTGCCTGAGAGAAAGAACATTTGCTCGCTGCGAGACACTGGTGGAAACAGACGAGCACCTGTCGCTCTCATCATTTTCTCGGCTGTAGGCAAAGCTGCACCTGCAAACAGGGCATAAACCTCCCACCCAGTATGGCATTAAGCATTCAACCAAAAATACGTGGTCACATCGTCGAGGTCGCACTCGCACAGCTCCAGGTGGAATGCTGTGCCCAGATGCACAACACGCATCAAATTTGTCACTGGTAAAGACCAACACATCGCCCAGGGATTGAAGTCTTCGCTTCAAGGCATGGAGAGTTTCATCGTCAACTCCCAGAGAAGCAAACTGGGTCGAAGGTGCTGGAGTCGATGCAGCAAACGCTTCGTGGCCATGGCCACTGTGTCCAACATGCCCTGCATGTCCAGGAGCGTGTCCATTGCCACTGTGGTGGGAGGGATTTGCTACTGGACTTGAGATTTTTTCGGAGCGTGAGGCTTCCACTGTCATGTCCCGCACATCCCGCGACATTTGGAGTAGGCTATCAGAAACAGAGTGAACTCTCGAACACAGATCTGATTGTGACTGCTGGAATTCTCTCGCAAGCTTCTCAAGTTCCATTGTCTTTGTAACAACTTCGCGTTTCAAGGCTGTTGCATCCGATACTTTCGAAGTAATCTGAAGCTGGGCTCGAGAAAGTTGGGCCTGCAGCTGCCTGTTCTGACCTGCAACAGCGCCCCACTGATTGTTTTAGAGCTACTCCTAAGTCCACAAAACCATACACACCCCGTGTTCAACTGAAAACAATCTAACAACTAGATAGGTATGTGTGTGTGTGCGCGTGAATACGCAATATGTACGTTTGTCTGTCCATATGTTTTACAACCGAAACATGTATCTATATATATATCTACATGTATCATATATAATGCATGTGTGCATGTGCACATATATAATTACGTATGTAATGTGTATATATATATGTAATACATATATATATAATTACATATACATATATATATAATATGTATATTATAAATATTCCTATATATATATATATATGGTCCCGAGTCAAAATTGTGTATGGAACGTTCCGCGGTGTTCCGGACGTATGGAACAAAGGGGCTTCGCAACTGGTCACTCCACACTCCACACTCTACACACCACACTCTACACTTTCCACTCCACACTCTACACGCTACACTCTACACTCCACACTCTACACTTTACACTCTACACTTTACACTCTAGACTTCACACTCTCCAATTTACAAACTCCACGCTCCTCACTCCACACTTTACACTCCTCACTTTACACTCCACACTCCTCACTCCACACTTTACACTCCTCACTTTACACTCCACACTTTGCACTTTACACTCCTCACTCCACACTCTACACTCTACACTCCACACTCCACACTCTACACTCCACACTCTACACTTTACACTCCATACTCCACACTCTACACTTTACACTCCGCATTCTACACTTTACACACTCTACACTCCCCACTCCACACTTTACACTCCACACTCCTTACTTCACACTCCACACTCCACACTCTACACTTTCCACTCCACACTGCAGACTGGTAACAAGGGAAACATGCACAAGACTGTTCAAATAAACTATTGCAGAAAGGTATTGTGCGTGACTGCATAACCATGTGTTTTGACATCTGTACCATTAACATACGTGTGAGCATTCGGGTTCGTGGGCTTCATCTTGTTTCGACATCTCAACTTCCAAAAGTGGTCCGACAATGGTGTATTTTGTACATTTTGACTTGGAAATGTGCTTCGCGCCACAACGGCGTGCAATTTTTCATCTCTCATCTGGCCAGGTGGCTCCGCACCCGCCGCTTTAGCGAGCCTACTTTTCGACCCTCCGGAGCCCCAAATCATTGGAAAAACACAGTGTGTCGCGACTTTCCTACCTTTTCACACATCTGCATCTTCTTTCTTCTTACTCTTTCTCTTCTACTCTTCTTTCTTCTAATCTTTCTCTTCTCTCTGCCTCTTCCCTGCTCTGCTTTTCATCTGTCCATATTGTCGGAAGTTTGACTTCTAAACTTCCTTCGATGATTTATGTTACATATAATGTATATATATATTATATATATATATATATCTTTATTTATTTATGTATAGGCCTATATTTCATCACACTCCGTGTAAAGTGTGGAGTGTAGAGTGTGGAGTGTGGAGTGTAAAGTGTAGAGTGTGAAGTGTGGAGTGTAAAGTGTGGAGTGTAAAGTGTGGAGCGAGGAGTGTAAAGTGGAAAGCGTGGAGTGTAAAGTGTGGAGTGTAGAGTGTATAGTGTAGAGTGTAAAGTGTAGAGTGTGGAGTGTGGAGTGTAGAGTGTGGAGTGCAAAGTGTAGAGTGTGGAGTGTAAAGTGTGGAGTGTAAAGTGTGGAGTGAGGAGTGTAAAGTGTGGAGTGTGGAGTGTAAAGCGTGGAGTGTGGAGTGCGAAGTGTGAAGTGTAAAGTAAGGAGTGTGGAGTGTAAAGTGTGGAGTGAGGAGTCTAAAGTGTGGAGTGTGGAGTGTAAAGTGTCCAGTGTGGAGTGTAAAGTGTGGAGTGTAAAGTGTGGAGTGCAAAGTGTGGAGTGTGGAGCGTATAGTGTAGAGTGTGGAGTCTGGAGTGGAAAGTGTAGAGTGTGGTGTGTAGAGTGTGGAGTGTGGAGTGTAAAGTGAGGAGTGTAAAGTGTGGAGTGTGGAGCGAGGAGTGTAAAGTATAAAGTGTGGAGTGTGGAGTGTACAGTAAAGTGTGGAGTGTGGAGTGCGGAGTGTGGAGTGGAAAGTGTAGAGTGTGGAGTGTAAAGTGGGGAGTGTGGAGTGTAGAGTGTGGAGTGAGGAGTGTAAAGTGTGGAGTGTGGAGTGTAAAGTGTGGAGTGTGGAGTGTGGAGTGGAAAGTGTGGTGTTGAAGTGTGGAGTGTAAAGTAAGGAGTGTAAAGTAAGGAGTGTAAAGTGTGGAGTGTGGAGTGTGAAGTAAGGAGTGTGGAGTGTAAAGTATGGAGTGGGGAGTGTAGAGTGTGTAAAGTGTAGAATGCGGAATGTAAAGTGTAGAGTGTGGAGTGTGGAGTGTAAAGTGTAGAGTGTGGAGTGTAAAGTGTGGAGTGTGGAGTGTGGAGTGGAAAGTGTGGTGTTGAAGTGTGGAGTGTAAAGTAAGGAGTGTAAAGTAAGGAGTGTAAAGTGTGGAGTGTGGAGTGAGGAGTGTAAAGTGTGGAGTGTAAAGTGTGGAATGTAAAGTGTGGAGTGTGGAGTGTAAAGTGTGGAGTGTGGAGTGAGGAGTGTGGAGTGTGGAGCGTAAAGTGTAGAGTGTGGAGTCTGGAGTGGAAAGTGTAGTGTGGGGAGTGTGGGGTGTAAAGTGAGGAGTGTAAAGTTTAGAGTGTGGAGCGAGGAGTGTAAAGTATAAAGTGTGGAGTGTGGAGTGTAAAGTGTGGAGTGTGGAGTGCGGAGTGTGGAGTGGAAAGTGTAGAGTGTGGAGTGTGAGTGTGGAGTGTGGAGTGAGGAGTGTAAAGTGAGTGAGGAGTGTAAAGTGTAAAGTGTGGAGTGTGGAGTGTAAAGTGTAGAGTGTGGAGCGTAGAGTGTAAAGTGTAGAGTGTGGAGTGTGGAGTGTAGAGTGTAACGTGTAAAGTGTAGAGTGTAAAGTGTGGAGTGAGGAGGAGTGTGGAGTGTGGAGTGTGAGGAGTGTGGAGTGTGGACTGGAAAGTGTGGAGTGTGAAGTGTGGAGTGTAAAGTAAGGAGTGTGTAGTGTAAAGTGTGGAGTGTGGAGTGTAAAGTGTAGAGTGTGGAGTGTGGAGTGTACAGTGCAAAGTGAAAAGTGTGGAGTGTAAAGTGTAGAGTGTGGAGTCTAAAGTGTAAATTGTGGAGTCTGGAGTGTAAAGTGTAGAGTGTGGAGTGCGGAGCTTCCCCCATAGACACGGCGACTCCACAGGAAAACGAGAGACTCGAGATGAGACGCATTGCTGCAGAAAAACGAGCATTTCGTGCGAGACTTCCTCCAATTTTCACACTTCGTAGCTTCAAAATCGACGTTTTCCTACGAGTTTTCCTTAGAACCTGAAAATTTGCAACCTCAAAATCAATGTTTCGTGCGAGGCTTCCGTCAATTTTCAGCACATCGCACCAAATGCCACGCCTGCCACGGAATTGCACCTTGTCGCCACTTGACGCAGCCCTGCCAATGCGATTTGCAATAAACACGCAACACGACACGTCTAAAGTGCTGCGCTTGCCACGAAAAATGACGATGGACACGTCCAAAGTGCTGCGCCTGCCACGAAAAATGCAACACATCTTCTGAAAACGTCGCAAAAGTATTGCGCCTGCCACACAAAACGACTTTCGACACGTTACAAAACACGTCTGAATGTCACGAAGTGCCACGCCTGCCACGCAAAACGAAGCAACGAGACGTCTGAAACCTCCAAAAATGACCACCTCTGCAGAACTTACCATAGGCACGGCCATATGGTCCTCACGCGGACGGTTGCGAACGGTTGCGAACGGTTGCGAACGGTTGCGAACGGTTGCGACCACAAACACAACGTCGAGCGAACACACCCTCAACCCCCAGACCCCCAGAGTGAAACGGGAACCCTTGCTACGCATTCGGGAAAAGTGCACGCCGTTGTGGCGCGAAGCACATTTCGAAGTCAAAATGTACAAAACACACCATGGTCGGACCACTTTTGGAAGTTGAGATGTCGAAAAAGTGCACGCTGTTGTGGCGCGAACGAAGCACATTTCGAAGTCAAAATGTGCAAAACACACCATGTTCGGACCACTCTTGGAGGTTCGGATGTCGAAAAAGTGCATGCCGTTGTGGCGCGAAGGACATTTCGAAGTAAAAATGTTCAAAACACTAGGGGTTCGGACCACTTTTTACACTACAGGACATTACACTACACTACACTCCAGTACACTACATTACACTACACTACACTCCAGTACACTCCACTACACTAAATTACACTACACCACACTACATTACACTGAATGACACGGCAACACAGATAGACAGGTAGACAGCTAGACAGATAGACAGATGAAAGGGAGAGATAAACAGATAGGTAGATAGATAGATAGATCGATCGATAGATCGATAGATCGATAGATAGACAGATAGATAGGTAGATAGATAGATCGATAGATAGAAAGATAGATAGATAGATAGACAGATAGATAGGTAGATAGATAGATACATATATGCATAGATACATAGATACATAGATACATAGATGCATAGATACATAGATAGTCAGAGAAAGAGAGAGAGAAAGAGAGGAGACCTCAAGCACCTTTCGGTCCATAAGTGGCTTCGCTCTGCCATCCCTGATTCACAACCACCAACCTCTCCTATAGGTTTCCTATTTTTGAAACTTCCGCCACCGCCTTGTGCGGTACTACTGGTATACATCTCAAGGATATGCACGTTGAAGCTACTCCTCATCTGCACGACATCCTTGTTGTACACCTGTTCAACGCAGGTTTGCCTTGCATGGCTAGCGGCTAGTGCTCGTGCTAGATACGACACGACCGGTAGCCAGTGTCACCCACTGGCTACCATGTGAAGCTGTTGACTCAGCTTCAGACCTGTCACGCAGGTCCCACCTCCTACTCTTAAAACTCAGAGGTCCCTATGGGGTAGATTGTGCCCCTGCATAGCAAGACTCTACCCTCCCATAACCCGCGCGCAAAAGGATGGCTTACGAGCAGTCTATGTGAGAACCTGCCATGTGTTCACCAGTGGGTCAGGGGTGGTACATGGGTGGTCCAGGTCTGGAACGGGTACGAAACGGCCCACTCCAGCACAGCGCTGCAGCACATCTTTATCAAAATTCGCAGTTTGGAGCGAGAATAGCGCAGCAAGCAATTCTTAGACTGCCAGCTGGCAGCAGCCAAGCGCATCTCTACAATCAAACACCACAGCTGTGCCACAGCCTGCAGCAACTTTAAGTGGTGCAGGCACAAACCTGCCACAGGTTGAGAGGGAGGGAGGGTTACAAGCAATCCATTCTTAGACTGCCAGCTGGCAGCAGCCAAGCACATCCCTACCATCACACAACAAAGTAGGTAGCAGCTGTAAGTGCTGCAGGCACAGACTTGCCAACACAATCACAGGGCTTGGGCATAGTAAACGTATTCTTGCATGTATGCACTCATGTATGTACGTGCGCTCATACATGTGCGTACAAATGTAAAATCAGATTGCACATAATCAAATATATATATATATATTATAAATAATAATTATACATAATTATATATATAATAAATTATAATAACGTATGGATCAGAGGTATGGAACAGAGGTATGGAACGGATCCTTCAAGGAGGTATGGAACGGGGGTATGGAACGGGTGTGGTCCCGGAGCTTGTTCCGGACCTCCTATTTTGACTTGCCCCCATATATTAATATACATAGATAGAGACCTTTTTCCGTTTCATCCTTACCTTCGAGTCTTTGCAGTTGTTCCTGGAGGTCAGAAACACGGCTTCGTCGACGACGTTGCTCTTCCTGGATTTGTTCACGAAGGGAAACAGCCTCTCGTTGCAATCGCTCCATGTCCAAATTCCTGAGGCTACATATTTGAGATGGAACCTTCGTGAAACTACCCTCCTTGCATATCTCTCGGATAATTCATCCAATAATGTTCACTCGAATTGTCCTACTATGGTCAACTGATAGCTGGTTCCAATGACAAAAGCACGTGTCCATTTCAACAGGACAATATTCTTGTGGGGTCCTTGTGCGGATCTCCTTGCTTAAACGACGATTCTCCTGCTCCAACGCATGCTGGCTTTCAAATACGCTTTGTTTGGAGCGACCTTCTCCATCTTTCGACCCGTAATGCTTGGTCGCACGTCCAGCACTTCCTGGAGGTCTGGAGTTTACTCCTCCACTCGACATCACATCACATACTTCTAAGCACCGAGGTACCTCTCTCTAGAGACCTGGATGAATGGCTACAATGGCTACGGGCAAAAAGCAACAACTGGTGCACTGCAAACTTGTTTGGCTTTGCACTACTCCATGACAAGGAAGCACAGGCATGTCATTACGATTTGATCGTCTCACTGGGTCATGCCCCATCATTTTGCATTTGAGCCCCTCAGCCAAAAAACTGAAAAAATGAAAATCTGGCCTGAGCTTTCGCTTTAGCCTTAGGTTTAGGCTGCGCCTCAGTAACCGCGAGGTTCGTGTCATGGAAAAATTAACCCAGATTTGCAACCCGACCCGAGTAACTTCCATGTTTGGGCCACATTTTGACTGTCAGCTTTCAAACAAAGTAGGCGACACAGTGGGAGACAAAGTGGGAGACACAAAGTTTGAGACAAAGTGAGGGACACAATGGGAAACAAAGAACGAGACAAAGTCGGAGATAGCGGGAGACGAAGCAGGAGACGAAGTGGGGGAAAAGTGGGAGACGAAAAGGGAGACAAAGTGGGCGACAAAGTGGGAGACAAAGTGAGAAACCGCGTGGAGAACATCCTGGGAGACAAGGTGGGGGACAAAGTGGGACACAAGCTGGGAGACAAAGTGGGAACAAGTATCAGACAAAGGGGGAGACACAGGGAAAACACACTCAAAGACAAGGTTCCAAGGTTCCAGATGGGAGACACAATGCAACACACAGTGGGAAACAAGCTGAGAAACAAAGCGGGAGACACTGGGAGACAAGGTTCCAAGGTTCCCAGAACCCTGCGCATACATGCCAGAGGAGGGAGGAACGTGACACCACCCTCTGCTTCTAGAGATTGAAACCCAACAGTTTTCTGCTGTTGGGAATAAGAACAATTTGGTACTTGGAAGGGCCTTCACTTTGGCCTTTGCTTTGGCTTTTGCGCCTGCCTTTGCCTTCGGCTTTGCTGACGCCTGCAACACCAAAATCAATAGAAACAGAAACCGTCGTCCATGCGTGTGTGTGTGTGTGTGGACCTTTCTTACCTTAGTGGAAGGCAGGAAAACAAGTTACCAGATCAAGCCTTCCTTGTCTCTTTCACCTTGGCTTTGGCAGCTGCCTTCGCCCTCGCGGCTGGCTTTGCCTTCAATGTATCAGCTTAAGCTGAACAACTGGTTGCAACTTATGACACACAACTAACAACTGGCAAGCAGACCATGATCGGATCTTCGATCTCCTCCCCTTGAGGCACATCCTCCTACAAAGAACAGCATTTTGAAGACGCCCATACTGCATGGGAAAGCAAATCGTATGAAACACTCGGTTTCCTGATCATAGCCCGGTTTCCTGATCATCACCCACGATCATCATCTCTTTGACCTGTTCTGGGGTAAGATGTTCCTCAGCAGGGCGGTCAAAGGACGGTGACAACATGTTGCGGACTTGCTGCTGGCTAGGTTCCAATTCGCCATCGTCGTACTGGATTCGGTAAAGTCCTCAGCACGATTCAAGAGGCAACAGCCTCGTCACAGTTCAAAGCAGTCGAGTGCCACTTCATCTTCCAGAACATATGAAGTCGAGATTCTCTCTTTGGTGATTGTGCCTTGCTCGATGTCCACCACAACTCCCATGAATGTATTGCCATTGACCTCTCTCTGGATGTGGGCACACCGGAAAGGGTCCACCTGCCCAAAGTTGTTGACACGTGTGAAGTGGTTTCGAATCATGAATAAAATCTGAAATTCTGTTCACACTCACACTCAACCGAAAGAGTTGTTTGGAATGTTTTGCACACAATTTACACAATGCACTTGTCTTGACACGGAGATTTCACCAAGCAAGTCGATCATAAAATTGAAGCCGAATGCCAAGTTTGGAATTCAAACAATTTGTTTTGCATCCTGGCAGAATCTTAACATTGCTTCAAAGCAATCGGTTTTGCCAGTATGTTCAAAACTGCGCTGAAGGTTGAAGAAGCCTTCTTCTCTGCTTCCGGCAAATCTTGGAGCTCTTCACCTTCCTCCTGTGCCCCCAATGTCGAGGTTCAAACACTGGCGGTTGGTGCTGTGTTGCAGTTCCTTTATTTTACAATGAATGCCAAATCAGCATCAACATATTATATTATATATAGTTACATAATTACACTACTAATTACCAAAATACATACAAGTATTTTTACCAAATATTATATAATCATTACATTACATTGCATTGCATTGCATTGCACTACACTACACTACACTACACTACACTACACTACATTACATTACATTACATTACATTACATTACATTATTATATTACTATACCATTTTTTTTGACTTCGTACAAGTAGAGCCTGGGCAAGCTGGGTGGCAGAAGTTTCCAAGAGGGGGACGCCTATACGGACAAGGGATAGCCTATCAGAACGAAACCACATTGCCAAAACCATTGTTTGCTTTAACTTCCTTGACATCCCCTTCTCTTGACAAACCTTTTGGTGCCACCTCTCTGTCTGGAGGCATTTTTCTGTTGACATCCTTTCTGGTATCCAGTTTCTCTTGATCCGTTTTTCCCTTGATATTTTCGGTTTTTGGCAGCCTTTCCTCTTGACAGTTCTGAAGCTCGACACCTGACTTACTTTTCTATCCCTACAACCTTTTCAAATATCACCGCTGTCTCTTGCCATCGTCTCTTCAGCCGCTTTCCTTTGACATTTTTTTGTCTTGGCATCCCTTTTTTTGTTTTCTTTCTTGAAACCTTTTTCTCTCGACGTTTCTTTCTCTCGACGTTTCTTTCTCTCGACGTTTCTTTCTCTCGACATCCCAGTCTCTTGACATTTTTTTCTCTTGACACCATGTTTTGTTTATTTTGAGATCTCTTTCTGTTAACATTGTTTTCTCTTGGCAACGTTAGCCTTTGACCAAAATTTCCTACGAGACCTTTTGTCTTGCCTTCTCCTTTCTCTTGAGCCGGTGTTCATTGTATTTTTTTCTCTTGCATCTCTTTCTCCTGGCACCTCTTTCTCTTGGCATTTTTGTTTGACACCTTCTTCTCTAGACATTTTTCACATGGACTGGTTTTTTTCTTGACATTTTATCTTTCCCTTGCATTGACAACCCTGAATCGTGACATCCCCTTTTTTCTTTGTTTCTTGGGACCTCTGTGTTTTGACGTCTTATTACTTTCTTGACATCCGTTTCTCTGAGAAAGGTGGTTATGTTTGTGTTGGTTTGTGTTTTTTACATTTAACACACAACTAGTGCATCGACAATGACATGTAAAATATCCATATACATGTTCACATATGTGCACATATAAAAATAAGCTAGCATTTCTTGACAAAATGTTTTGCCACAAGCAAAGCAACAGCCTCGTGAATAGGGTCCATTGCCTTCCACCAGGACGGATAACAAACATTTCTACAGCATGTGTTTGGTTGATCCACGAGAAATTCACAGAATGGCACGAACAAAGGTGTTCCTCGTGCATTGGTTGCACTTCGTCGACCCAGAGTTGGAGAGCCAATAGGTGTGCTGCGAAACACCACCACCCATCATAGCATTTCATCTGTTTCAACAACATTTTCGATCTTGACAATCCTCTTAATTGGTTCAAACCATTGGCAGATGAATAAACCCTGCAGCAACAACAGAGTTACGGATGCCGCTTTTCTATCAACATTTTTTCCCAATCGTACATCATCGTACATCTATTTCGGGAGGTTTTGCCCAAAAAGCAGCGCATCAAACCAAAAGGCCTCAAATGTCCTTGCCATGACCCCATTTTTGGCATTATTTCATTCATATCCCATTTGTATGATATGGGATATGGCCTTCCCACCAGTTGTTCGTTCTTGTTCAAACATTTCAAATTCACTGTTGTGTCGGGTTATTTTTTTTGCATGCTGTGTGCATGCAAGTAGATACACATGCATTTGTGTGCGCATGCAAGCAGACAATACACATGCACGTTAAAAAAATGCAGTTTTTTGTTCGTTTGCGGCCAATGTTTTCCGCAGAGAACGGAATTGTTTCAAGCCCGCCGCAAAGAACCCTCGGATCCGAAACGTTGATGCAACCATCATCACTCTGGCAGTTCCAACCCGAGTCTTTGGCCCGCTATCATCCAAAGAATCTAAACACAAACAATTTGTTTGAAAATTGTTGGGTTGCGGTCTAAAACAACATGTGAAAAAAAAATGTTTATATATTTGTTTAATGAAGAAATATTTTTACTGCAAATTTCAATCCAAACTGTAAAACGATGTTCACCCAAACGAAAATCAAAATAGTTTACTAACATCGTGTGAAGATGTGACATATTTATGTTTTGAACCACGCAAAGTAAAAAAAAAAACATTTTCTGCGAAAGAACACCTGGCAATCACTCCTTTTTGGTTGGACCTCAGGGCGTGAATGCAATCATGTGGATTTCACGTGTGAATGAGTGAAAACTGCAACGTCTCGATTGAAGTGCGTGTCATCCTTGTGTAGTGGCCATGCACCTGTGTTCCAACGGTGGAGTGCTAACAGAAAACTTTCACACTCCTCCTCAGCACGGTGTAATGCAAACTCACCTTGTTGCTCTCACAGTTTTCTCACCGCCATTGCGCCTGGACACGCATGAAAGGTAAAAGTTTAGGCCTACTGTGCTGTAGCTCTCACTGGAATTGTTGTAGCGTATTGGGCTTCCAAGTGAGCATTAAGGTCACTGGGAGTGGCTCACATTCCCGGGCATCCAAACAAATTACAGCAGTTTGCCCAAAATGGGCTGTCATGTCCTGGAACGGTAGACATCTTCGAAATTTCTGTACCTGGCTATGGTCGCATTGCTCATGCCACGTCGTTCTCCTCGATTTGCCATCATCCTGAAAGAATCTTCGATCCTTTGGAAAACTTTGATCCTTGTTTCTGGATTTCTCATACCTTGATTGTTGGTGTGGTCCAGCAACATCAAGATTGTTCTCTGGAGTTCATCTGCGTCACTCCAAAGTTCTTCTGCAAGCGCCACATTGAGTTGAAGTCTCAAATCGTCAATGGAGGTTTCAAGTTCACCTTGTCTTGTTGACATATCTCTTTGTGGATT